CAAGTCATCTTCTTCTACTTTTTTCAAGGTATGTTCTCATCTATTTCGTACACGGCTCACTCACCTGTGCAGTCGTACTTGGTGGACATCACTCCGATCAACAACACAATATGTGAGGTCCTTGGCAACGTGCTGTTCCTGGTCGGTATTGTGGCTACGTCCAGGTGGGGTCTGCAGTGGAACTGGCGCTGGATGATCTTGGTTACTGGTATCTGTGTCACCGTTGTTGATGGCATCATTACCTTTATCACGGTCTGGGATGTGATCCGTAGCCAATGGTTTTGGCTCTGTCTCCCAATTGCAGTTCAGATTCCGTTCGGAGTTAGCTTAATCTCTAGCTTTGTGATCGTCGAGCTTGCGGGTATTGGTAACGAAGGAGTCGTTTATGGTCTGATCACCATGGTGTCTAACTTGTCCAGCCCCTTTGCCACAGCCATGACTGTGGTGATTGATCAGCCCTTTAGCCTGACCACAGAGCGCATCCAAGCCGACGATAAGTCAATCCGTATGGACATCACATACGCCGTAGTTATTATGTACGCTATGACGGCTTTCTCCTGGGTCTTTCTAGTGTTCCTGCCTCGCCAAAAGGAAGAGATGCAGGAGCTCTTACGTACTGGTGGCAGCAGCAAGGTTCTGGGTGCAATCACTGTGGCATACCTTACCTTCGCGTTTGTCTGGTCTCTCATGGTCAATATCATGGCTATATTCGATAGCACGTCATGTTTAGTGATTGCTGGTGGCAAAGGCTGCTAACTGTACTTTGTGTAGCAGCTTTGTAGCTTTGACATCCATGGTCGTACGAAAGAAAGCGGCTAGACGGTGCACATGTTTGTGTCTGTTTGATCGTGACATAGGCTGTAGTTGCTACAGTTTACTTCTCGACGCGTTCAGTCTAACCAGAGATATCGAGAGTAACAATAATTTGTTTGTAATTGCGAGAGCTTCTTGTCGTTCGAACACGTCGACGTACAAGACTTAATTTGAATGTAAACTTGACAGCTTCAATTGAATCACAACAGCTCTTGCGATTGACAAGATGTAAACGTGTCCTCACCAGCAACTACACAAACGTGATTGATGAATGCAACGTATAATTCGTAAGGCCACACTAAACTTTACTGCCGCTATTTGTGCAAAGTAGCATGAGGTCTCCCTTCCTTTTGAGAAAACAAAAAGGATAGGAACGACCACGAAAGCCATGATATCGTCCAAAAAGCACATTGCAAGAAATCTCGCTGATGGCGTTCACATCGCCTCCATTGGTGCATCCATTAAAGCAAAACGCAAGACAAGATGGCCAATTATCAGAAACACACGTAAAGATAACTACTGACTGAGTTTTGAGTACATGCTGTTAGCGCATACGGCTACATGCGACTGGCCGATTGCTCCAAAGAACATGAGCAACTGGGCTTTGTTGCCACCGTGTTAAGTTGATGTGGTCTTTGTTTTCTCGTAGTGATCTGCTGGTTTGATGGCACTATCGTACACAATGAGACTATACAGTTCTGTTCCCGATGAGATTGCATTGCCAGTAGTATTAACTGATACAATAGTGACAGTGACAAACATCCATAACTTTGGACGGCTCAGTACAACAAGATACTGTAAAAGGCTTCTAGAGAGCTCCAATAGCAAAACGACCAAAGTTGACGTGATGGTAGTTGAGTGCCCATTGTGATCAGATATTGCTGCAAGAAAAAAGTATCGCTACAGCTAGCGACAGACAATGGTTAATGTCAAAGGCAAAATAGTGAGATATCACCCCAATGCTTTTTGGGCTTTTTAACTTTTTCCTTTCCCAAATTTCCCCCACCGCATTTTTTTTTTTTTTTTTTGTGTATTTTTTTTTTTTTAAAAAAAAAAAGACCCCTCCCGGCGGCGCCCCTTTTTTTTTTTTTTTTTTCTTTTTCCCGAGGCCGCCCCAGCGCCCCGCATACCGGTATAAATGGGCTGGAAAAGTCCGAGCAGTTCGACAATGGAGATTTTGAGGTGCTTGGTCGTGTCCACAGGGATACTCTTTGCCCTTAGAGGCGCTTGCTCGGTCGCTGTTGATAAAATCTTTCGTAGTACATGTTTCAGGTCCGAAGATACGGGCGTTACAAGCACGTTTTAAACATTTAGGTGCTTTACAAGCAAGTGCTGAACACGAAGGTGCTTCATAAGCGAGTGCTGAACACGAAGGTGCTTTAAAAGCAAGTGTTTAGCAAAAATGTGCTTTATAAGCAAGTTTTGTACACTTAGGTGCTTGATAAGTTAGTGTTATGCACTATGGTGCTTTATAAGCTACTGTTACGACTATGGTGCTGATACGCAAAAGTGAAGTGATAACGTGCTTTTTAAAAGCAAGTGTTGAACACTTAGGTGCTTTATAAGCTGGTGTTCGCCAATAATGTCCATTGTAGCTAGTGTTCGACACTAATGTGCATTATAAGCTAGTGCTAACATTACGGTATTTTGTGAGCAAGTGTTACACACTTACATGCTCAATCGCTTATAAGCAAGTGTTTAAAACACTGAAATGCTTTAAAGCAAGTGCTAGGCACATAATGCTGTAAAAGCAAGTGTTCGTTAACACACAAAGGGTATTAATAATGCCAAGTGCTAGGCACTTGACGCTTATAAGCAAGTGTCGTAACACTATAATGCTTTAGCGTGAGTGCAATGCACTGTATGATCAAGGAGCAAGTGTCGTAACTTAGGATGCTTAGAAAGCGTGTGTGCAAAGCGCATGTGCTCAAAGAGCAAGTGTCAGGACACTAAAGCTTTGTTCGCAAGTGTCAGAACACTAAAGCTTTGTTCGCAAGTGCGCGGTACTTATTGCAAGGCAAGCAAAATGGGTAGAAAAATCGATGGTTTTCAATAAGTTCGAAAATTCGTGTGTGTGTCGGGTCCCACAGATTGGTGGGGGAGGGTGTAACGGGGTTGCACGAAGGTGTGTATTGTACATACACACCTGCCACACCAATGTGGTGTGGCTGTGCCTTGGGTACAGCAGTAGGTGATGTGACCGTACTTGAAGTACGAAGGGTCGCATCGTGGCAGAGAGCCACGTGGTCACTATACTTATTAAAAGTATAGTGACTATGCATGTTTGCATAATAATAACAGGCTAAAGAGCCAGCAATAGTGACTAGCACTAAGTATAGGATAGGTGCTTCTATATTTAGTGTTAGAAGATAAACATAAATATAAATTAGTTTCAAACCTGCTCTGTATAGCACTAGTTGCTAGAGCGTTCTACTCCGTATAGAAATCAGTATCTTTGATACTAGTCTCTCTGAGACTCGGTTATAATTGCCGATAGGCACAAGCTTACGAGCTAGCCTAGGAGGGTTAAACACCCTAAGACGTAGAAGCTCTCTGAGCTTGTCTTCCTCTGCACATACTGCATACGTAGCTTTGCTACAGTAGTTTGACTACTTCTTCTGCACATGGTGCACAAGTAGCATAGTGCATAAGTAGCGTAGCTACAGTAGCTCGGCTACAGTAGACGATATGAAAAATATAATCTAGATCATGGCAACCCGAGAATCGACCAATTCTCCGCGCGGCACATTTAGGGTATAGTCCCCCTCCAGCGCGCATCGATGAGCATGGCAACCTCCAATATCATGCGCAGCAATCAGCGCGTATCTTTCATCAAAATCATCACCACATTTGGTAAAATGGCGGGATTAACCTCCCTTTGAAAACTCGTGGGACGTTGAGGTTAAAGACAGCAGGATTGCACTTTTGCTTTGAACTTTTTTGAAAGACTTGGGCAGAGTTGACAGTCGACTAACAATCTATTCTTTCGATCCGTTACCAGGATATTCAGGAAGCAGCTCCCCTATCTACCACGATGGGGAGTCAGCAGAAAGCCAACGTCATGGTCTCTACAGGCTGCCCTACTACCGTCTACCGACCAGGCGAAAAGGGACATCGATTCGGAGCGTGTGTGGATAATTTTGCCACAGCAGGTGAGCAGGTCGGATCTAAGGCAAAATTTTCTACGAATGGGTCGACGAAGGTCTCGCGCCGCCTCAAGTGCCTTAGTGTTGAACACTTGCTTCTGTAAAGCCTTCAAGTGCTTAAAACACTTGCTTATATAATCCAAAAGTATTGTACACTTCTGGTAAAGCTTCATAGTGTTTCACACTTACTTATATAAAGCCCGGCAGTGTTACTTTTTCTTATAAAGCACAACATTGCTTACCACATGCTATTATAAAGCCCCAAAGTGTCGTAAACTTGCTTCTAAAAGCAGATAATAGTGCTTTTCACGCGAGTGAGGAACCAGCAACTGCTTCCCAAGAAGGTCAGAGTTGAAGCCTAACTACTGACCTTGCTTCCACAGCACTTGGTGCTAGGAAGCATCCGGCGACTGCTGTCGCCACTTCTGATCTTCCCGATCAAAAGCTTCAACGACGTCCGGGCAGTATTGCCGTGGGGGTACCTCGTACTCCCATGAGTCATACGACTGAGGGTACCCCCTCCACTATACCAGATACTGGGTGTGGCCCTGATGAAGACGTCGCGCCAATAGACGCTCGACGTGAAACTGTTGATGACCCAGCTCATCAGTCAGCGTTGTCGGGGGTCGGTGACCTATCGATCCATGATCTTTTGGTACGCCCTCAGCGTCCATATGCACCTCCGGTGCCGTAATATCGCCTCCTTCGGCTGGGGGTAAGGGGCCAACCCCTCGAAGTATACCGAGGCAGGGTTGAGGCATGGCTTAAGTAAGCCTACGTAGAACACAGGATTTGTTCTCATCTTCTTCGAAAGGTTTAGCGCATAGGCTAAACCTTTCTTGCTTATGACCTTGGGAGGTACAATAAAGCGTGGTCGTGATTTAGTTTTATATACCGCCGAAACGGCACGGGTAGGTAAATTCCTAGCGTTCAATACAACCAATCTCCCACTTTGAACTCTTGTTCATTCTTTCTGCCTTAGGCATCCGCGTGCTCCTTCTGAACAGCCTGGCTTTCAGCCATAGCGTCTTTGACGCGACGTTATACGTCAAAACGCGTTGATAGAAACGCTTCCACCATCTTGCGCATCGCAACAGGGCTGATATCAGCCAAGCTTTCGGCTATCTCTCCCCCACTAAGCCCTGATGTGGCAGGAGGTAGCGTTAAAGGAACGCGAGGGTTGACCAATCCATTCACATAGAATGGGGTGAATCCTGTCGAGGCATGCACCGTGTTATTCAACGCAAACTCTACCAGAGGGAGTATCGTGCTCAATTGCTTGGGTGTTTCAGAACAAACACTGCGAAGCATATCGCTAATAACGCGGTTAAAGCGTTCAGTCTGACCATCGCTCTGCAGATGATCCGCCGTGGACATGTCTAGTCGAGTGCCCAGCACTTTAGAGACGGATGTCCAAAACTTACCCGTAAAACGGGAATCTCTATCCGAGACGATGGCCACAGGCAATCCGTGCTGTCGAAGCACACGATCCATGAAGATCTTAGCTGCTCCTTCTCCATCGATGGAGTCCGGCACTGCCGCTAAGTGAGCCATCTTGCTCAGTCGGTCTACAAACACCACAATCCCAGTGTTGCCTGCCGCATCACGCGGTAGGCCAAACACAAAGTCCATATTAGTGGACTGCCACAACCCCGAGTATACAGGCAAACTCGCCAAAGGCGCAGCCATATTAGGCGAGGGTTTCACCCCTTTTACACGTGCGTACGTAGGTAACAAACCATTTATTCAGCTTAGGCCACCAACAATGGGTGCTCACCGAGCTGTAGGTCTTCTCACGAGCTAAATGACCACCAAGTGGCGTATCATGAGCCTCATAAAGTATCTGATACTTGAGGTCCTCATCATGAGGCACCACAACACGAGGCTGGTCATCCGACCCTGTACTAAGGTACAACAGACCATCGGTCAGTGCATAACGATATAATCTCGCACGATTACGCGGTGACAGCTTCACCTCAGATTGTTCAAACCCTGCGCTACCCAGCGCCTGCATAATGGCAACACATGCTTCATCGCGTGCATACGCCACATGATACGATCCGTGACGGACGAACTCACAACAGTGAGATGAGCAAGCTCATAGTCAGGTCTACGCGATAACGCGTCAGCCAGAACATTCTGTTTTCCCGGCTTATACTTCACCTCGAAGTTATTCTCCGCGAAAAAGGAGAGTCAACGAGCCAATCTCTGCGAGAGATGAGGCGACTGTGTCGCTGTGCGTAATGACGCATGATCGGTATAGATCACAAACGGCTTTGAGCCCAACAGGCTGTACCCTGAACTTAACAAGGGCGTACTTCATCGCAAGTAGATCCTTGTCATGAACTGGATAGTTCTTCTCTGTAGCTTTCAGCTGGCCAGACTCAAACGCAATAACGCGTCCTCACCCTTCGAGTCAACTTGCAAAAGTGCACTGCCAATGGCAAAGTCCGACGCGTCACATTCAACGCTAAACGGGCGATCAGGATCAGGGCAGGGCCAGAATTGGCGCCTGAAGGAGACTCTCCTTGATGGCTTCAAAAGCCTCGTGGTGTTCGGTGTTCCAACACCATTCCACATCCTTTTTAAGGAGATTTGGTAATGTCCTAGCCACTTCCGCATAGTTGTGGCTATACTTGTGCAAGTAACTTGCCAAACCCAACCACTTGCGTAGGTCCTTTTGGTTCCTCGGAACTGGCCAATCCACTATGGCTTTGACCTTAACAGGGTCTGCCCAGCTTCCTCGCTTCCTAATGAAGCATCCCAAAAAGGGAATCTCTTCCGCACCGAAGATGAGTTTGTCAATATTGGCATATGACGTATGCATCCTCATGCAACCGAGCACAGCTCGCAGGTGCTCGATGTGATACTCCACATCAGTCTTGTCATTTTCGGCTCGACTATGGACGAATATGTCGTCAAAATATGTCTGTGCATAAGCCCTATGGGGTCGAAACAACTGCGTCACTAGACTATTGAACGTTGCAGGAGCGTTAGACAGCCCTTGAGGCATCACTAACCACTCCCAGAGCATACTGCTCGGAGTGCTGACCGCTATCAGCTGGATATCACTAGCTCGCATGAGCAGTCTGAAGAACATCCTTGCGAGGAATCGGTGTTTGAGCCGGGATAGTGGCTGCATTCAGCTTATTGTAAGCATGCACTATTCGCCACTTACCATTAGACTTTTTTATACAAAACGCGGGCGTAGAGTGAGGAGACTTACTCTCAAGAGCGATGCCAGCCGCGTGCTTTGCACGAAAGAACTCGTCAATGACGTCACATTGTTCTCGTGGCAGCGGCCACTGTCGCGTCACACAGTATTTGGTTCCTGGAACCAAGTCATTTTTATGGCGTACACCTCTATCCGGAGGTAACGTCGTAGGAGGTCCTCTGGAGACAACATCTCCATATTCCTTCAACAAAGGAAAATAAGGATCCGAAGGGTCCTTCAAGATCTGCTATCCACTGCACGCATTCAGCGCCTTCTTGGTATCCTCAAGAACAGCTTTATCCAAAGCGAAGAGAAGTTCAACTCCTCCCCAGGTCGTATAAAGACCACTTCGGCGATGTCGCCTGCCTGTAAGGCAATGTCAAACTCGGCAAAGGACAGCTCGTCCAGCTCTTACAGAGCACTTGCTGCGGGTATAGCTGAAAGAGCCACCAGCTCTTCAACATCCCCAATCAAACCCTTGACGAGTGTATACAGCTGTTCGCTATCACCGTCACTCACGATAACATCATCGCTACTCTTGATGCTTTCAGCAATACAACGCATCAGCGTCCACAGGTGTACACCCCTCAAGGTCAAAGATCACTTCGTTTACTGAATGCACCCCACCTTCTTGGGTCAATGCCTCGTCATGAGGTGTTCGCACCTCGTTGTCCTCAAACGACAACCGTCATTCTTGGCTTCACCTGACCCTCTTGGGCCAAGTACCTTGTCACTAGGTACTGGCACCTCGTTGTCCTCAATGATAACATCCACTGATGACCTTACTCGACCCTCCAGGGTCAGTACCTCGTCGTTAGCTGCATGCGCCTCTTTGTGCTCAAAGACAACATCCATTGGTGACTCCACCCGGCCCTCCAGGGTCAGTTCCTCGTCACCTGTGTCACTTGGACTCATGTCCTGACATCTTGGCTTGCAGCAACCAACACCACTCACGGTGTTTAATGATGTAACATCATTCTCATGACACATGTCATAAGCTTCATCTAGTGGGTTCTCAACCACACTATCGACAGTCATTGGGCCTCGCCCAGGACTATTGTCCTCGACACTTACAGTGTCTACAAAGTCGGATATTCCGACATCCAACATATTGACCGACTCGGTCCAATATCCGCGCCAAAAAGCGCTTTTGCTTCCTAGCAGAGGTAGGTTCATGACTCTCCAGGCCCACCAGAAGCATTGCGCGTTGCGTTTAAGGTCTTCGACCTCCAATCAATCCATGGCTCATGACTTTCTAGCCATGCCATGCCTAGGATGAGGTCATACCTTGCATCCAGGTCCAAGACCAAACAGCGTTCCATGCTGTTAAAGTCCAAGAACTTTACATTGAAGTCCATCGGGAATTTGGGTACCGTAACACGCGTACCAATCACTAAGCGAACTGTGACGCCGCACTATACAAGCGCTTCAGAATACTGCTAACTACCTTCCACGGTGGCACGGCGCACATAATTGCCTGATGCCCTCGAATCCATCAAAATGATCCATGGCTTATCAGATCCCTTAATCGTCCCTTCAACGACTAGCAAGCCTGGCTTACATTTTCGTTCCGCTTTTGAGAGTTCGGATCTCTTTGGGACTGGGCCCTGTTTACTTCTACCTCCTAGAGGCTCAACAGAACTCAGTTCTTTCCCAGTAGGGCGCCCCGCGCCTACTGGGTTCCACCGTTTCCCCGCGGCAAACCAGAAGGTTTACCCATGGGGCGTCGACCCTTCGAGGCCAAATGTGCCTTTCTTGCAGGGTATTTTGCCATCGAATGGCCAATGCTCTTGTAGATATAACATCTGCGCACAATTTGCTGCTCCGCAGCTTGAAGCTCAGCTTCTTCATCCTCCACTTGACTACAGTCCATAGGTTCAGACCCATCAGACGAGTAGTTATAAGTGGCAGGCCTAGCGGCCTTCAAGTTGGTCTTGGCATCCCATGCCGCACCAACAGCTTCCTCGAATGAGGACGGCTTTTCATGAAAGACTTCCGTTCGGGCACCGCCAACTTGGGGGCCCTCCATGAAGACCGTGACGGTCACTGCCTCAGGCATAGGGTCTATGACAATGGCAGCAATGAGAGCTCTCAATTCTTGTACATATGCCGCAAGCTCACGCTTGCCTTGGTGACACGCCAAAAACCGCGACCGATTACGGTGTGCTTGGTTTGGAGGTGCATACTGCCGGGTCATCGAAACTTTCAGATCGGACCATGTGGGAAAAGCATCTTGCAATGATGCAGCACATGTAAATGCCCACTGTTTGGCTAAGCCACCTAACTTGCCCGTGGCAAAGCCCACACGGTACGGTTCATAGGTGATGTCGGCTATAACATAGCCGGCTCAACCTGTAGGAACCAAAGCATAAGGTTGTTACCTTCTTTGCCGTCGAGCTTATCGACTTCCATTTGTATGGGGTTTGGTCTACGGACCACTTCTTGCGCCATAGTCGCCATGGGCGAAGGCGCAGAAGAAGGCATCTGTACCTTTACATGCTCGACTAGAGCTTTATTGTATTCATCAAGCATACGAGTACACTTGTTAACCTCTTCTTCGCCCTGGGCGATGAGGTGCTCCACGCCCTTAGGGCCAAAGATAGGGAGCAGCTTCTGCAACCCTTCCTGTTGTACCTGTGACAGGTTACCCGCGAACATCTCATCGATGTCCGTTTTCTCACAAAAAGGCGCACCCCCAGGCGCGGGTTTTTCTAAGTGCTACCAGGTGTAGCCGAGCTACTGTAGCTATGCTACTTATGCACTATGCTACTTGATGCACTATGTGCAGAAGAAGTAGTCAAACTACTGTAGCAAAGCTATGTATGCAGTATGTGCAGAGGAAGACAAGCTCAGAGAGCTTCTACGTCTTAGGGTGTTTAACCCTCCTAGGCTAGCTCGTAAGCTTGTGCCTATCGGCATTTATAACCGAGTCTCAGAGAGACTAGTATCAAAGATACTGATTTCTATACGGAATAGAACGCTCTAGCAACTAGTGCTATACAGAGCAGGTTTTGAAACTAATTTATATTTATGTTTATCTTCTAACACTAAATATAGAAGCACCTATCCTATACTTAGTGCTAGTCACTATTACTGGCTCTTTAGCCTGTTATTATTATGCAAACATGCATAGTCACTATACTTTACACAAGTATAGTGACCACGTGGCTCTGCGACGATGGACCTACTTCAGGTACGGTCACATCACCTACTGCTGTACCCAAGGCACAGCCACACTACATTGGTGTGGCAGGTGTGTATGTACAATGCACTCCTTCGTGTAACCCCGTTACACCTTGACTACATCAGGTAGAGGATTCACTTTTGTAGCGGCAAGAGGAGTTATTTGTTCTTGAAGGAGCTCTTTGTCGTTTTTCCCCGACGAGTAGCTAGGGAGCGTGATCTCACGCGATATGTTTGATATATTGCGGCGCGAACACGCACAAAAGTTTTTGCGTTATCGAATCGCATTCGGGTAAGCAGTATCCACCAATTTACCGCTTGTCAGAGCCCATTCTCTAGCTCTTTCATCGAGCTTTGAGAGCCAGCTATACTCGCTGCTGCTCTAAGTAAAGCACAGCTTAAGTTATGGCCATCTTAACCTTTTGGGTCCAGATAAGAAGATCATTTTCTTCCTTTCCTCCAAAGGTTTGCACGCTCACTAAAAACGGTCTCGTTTTGAGAACGTGATACGTAGCCGAAATGCCTTGAAAAGCAAGTCACCTAGAGTATCATCAATCGTGCTATTGATTGTGTTCACGCTGTCCATGACGAGATTGGACAGACGAGTTAGCGTGGTACAAATGACTAATTGGATGCAATCACCCTGATACATTGGGCACGTGCAAATGAGCTAGCCTGTTAGAATAGCATCGACACTGGTTAGGCGGTCTTGACCATTTTGGTGCAGTGGTAGCAATACTACCGTCGTGTCAGCTCACTGATATCAACTTTGGGCTTATTTGTTGAGAAACCACGTGGGCAGAAAGAAACGCGAGCTATGCAGCCGGCCATGATGATGATTAACCGAGAAAGGTTGCGAATAGTCGAAGTTGCTTCTGTACGTTTCGCTGTTGCGAGGAAAGCTTGTAAGGATCTCATCAATGGTCACAAACGCTGTTTGAATGATGCAATCACACAACTCCATGTCTTGCTGCGTCGATGCAGCAACTCGCAATCAGCGATACTACATCAACAAGCACGTTACGAAAGACAGCAAAGAAGACGAAGATAACTTATTTGAAGCCCTGCCATGTTGCATCGAAGGTGATGTATACCTCGATCCAATGGTGTAATTATTGTTTAGTATGTCTGTACCACGATGGGACATTCAAAACACAGCACGTACTATACTGGCAAGCATGAACGACGACGATCAACAAAAAGTGGCTAGCCTCATGGTAAGTAATGCAAAAGGTTTGCATTGATTGCGCATGTCACCTTGGAAAAGCAGTTTTTGCTCACAAATACTGTTCGATCCTACATTGGCGGCAACAGTTGTCGTACTGCTTTGTTAAACACATTCGAGAGTGCTACGCGAACCTCGGCATTTGGCACGATCATCAGCTTCGTCAGAAGCGGGTACAACCATGACATATAGTGCTGTAGCTACAGCATAATACATCGCAGAAAAGAAGTTAGTATTTGTATAAAGATACCAAATTTACACAGTACTGAAATGGGGCTTACCTCTGTACTGTCGACCTCAGCAAGCTCCCTCAGTGTTGCAACCATAAGAGGCGTAAAGTATTCCACCCGTTGTTGTGCATCAGCAGGTACGACCTTCCTTTCCTCAAAATGCTGCAGAGCTACACCTGTCCAGGTCAAGTATTCTTCTAATGTGTCTTGTACCAAGCGTATCATGTATCTGCGAGCTTCCTCCTGCTCTTCAATCGGCTCCAAATCATTGTTCTTTATGCCATGAGTGAGAGTAGTGAATAACACGTGAAGATATTGTTGCTTGCCCACCACTTCCTGTGGTAGCAAACTGGGGAGCTCATTGGATGATGGCACCGTCATTCCATATCGCCATCCCATGCGCTGCAGATAACGCCGTAGTGGCACAGCATCGTTGACCTTGCGTGCAAATACGAAACTTTCACGCAGACATGACAAGAGTGAGCGAGCATGACCATCGCTCACTGACAGCTTTTCCCCTTCACGACTGGCAAGTACATTTCCTGCTAATCGCTGCAGAGCCAGTAGAATAGCTAAATGTGTGTGTGACGGTAGTCGGCAAGCTTCTGTCTCTTCTGCGCTGATCACCTTTGGTGGAAAGCGTGCAACGAATGTAAAGCCCAAAATCGCCACTACTCCAGGATACATACCCAAAAGCGAAGGTTGCTGAGGTGACATGAGATCAGATGCTGGCGCCGCGTTCAGTTTTGGAGGGCTCTGGTCAACAGAATCAATGTGAGGTTCAGTGACATTCTCGCGAGGCAAGGCAAAAAATATCCACGTTGGCTCAGCACGCTTCATAACATTGCGCAGTTCATCAATGATGAGACCCCAGACACCCTCGGAAATCTTGTGTCCATATGTGACCAACATGACTTCAAGCGCACGTGGCGACGCTGCTGCAAGCTGTTCGTCAGCATCAGCATCCATGCACTTGCCCAACAGAAAGAGAACGTCCGGTAAGAATCCCACAATATCGTAGAAAAGCCCGAAGCACTCTAGCAGCCGCTCGAGGCACAGCGTTGCAGTGGTTTTTCCAGCAGAGTAGTGAGGCATGCGGCTAGACAAATTAAGCGTCGGTGGCAACGTCAGCTTGGGCGACATATGTGCACCCTTGTTCACAACAACCTCAAGGTGGCGCAGCTCATCCAGCAGAGGAATAAGGACATCTTTAAAAATCACCATCCACAGACTAGACGAAAACTTCGTGCCATGAGTCTCTAACGCGTCGAAGAGCGCTTCCTGTGCTGCAAGACGCACGTCCAGACGACGGTCAGCAGCAAGCGTATATAGAGCTGAGAGCACAGGCCACCACACCCGCATATGTGCAGCTGAGTCGTTGTAAACCGTCTCGCTGCTCACAAGATACTCCGGCTCCTCGGCTGCCACAGCATCAGCGCCTTGATATGTCGGTAATGAAGCAGCAGCAGATGTTAATACCTTGGGTGATGACAGCTTAGCCATCTCTCTCTCTAGTGAGCGCATAGATTCTTGCTTCTGGTGCCGCACCGACTGAACGCCATCAGCCGTGCCACTATCACCGGTAGGATCGTCCGCTACAATCCTGATTGTCTTGAGACTACCACGAATTGCCTGCTTGGCTGCAGAAGCTGAAGCAGCTAAAAAGGATCGTGCAGTTTCACGAGCAGCAAGCGGCTCAATCACCTCTCCAGTCGCCAGCTTTTCAATGCAGACGCTACGTAGAAGGCCAATGCTGTCAATTCCTAACTGCGTGAGTGATATTTGCTCCTCCATTTGATGCTCGACCTCCTCACAACCGCATACTGCAAAAGCCAGTAGACACTCGACAGCGTCGACGAATACATCGACGATGCAGTCAAAGTGACGCTCCAACACGCCACGCGCGATCTGAAATCCTAGCAACACCACTCGATTTTCGCTGCCAGGCGCATACGTCTCGGCAGCTATACGCAGCACACCCCAAATTGTTTTCCATCCAGAACGGATGTTATCCACTCGAGCGAGCACCAGGTTTTCAACACAGCGCAAAACCAGTTCACGGGTTTCGAGAGATGTGGCATTTGCCATGATTACTTCGAAAGGCGCCAAAAACAGCCGCTGGAAGTTAAAATCGCGAAGCTCTGCTCGCTCGAGAAATTTTACACTAAGCTGACGCAGCGAATCGATAGCGTACATGCCAACGGTCAAGTCCTCGTGGCATCCAACAGTGGTGAAGTGTCTCGACAAAGTCTGCCACGTTGCTGCCCACACCATACGGGAACGAGTTCGCATATTCATATCAGCTACTTCGACAAGCTTCTGCAAGCTGAACACACGAGGAAGAGAACCACCTATAGCACCAGACGGTCCGACGCCTGAACACTCTGACAGCGACACAACAGTAAGTTGTACGACAAACTCCTGAAGGGCTTGGTCACTCAGTGACACAGAACTTGAAAAAACACGATCGCTTGCAAGCTGATCAATCTCCTTCAGCACGCGTGCAGCATTTTCGTCTTCAATTTGGGCCTCGTCTAGTTCAGAGCCGCCCCCACGACCGCCAGTTTCACGCTGAGATTGGGACGGAGACGTAAGCGACAACCCTGACCCACCACGCTTACTGCTTGTTGTAGAGCCAAGCATACTAAACGAAGGCGTAAAATTACCGCTACTATTGCGGCTAGATTGGCTACTTACGCCAGGGGACGGCTGTCTGTTAAAATAGGATAATTCACTGGAAACTGGCCCTGGCGCAGAACGCTCGTGCAAGCCCTGAGCATGTGTTTGAATTCTAGCTAGCTGCGAAATGGCCTGAAGAACGTCGTGCCATGAATCGCCAAGGTAATTTCCCTCCTTTACACTAATCGAAATTAGAGCCTTGATTGCCTCCATATTCTTTGGCCGCATCAGTCGTGCGTTTGTTGTATGTAGCGCGGTAAATTTGGTCAACACCATTACAAAGGCGTCACGTTCCGCTGGCATGTTCAGCCTTGAAGAAAGATGCACAGCATACCGGAATGAATCGAGACACAGCTGGATGGCCTCTGCCGATTCAGAGCTTTCAAAGGTCACCGAGCACGCTGCTAGAAGCGGGGCCCACAACGTATCAAACATGGGCTGCACATGGGAACGCTCATTGTATCCTGACACTTCCCGAAACGCGGACGACGAAGGATCTGGTGCCAAGAGATACGAAGAAGCATCGTTGTTTTGCTGTGATACGGAGGAGACCCCTGAGTCTGACGCATTAGATGCACCAGGTCGGTTGTTACGAGATGAGATGGACAACGGTTGTTGACCTCGCGCTGATTTCGGTACATGACGCTTAAATAGAGCTTCAGACTGGCGTACCATCGATTCACGCTCTTTAATGTAAGCATCACGCCGCATGCGATCTGTGGTCGCGCCTGAAGCCCCAAACAAAGAACTCGCAGTAGCAAGTGTGACTCCACCACGCCGAGTACGAAAGTCGTCGTCTTCCTTTAGAGAAATAGGCGCTGCTTTGATACGATCAAAAATAGCGCCCATATAGTCCTCGGGCAAATCCTTACCATCGTTGATACCGCGATTGTTGCGTAGAAATCCAGCCTTGTCCATCTTTTTCTCCTCCGCAATGCTCGGGTTGTGCAGATCCGTCTGGAGCATAATGATAGAGAACGCTAAGATGAATGCAGTGTCCGCGCTAGGGAATAAGTCAGGCGGACAGGAGCTGAAAAACCGTTCCGCAAACTTTTCCATCATTCGGTCAATCTTCTGCGATTCACCAGGCAGACGAAAACCAGAAAGAAAGTGACGGATAGCAATATCGATCTCCATGCCAGTAAATTCCATCATATCTACGTATTCATGGAGTACTTTCACGCAAAAACCTCCCTGATAATGAACACCATTTCCGAGGTAATCACCCACCATTGTTTTGTCCAGCTTGGTGTTGTGCGTGTGTAAAAATTTAGCGACATCACGTGGCGAACCTTCACCCATATGCCCATGAGCAACAAGATATGCAATACCAGCACTAGGTTTCACGTTAAATTTGAGAATGCCTGTGGCCATTTCTTCTTGGCGTTTCTTCTTGCTCGCAAAGGCCTCAACTGCCGACATCGTAGATGAAACGACTGCCGCCAAGTCCGGCGGGGCAATATTGTCTTCGTCTCCGCCATTTTCACTATTTTGAAACTCCTCTCCCTCAAGCTGAAAAGAAGAATGTTGCTCAATTTCGATAAAATTTGCCGCCTTCTTCAACGACGCTGTAGTGGCTGTAAGGCATTCGAGTCCCTTCAGGGCGAGAGCGGTATCTTGTTGCTGCATCTTGATGCGCGCACTAGTGGATAAACTGGCAGCATACTGTTGAGCTGCAGCGTCTTGAGAGCGACCACCTTTAGCGGCCTTGGCAAGTGCGTGTACAATTTGCTTGAACAAATCGTTGGTATTCCAGTCGCAATCGTAGTTTATAAAAATCTCACCTAGAGTCTGCGGGTCGTCACAGATCGCATGCAAAGCCTCTAATACCAAGAGTTTGTGTTCAAAGCTGGCGTTTTCAGACAGCAACAGGCGCAGAAAAATACTTGTGATCAAGATATCTAACTCTGCCTTAAGATGGCGCTTGAAATTGCGCAACAGAACCAAAAATACCTGCAGTGACAACGATACGATCTGCGTGTAGTTACTCGTGCAGTTCTGCAGTAGAGACTGGCATAAGTATTGTCGAATGGCATGCACGAACCGCTCACCACGTTGAAATGATGGTCCAGCATTTTCCAAAATTTCCTTCACTAGTTCCAGCGACAAGATCTTACTCTGAAAAGCAAAAGGGTCTTCGATAGAAGCACCGTTTTCTGCGTTTCCAGCCGCTGAGCCATTCACACTATTAGCTGCCGGAGAGTCATCAGCAACAGATCGCATAGAAATTCGGCAAAGGGATCGGAACAGCAAAAATGTGTCCTTGTGTAGCACAGACGGGAACGCTGGGGTGCACACTGGTTGTGGTAGAGTCGCGACTGTCTTAGTTTCTTCTATTGTCGCAGACGAGCTTGCCGTTACATCCTGACAAACTGGTGCACGAGGAAGCTGAAGTGCTCCTGCAACTGACGGAGATAAAGCGGCCCTAGACTCTGTAGGTCGCGTTTGACTAATAATGTCTTCATTGCTGTCACCTTTTTCAACTTCATATTGCTCTGGTTTTTCTCTCTGTTCCTGGCCTTTATCCTTCTCGATCCGTAGACTGTGTTGGTCTTGTTCCTGTATATCCACTGACGTCTCGAACGCGATTTTTGTCTCTTCCTCTACCTTTCTGTCAAATGTTTCCATCCTGTGAAATACAATACTGATTATCTGCTGTAACGTCGCTTTTGCCACCATCCTGTTTGTCGCACTTTTGCTCACTAAATGCACGTGATAGCATGCCCTCACTGCTTTTAACAATGCATGTTCATGCACTTCACACGTTGGTGTCGTCACAGCCGTCAATAAGATCCGTAATACTTGAATCTGTACAATTTCGTCCGAATGGTCATTACAGTCACATGCTACTTCAACAATACAATCAATCAGTCGGTACTCGTTTCCCTCATAAACACCTTCTTCATCTTCTCCTACTGTTGTTCCTGCTCCTATAGTAATCTCCTCATTGTTGCTTGAAGGTGTACTTGATTCAAACGACGGAGCAACATTTGACCCGGATCCAATCAACATTTCAGACCCAGACCCGGATTTTAAATTAAAAACAGATCGACGTCCAGAAGTGGATAAAACAGCTGGTCTCTTGTGTACCAAACGACGTCGTATCTCTTCTGGAATTGTACCAATTTCCTTCAAAAATCCAAAAGCTAGGAACTTTTCCATACAGTCCAATGCTACTGCCACAAGCTTTGCAGACCGGGTCAAACACGCGAGTAAAAAAGGCGCAACGGGGACTTCAACTGTACCCTCTTGACCATGTAACGTAACCTTTGCTTGAGCTGCATCAATCAGATCACGTAATTCACGGTGGTTACGGGTACACACTTTGCGTAACTTTACCAACGATTTCAGTATTAACGTTTCCATGGGGGGTACGAAAGGGGTACAAATGAGGGGTACGTTCACGGTACGAAGCGATTACTTAATGCTTAAAAAATAATGAGCGACTTGAAACTAAACGTAAGGATGACGATAAAGAGAATACAGCGATATATAGACGGTAAGATGAGCGACAAAGCGACGATAGAAAGCCACGTACGTACACAAAGAACGACACGAGAAGCTTCCAAGATGAGACGTCTTTGATCTCTAAAGCACAAAACAGGAAGATTCGCTCGGAACTTCAAAATCGCATATGTGATTTGATAGGTCGCGTTGAAATGCGTGTTGTCTATAACATCTACCGGTATTGATACTGGTATACTCGCTAAAACGAATACCCTTGGTAAATGTACTTTTCCAGGATAATTGACCACCATAAATCACCATCGCCTGAATACTTCTTCTCTACGGTACTATGCAGATGCTCTCTCTCGGGCTGCATACGGTTCTACAATGTCGTGTACGTCTTCGCATCAGTGCGTCTATATCTTGTCATCATTTTGCAGCTTTTACCGCATCAACAGCCTCTCTACGTCCCACAAACTACCGATTGTTCAGCGCTTCCTCGGCAGTCGCAGAGTCATCAAAACTCGGTCGTTGTGTACGTCAACGAGCGAAGAATTGGCAAGTTTTTAGTGCTGTTGAGACTACAAAAGAGACGGGGGTTGATGCGCTGCCTAATAAGAAGCAAGTGGTCAGAAAATGCAGGTTTAACGTGCACCGGTACATTGTGCAGCAGCAAACGCCGTTGGAGGACGTGCTGCCATTGGTACAGAGTGAGATGAGGGCCAAGACGCTCAAGGATCCAGCGGCGCGTCAAGCTGTTGATTCGTTCTACTTTTACTGTGCTCAAGAGGCGGAGAAGAAGGGACTTACAGATGAATTTCGACGACAGGTGCTGCGCTATTTCGATGAGGAGCTTTTTGTCGGTAAAGACGAAGAGAAAGGAAAACATTTTGTGCTTGGAAAATCATTGAATGAAGCAGTGTTTGGATCAGTGATTAAGTTACATTTAGCTGGTGGAGACACCGAGGCAGCATGGATGCTGATTAACAAGCTGAGACGTGCCGTGAAGGACGCAGCAGTGAATCAAATACCGAAGCTGCATTTTCGGACGATAAGTCCATTGCTCGAGTATGGGTGTAAAAACGATCAGTTTTTGAGCGCGTACTCAATATGGGAGCAGTTGAAACGACATGATGTGAAGTGGACAAGTGCAATGGAGGACGTGCTGGTGCAGATGGTGATTGCGTGTGTGAAGACCAACGATGAAAAGCTGAGCGAGTATCCGGAGGTGTCGGCGACTGAGGCAAGCAAACTGTGTTTTCACGCACAAATGACATCTTTGTTGCATGATCTGCAGCTAACGTGTCGAGAGGTATCCATAGCGAACGCTCAGCGGTTGTCGCATGCGTTCCGTGATGCAAATTATATTGTAGAGACTGTGCAAAGCGATGCACAGATGCGATTTCAGTGCCCGTGTTGCGGACACACATTGAAAAAGCAGGGGATGTCGGAGCCTGAACGTGAGCACATGCTGGCTGCTATTGAATCTCGCCGCAGCAAGGTGTCACCAGAAAATGAAGTGAAAGAGTTTTTGACGCCATTTCGAGACTGGTTGATGCTTCGTCACGAAAACTTCCAGCTTCAAAAGTTTGGTATAGATGAAAAGGACGGCAAGCTTTTTGCACTATGTGCTGGACGGGCCGAATATTGCATACATTAACCAGAATTTTGGAGACGGGACGTATCGTTTGGACCAGGTTGATGCTGTGGCGAAAGAACTTGAGGCGGAGGGTCACCTTGTTAGCATCACGATGCCTGCGGCTTATCTTGCTGACAAGTTTGTGGTACGTATTCGCACCAAGCACTACAAGGAAATGCGTCGCCAGGGAAAATTTGTTACTCGTGAGCGCAGGCCTGAGGAGAAGGCAATCTTAGCACGCTGGTACGATGCAAACATGATCTTTAGCTGTCGTACCGATTTTTTATCGGACGATCTCTTTTGGTTGTACGCTAGCGTGCTAATGGGACAAGAAGGGCGCGTGGTCACAAACGACCAAGGTCGTGACCACGTATCCGCTCTACTCAACGGCTATAGTAGTACAAGCGCGAAAGCTCAGACTCAGGAGAATGGCAAGAAAAGCACAGACATAATGAATACACACGCAGGTGTTTCATCCATTTCAATGGACCTTATCGCTCGGTGGAAGGACATGACGACCGTGAACATCGAGATTGAGCATGATGAAGTTGCGTATGCTGCAAATGCTGGAGGTGATTCAACTGGGCTCATACCCATTGACTCTATCCGACTGCTCCATCCGCAACCATTCTCGCGCGTACCTCAAGTGACAGCACCGCAGCATTTTCACTTTCCAATTGCAGACCAAGCAAATCAAAATAAGCATCCGAACCAGGTGCAAAACCAGAGAAAACGGACGCGATGGCTTTGCGCACATACATTATGTGAGACAAGTAATGACACAACACATCGACTGAAGTGTAATGACATTATACATGGTATGTGCACATAATAGACATAGAGCTGGTCATAGATAGAGCGTATTTTCATAGAAACGTAGAACCTACAGTTGCTATTGTTGTAATCATCAGGGCAGTGGATGGAGATCGTGAGGTTACAAATTGTCAACCAGTAACCACATCAGCCTAAAAGGGTTACGCTTTGCTCTATATTTACGCTCACTATGGATGAAAAGCATACCAAAACGTCAAACATGATCATCATATACAAAAGTGTTAAGCGACAAATCGACATCAGAAATCTGTTGAGCATTTACGATATCAATTCATTTAACAATTGATACAAGCATTCACTTGATACAAGCATTCGATTGATACAAGTATTCGATTGATACAAGCATTCACCTTGATTGTCAGACCAATTTCATCAGCTTATCGAGCCACATCGTGCTCGAAACAGAGGACTTTTGCTCATCAAACGTGTCGTGGGAGATTGATTTATTTGACTAGTTTCTTGCTTGGACTCGTTTTATGCTCACACTTGCCATTGATACAATGGAAACCAGGGTCGCAGTCTTTCCTTATGAAGGTACTATTGGCCGGGTTGAAGCACTCGTCAGGGTGGGGCTTGCGACACTCAGTCGCTCCGATTGGACAGTACTCACCCTTCTTACATGTCTTGTAGCAAATCTTGCCATTGTTGTTAGTCTTTTCCAAGTACACGCGAAGGTGAATAGACGTTTGCTCTATAGCGACTAAGGGCTGGATCAAACAAACGACGGCAACAATGACAGTTTTGAAGACAGCGGAGGACAGCATTGTATTAAGAGTAAAGTAGAAAGGTGGAGGCAATTCTTAATTGATACGGTGCGAATCTGAAAGTGATGAAGCCACGAAGAGATCAGTCGGTGGACTGTTTTCAAATCATGTGCGACTTTGAATCAGGATCTTGTCAGATGAATACGTAAATCAAGATATTTACAGATTATAAAAATCTCACGAAACACAGTCATCTCTTCATGCATTTTGGGTCCGATAGAAATCATAGCAATGACCAAGATATATTGATTGCTGTCGGACTAATGAATACAAATCAGAAGTATGATGATTGTCATCATAATGTACATGTACATTGAGATTTATGATTCATGATGATACTAATCTGATCGATAAAATAGCTGTTTGTGCCTCATTTCTTTATTCAAGATTTACTCGCTCATGTGATCAGTTGAAGAAATAGGTGACTGGTCATGTAGCCATGTTAGTAAAATGCACATGAATATATCATGGGTATACATTTGATTTGGTCTAAAAAGACCGGAAAAATAAAGTGATGATTTCAGTCAAGTGTCGAAATGGATCAAAATGCCGTTTCAACATTTGTAACGAAAGCTCTCGACTGAATATGAAACTCATATTTTTGATTGGCGCTAACTATTGTCTTGCTAATAATCATTACACACAACATTTGTATATTGTATGAAAAGCTGTATACATGTTTGGAAAAAGTCTATTGTCGCCTTCGTTTCATTCATGTGGTCCACTTTGCTTATCAGTGTAGCCAAATTGTCAATCAAAAGTTTGTTCTTCAACTCGTTTCCATGCTGTTCTTCAAGTGTGTGTGTGTGTGTTTTTTTTCAGAATTATTAGAAAGATCTGTTTCACCATTTATTACTTCCTCACTCTATATCTATACTTTATTTCCAATAAAAAAGAAATCTTAGCAAGTCCATCTTCGCTCAGTTTAAAATCCCGTGTCTCGACCGTAAACATTCACAAAGAATGACGCGTCGACCTGTTTTAAGTAGTAGTAATCACATGCGTCAACGTCGTCCTACGAGTGAATTTCCTCGAACGTCATTGGTCACTACTGTCTCCTCTAATGCTCATAATCGACGTTTAAGTCTTGATCAGATCAATGTCTCACCTGCGATTTATTGCGATGGTTATGCGCGTATTAAACGCCGTAATGTATTGACTTGGACGACGCGTTTTCTGGTACTTCGTAACACAGAATTGCGATTGTATCATAACAAAAAGGACGCTAGCTTGTGTTGCAATGTTATTGATTCATTCGAGCTTGTTAGCGGTCGTGTGTCCTCGAAGAACGATCTGGGCATTGAATTCTCGTTCAAGAACGGCCGTGAACTACTCGGTCGTGTCTTTAGTCGATCTGATCAAGCAGAATGGGTGTCGGCCTTTTATCAATTGGCAATGAAGAGTGACGTGCGTCGAATGAAGAGCGTGTCCATGGATGTGGATGATAAGACTGCGGTTCAGAAGCGACGTGTTTCGTTTTTCGACAGTGTTCTTGTTCGAACAATCCCAATCGTACCAGACTACCAAGTACCAAACCTTTTTTACAGCAAGAAAGATGTGGAAAAGTTCTCAGTCCAGGCTTTGAGTCTTCGGAGTCGCACAGAGGACGCTGTGTCACTGGTATTCCGGAAACCTTCGTTATCGTGGTACTGAGATCATCTGGTTTCGTTATAGTTTATGCACACAGAAGCGTTTGAAGCCTGGGACTTGTATTCTCTTCTGTCCATTTATCAGCAGCTGCGCTCCATTAGGAAGAGCGTAAACGGTGTTTCGTATGGTATTGCACACGACAACACCTGCGTGCTACAACACTCTTATTCGAAATATTCTCTTGAAATGGACTTGATATTTTATGATTGATGCGATGGTTATGACAGCAGTATAGAATATTAGTGCACATGGTAAGACAGACACCTTGTTACAGGTCGCGTTGGTCAATTCTATGGATGCAAAAGTTAGTGATGTATTGCATTGCTAATATTATCGATGAGTTGTATTGTAAAGTATTGATGAAGTTGTGCAATAAGGACAAGAAAGGATAAGTGACATGAAGTTAATAACCCTCACCAAATGTTTCTGTTGTACCATAACTACATTTATGTGGATCCAAAATGCTAGTGTCCTGTTTACTACATGCCAACTTCCTGCTTTTGCTGCCGCCTTGGTTGCAACATGGTGAGTGTTAGTAATCATAGATTTACTACAGACCTGCTTGCAGTAGTCAGTTGAAGTGGAGCCTCACAAATGATAAAAGTGGGTTTTTTCCATTGTGATACTCAAACACAGACAGATCATGTAGCCATGTTACACCAAAAAAAGCACTTTATAAGTTTAGTGGGTTTTTTGTGGGTTTTATACCATGTCGTATTTCACTCGTGTTCTTGTTGTACTAAGTAAGTAGCGTCTATTATGTCGGTGCTCATTCGTGTGCCATCCACGGCTGCAGTGTACGTAGCTGCAACACGGCAACACGTGGGTAAGACGAGCACGTGCTTGGGACTATTACAAGGACTTACTGGTCGTTTTGACCGAATCGGGTTTTTTAAGCCCGTGGGACAAGAAAGTGTTACTGTAGAAAATGGGTCTTTGCGGGTGGATAAAGATGTCGCGGTAGCCAAAGGTAAGAGCGACTATCATTTACAATACGTTTAATAATTTAGTGATTACTGTGATTTTTGAATCGATAGCTGCTGTACTGAAATAAGTGCTGTATATGATGGAATGTTATACGAAATGTAGAGGTTTTTCAGCTCCATACATGCAATTATGCCGACATGTCTCCCGTAGTGATTATGCCAGGTTATACCAAGCGATATCTAGATGGAGATATTACTGTAGAGAGTCAATTGAACAAGATTCGGACGAGTTTCAAGCGTATTTCTCAAGCAAACGAGGTTTCTTAGCAATCAGACGTGAGACATGTAGCGATGCAACTAATTTTGAGTTTGATGTGGTCATTTTGTAGTTTACTGTCGTGGAAGGCACTGGACACACAGGAGTTGGCTCGATTGTGGACTGCAATAATGCTCGAATAGCTGCTGAGTTGGGTGTGGATATGATACTAGTGGCCAATGGTGGACTTGGCTCGGCATTTGACGATTTAGCACTTAATTATTCAATGTGTAAAGCACATGGTGTGAAGATTCGAGGTGTGATTTTGAACAAAGTGCTGGAAAGTCGAGTGGAAATGCTGCAAGAATATTTTCCTAAAGCAATGAAGTACTGGGGAGACAATGTACCTCTTATTGGAATTGTGCCGAATCTGCCTGCACTGTCAAACCCGAGTATGCTGGATTTCGAAGGGCTCTTTGAAACTGAGATGTTGACATCGCGTACGCGACGCTTTCAGCAGTACAACAAAACTACGCTTGTTACAGCAGGGCTTAGTCGGTTTTTAGTAAAATTGACGTCGCCCGAGTTTGAGCGCACGCTGTTTGTCACTCACGTGTCTCGGAACGACATTATCATGGGTTTTCTGTCACACGCACAGAACTTTGAGCATATGGCAAAGAGACCTTATGGTGGTGGACTGATACTCACAGGCTCACCGTCAAATGATCAACCTCAAGATTACATTATGGATATCATCAAGAACGCTCAGGCACCAGTTCTTTACGTACCCACTCCAAGTTTTGAGGTGATGGAGAAGATTACGCATTTTACAGGTGAGTCACTGCCATTTACATGACATGATTGTGTGTGTTTTTTTGCTTTAGTGCAGGAGTGTTAACATTATGTTTTCGTTACTCGGATATTTCTTACAGCAAAATTTAATCCAACGGATAAACACAGGGTACATGCATGTAGTACACATTACGCTAGACATTTGAACTTTGACGCTATTCTGTCAAGGTAAATACATACCTCATTTATCAAGTGTCCTTTGTAACAAAACATTCTCAGTACAATGTCGACTGTATTCATGTGCACCACATTAATCATCATACTACAAAGACACGAAAAAGACTTCGTTCGAAAAATGAGCGTGACTAACCCTGCGTCATCTTTAATCGTACGTGGCGTTACGTTCGACTTGGATGATACTCTATGGTGTGGCAAGACTGTTCTTCGCAAAGCAAACGATGCTTTTCATGCATTTTTAATGCAAAAAACACCTCAATTGGCTCAGCAATTCCCTCCTGCTACGTTTGATACGCTTCTTGTTGAATTTCAACAGTCCATGCCTGAGAAAGCACATGATTACACATTTCTTCGTAAACATACACTCAATTATTGTATCAACGTTTGTGGGGCTTTGAATCTAGAGTTAGAGGATGAAATACAGCTTGAAACCTTTATCAATGCTGCATTTCAAGCGTTTCTAATACCTCGTAGTCAACCAGAGCTATTTGATGGTGTCGAGCACTTGTTTCAAGCTTTAAAACAAGAGATTAGAGAATGGAATCAAGATATTGATCCTATCTTGGGTGTTATCACTAATGGCAATTGTAAGATGGAAAATCTACCGGAATATTTCAATCAGCACATGAACTTTATTGTATCAGCAGAGGTCGTTGGCACGGCCAAGCCAAATTTAGCGATCTTTGATGCAGCGGTTGCGAAATTCCCACCAGTGAATGATCGTCAACAGATTGTTCATGTTGGCGATCACTATGAATGTGACGTGGAAGGAGCAAAACATGCTGGATTGCGTACGATTTGGGTGAATGCCAAGTGGACGAAACCCAATGCATTGACTCGAACCGAATTAGATTTGGAAGATGCGGAGCGATATGTTGCTGCAGATGCAATTGTGAAAGAAGTGAATGCTGTGTTACTTGTGGTGAAACACTGGAATATGCTTGCTGCTTCATCAACGTAACAGAACAAACAAATCTTGACGAGATATTTCTTCATGTTACATGTGTTTGACATAAATGTTTCCTCGTAACGTATGATACAACGTTTGAAATACTCATGGATCGTGTCCGTTCATTCATCCGACAGTCAATGAAATGCACTGCTTGCATTAAGATGTCTACTACAACGTTAGTGTTTGTTTGCCTCACATTTGTCCTAACGTAACCAGCTTGTTCATAGCCTTAATTGCCAACGCAACAAGTACATTTGTCCAGCATTACCAACTCGTCCATGGCCTTGCTCGTCAAAGCAACAAGCAAGTGCACCGCCAATAAGCTGCCCTTCACTTCGATGTCGGCTACAGTTTCCACCGTTGAGTCGATCAAAGTGACAACAACAGCGTTGTCAAGTGGAACGTTACATTACTTAGCGTAAGCCAGCCAGTCTTTTTGTTGTACATGGGCCTTCCCCGTTACTATGTTGATCCGCAGCTCCTGCAATTGAAAGCGACGACTCGGTAAATGAAAGCATCATTTCATGTTAGCGATGTCAACAGACACGTTGACACGGCTTGATGTCATTGCTCAACTGCTACTCATGTAGGTACATGCACGTCGTGCAACGCTTTCCATCTGCATTAGCGGAAGGCAGTTCCATCTTAAAGTACACAATTCCTTGAAAATCTCCTCTCGCTCATTGAGCTACGAAAGATGTAGTTTGTCGTGAGTCGCAGCATCAGAAGAGGGTGGGCCAGTTATCTGCCACAAATAGGTTGATAGCGCATGGGCTTTGATTCTCAATACTACTGCAGCGCCATGACGCATCACCAGCTGGAAATGCCGAAGTTGTCACTATCATAAACAGCAGAAAAATACGATTGCTGCTTGTTGTGTGCCGGCATCAACAGTTGACCCGATCCCATCAATCATCGACGTCCTCGAAAGGTCTGATCATCAGTCGATTGTATCATACAATACTTCACTACAGTCTGTTTGAAAGCCGCTATCAATTGTGCAAAGCGTTTCCTGTATTACTCGTATCAAACAAGCTTGTACATGAAACGAACCGGCCTCCTACATCATGATGGGAACTAGGAACAATAGGCATAATCCCGTAACACCTGGTAGCACTTGCTGGTTCTTCAATGCACAAACACGAGAGATGAGCATGGTAGAACCTCACGAAACTCTGTCGGTCTCGAAACAGCCGAGTAGAACGGATGTCTTTCGTCATCAAATTGACAAACGACAGCCGCTCGTCTTGCCACAAAAAGTGTGTCATAAGATTGCTGAAGCTCAGAGCATCATTATCGTCAAGACGACGAAAGGATGAGTGCACTACAGTTGAAGGTCTACGACCGATTTGCAATCGTTTGCCGAACGTGATCCATTGCAGCTTGGCAGGTTGAACACTTCACGCTTTCACTCATTTTGGTTTTCTCCACAATACACAACAGTCCACTTCCCACCACTCTCTTTCAACAATGCGTCTCTATCACGCTCTCATGGCTACCACCGTCGCTGTTTCTCTAATGTGCAGCAATGGTGTCAACGCTCAACCCCCGAAAACGGGCTTCTGTAAGACACCCCGTGTGCGTATCACCGAAGTGGACGTGGGTGCTGTCGTTGACACGAATGAAGACGACGCAGCACTCAAGGTCGTGGCTCTCGCTGCACTACCGTCGGGCGGATCGCGTATCGCTTTCCACAGTGGCGACAACGTCATTGTTCGAGAGCTGGATGCCAATGACAAGTTGGTGAGCAGCAGCGCTGCAATCAAGGTGCCACTTCACGACTTCGCTGACCTCCACGCTGACAAGAACGGCTTTGTGATTCTTGGTACAAGAGACGCCGAGGGTGGAGGCACTCTAAATTGCGGTAACCCCAAAAACCTCTGTGGCACGGCACCAAACCCGCCGGTGCCGTGCTATGACATGTACATGGTTCGCTACGACGGCGCAAAAGAGAAGTGGGCGACAAAGCTGACGTCATCCAGCGCGTCGCTACCTCCCTACTCCTTGTCCAAGACGGGTAAGGACGTGTACATGATCTGGTGGTATGCTCATCACGGCCGTATCGCCTTTGACGGTACCAACTGGGCTGCATACTTTGGTGCTGCCATCTCGACGTCCGAGGGTGGCTGCATTAACATTCACCAGGGTGACCGCATGAAGGTGGTAAATCCGTCGGGCACAATCACGGCGGACCAGGACTCGTTCGACTGGGGTTGTTCGCACTCCGCTTACGAGCGCATCACGTATGATAACCGCACGAAGAGCTATGCGACCATCTGTAAGACGGATAGCGGCAACCGCATCATGCCGCCCAAGGACTGGGACACGACCATCTATCCGGTGGACCTGAGTGCCTCGAATTTAGGTGATATCGTGCCGGACTCGAACCCGTCGAGCAACAAGTACTGGGCCACTGTGAGCAATGGCAACGGTGATAAAGCCAAGGTGCATTTGATCCAATTTGCGATGAATAGTGCGGCCAGCAAGGACATCACACTGGGAGGCACGGATGCCAACGAGCGTGCACCACATTTGGCGTCCATTGGCAATGGCGGCATGCTGGCTGTTTGGGAGGGCAGCTCTTCGGGTGGTGATCTAGTTGAGGGAGGCCGCCGCACGATGTATGCGCAGGTGTTGGATGCGTCAACGGGCAAGGCTATCAGCAGCAAGGTGACGGTGGACAATTCAGTAGTGGGCAACCGCTACCAGGCATTGAAGACGTACCCGGACGGCAGTGTGGCATACTTGTCTAAGGGCAAAACAGCCACCTCGTTGCAGGTTGTTCGCTTCTTTGGATGTTAGATTGTTCTTAAATGTTTGTCTTATGTGTTTTGTGAGATATCTCGCAAGCATAGGTGGTAGCATTACGTGTATGACCATGAATGCAATTTTCATCTCTTTAGTCTTGAGCGTAGACGCAATTCAAATCAATTAGCTTGTCATTTAGTTCTTTGAGCTTTACAAAGTTTCATGTAGAACGTCTAGCGATAAATGGCATTTGTCATCCAATATGGCGTACTCTCGTTACTTTATACGAACAATCTAACATCCAAAGAAGCGAACAACCTGCAACAAGGTGGCTGTTTTGCCCTTAGACAAGTATGCCACACTGCCGTCCGGGTACGTCTTCAATGCCTGGTAGCGGTTGCCCACTACTGAATTGTCCACCGTCACCTTGCTGCTGATAGCCTTGCCCGTTGACGCATCCAACACCTGCGCATACATCGTGCGGCGGCCTCCCTCAACTAGATCACCACCCGAAGAGCTGCCCTCCCAAACAGCCAGCATGCCGCCATTGCCAATGGACGCCAAATGTGGTGCACGCTCGTTGGCATCCGTGCCTCCCAGTGTGATGTCCTTGCTGGCCGCACTATTCATCGCAAATTGGATCAAATGCACCTTGGCTTTATCACCGTTGCCATTGCTCACAGTGGCCCAGTACTTGTTGCTCGACGGGTTCGAGTCCGGCACGATATCACCTAAATTCGAGGCACTCAGGTCCACCGGATAGATGGTCGTGTCCCAGTCCTTGGGCGGCATGATGCGGTTGCCGCTATCCGTCTTACAGATGGTCGCATAGCTCTTCGTGCGGTTATCATACGTGATGCGCTCGTAAGCGGAGTGCGAACAACCCCAGTCGAACGAGTCCTGGTCCGCCGTGATTGTGCCCGACGGATTTACCACCTTCATGCGGTCACCCTGGTGAATGTTAATGCAGCCACCCTCGGACGTCGAGATGGCAGCACCAAAGTATGCAGCCCAGTTGGTACCGTCAAAGGCGATACGGCCGTGATGAGCATACCACCAGATCATGTACACGTCCTTACCCGTCTTGGACAAGGAGTAGGGAGGTAGCGACGCGCTGGATGACGTCAGCTTTGTCGCCCACTTCTCTTTTGCGCCGTCGTAGCGAACCATGTACATGTCATAGCACGGCACCGGCGGGTTTGGTGCCGTGCCACAGAGGTTTTTGGGGTTACCGCAATTTAGAGTGCCTCCACCCTCGGCGTCTCTTGTACCAAGAATCACAAAGCCGTTCTTGTCAGCGTGGAGGTCAGCGAAGTCGTGAAGTGGCACCTTGATTGCAGCGCTGCTGCTCACCAACTTGTCATTGGCATCCAGCTCTCGAACAATGACGTTGTCGCCACTGTGGAAAGCGATACGCGATCCGCCCGACGGCAGTGCAGCGATAGCCACGACCATGAGTGCTGCGTCGTCTTCATTCGTGTCAACGACAACACCTACATTTACTTCGGTGATACAAATCCGTGACTTGGCACATAGTTTAGAATGGTCCAGCGACGTTATGCTATGAGCACTTGAAGGTGTCAAGGCTACGGACAAGTCCGTTTCAGCCGAAAGTGCGTCTGCAGTCGTAGGAACTTTGGTGATTGAAGGTGTATCAAGATACATTGTTAATCCTAATGGGAAATACTGGAATGGCAAAGACACACAGTCGCACGTAATGCTTTTTTGCACTGTCTCAAACCGAAAGTCTCGAGTCTATCTAATCAATATGCAAACGTTCAAGGACGAGATAGTGTGAATAGCTAGCTACATAGAGCCGAGCCTGTACAGTGTATAGAGTATTCTATTTGCTTTCATTTAAGGCGTTGTGATGTCGATATCTTCAAGTATTGCGGTGGATTGAGCAGCTTGAATACCACCTCATCTGGTTATAAGTATACAGTCGCTTGGAAGCTTCGATTGCTTTAAGAGTGAGGTCAAATATTCTGCACCTTATAATAGATGTCTTTAAAATATCGTTGTTCATACGATTTAACTTAGGGTCAGGTAAAGACTTCAGATCGATGAAAAGGCAGCTTTATTTATTTCGAGCATCTATTATTTCGCGAATTATTTTTCAATTTCCCAATGTATTTTATATGCTCATCATACATTCTATAAGATATATCAACTTCATGCCATCCTCGCTTTTACATTTAACTACATATTCTAATTAATGGCATTAAATAGAGTGAAAATAGATGCAACGCATCCTCACGTAAGTTTTCGAGTATAAGCTTCAAGTTAATCGGTAAAACTCGCTTGACCGATCAATAGCATAAAGCTGGAACAATTTGTACCGACCATAGCATCAAATAGTTATTGCTTTGTCTTGGTCCAATATAAGGAATCAGCCGTGTACAAGCATCAAACCAGTCCATGACATTGATTAATCATCGTAAACTTGTTTGAGATGAACGCATACAGCCGGTAGTCAGTATCCAGTACACAGAGGCAGTTCTTGTCCTCGTTGTTCTCCATATTTTCCAATGTACACTGACATGCTGGTCAATACAAAAAAGGTCGCAGCGTTTCGACCTCTACCTTTCTGCGCCTGTTCTGCCCAATCTCACTCTGAGTTGCAGCAAGATCATCGCCGTCTTCTTCGCAAACGGCAGCATCCAGTGCCGCTACAGCTGACAGATAGTGCGTCCGCATGCGTAGATAATGCACACGAGCCGATCGTCCTGCTGCCACGCGGCTGACTCGGTCAAGTGATAGTAACTCTTCGACTGCGTGCTCTATCTCACTTAAAGTCACATGCACGGATGGCAACATGACAATTGGATTATTATCGGCCGATTCTCGACCACCATAACCGTTTTCTCCACCCGGAAGGTCTTGAGCTGTAGCGTCTACCTCTGACAGCATGTCCGCATTTTCAAACCCTGAGGCGGCCGGGCCTTCGTAGTCAAACGTACCCACACGCAGACCGCTGCTATCTGGTACCCATTCCTGCATAATCGGTGTATCGTACGTCACGGTAATAGCGCCAACCGCCAAACTTTCGAGCACTGTTGCCTCATATTTCTCTAGCTCAGGCGGCACAGGAAAAAGGTGTATACCAATCATATTCTTGAGTCTAACAATTTCCTCAGGTGTGTTAGCTTCTTCTTCACACACCAAGTCCACGTTAAGCCTGCGATTAAACGATTTCGTTCCCTGCTTGTGATTCAAGCCTTCTAGCCGATCCCCGACAGCTTTGTCCGAATCGGCTACAGTCTCTGCTGCGTTTTCGTCGGCTTCGTAGTCCTTAAGCATACTACTTAAAATGCGCTGAAATGACCCGCAGAGAGCTAATGACCGGTGAAATCGCACATGAAGCATGGGCCATGTCGGGTGCGCCACCCACGCTGAAAGCAGTTCCTCCGTGAACTGGTCTTTCTTGTCAGCGTCGTTTACAATCACAACATGCAGAAACTCGTCCCATTTTTTGTGAATGTGTCGGTCATAAATGTCTGGTACCGTGGTCTTTAGTAGGTACACACCGAAATGACTAGCTGCAAGATTGGAAGCACTGAGGTCAGCAGACGACGTGCGTCCCAAAGCATTCCGCGCATTAGCGCGTGCTCCTCTTCTGTTATTTTCTTGTTGCTCCTGTCGAAACTTCAGCATCTGACGCAAAGCAAACTCTGTCGGTACTAACACTAAATCTGGAAATCTCGCAGCAAATAGCGCTGGACGCATTGCACTCAACGGATAGAGTGCAGCAAATATCCCAGCACTTGCAATTTGCGTTTCCATCTCTCTATCAAATGTATTAGCTCCTATAACAACATGAACTCGACTAGCAATTTTCGAAACGGCTTTGGCAGCTATGACTTGACTCCGTGGCCATAAGAATGCCAATTCCATCGCTTGTGTCATGTCACTCTCACTTCCCATTGGCATAACTGCTAGACACGTCCACGGTAGTCGTGCTTGTCCAGGTTGTTGTACTCCAGAACTATATTGTTGCTCAAAGCGTCTTTTTATAAATTTCGATGCAGCCGTTCCAGGCTGGACATAAGTATTAAAAACTGCCTTGGACTGCACCAAATCAGCTGAAGCCAAGAGTTTCTCATTGAAAACACATTCATGGACGCGTAAATCTAGCAAAACCTTTTGAAATCTCCAATAAATGATCAGCTGGACCAGAATGAAACTAATGGAAGCGTATGTGAGGTATTGAGTAGGGTAGACCCAATATTTCACTGGAATGAAGGCATCACCTCGCCACCATTTTATCCAATCATGAACATCCGTATATAACTTCAGTATCTCCTGTCTCCATGCTTCAAATCTAGTTGCTATGGTTGGAAACCTTGTCGTCCATGCAAGTAGGATAGAATGTAGCCATGTGATTACATGGCTACATATTGTTTGAAGTAATTGAAGTATCATTTGTGTTTTAGAGTTGCTTGTAGCACATAAAAGTTCCTGTTGGTCTTCGGTCAATATTTTACCTCCGTATAACGACATACTTGGAGTCACATTGCCTTGTTTTAACAACGAAGTAGAAACGGGATGATTCTCGCTATCGCTTGGTAAGTTACACATTGATGTTGCTATGGCCACATCTGTGTCATTAGTTGTCATATTCTCAGCTATGATCCCATCATTCTCGATCCCCTCAAAGAAACTACGTCGACGTAGGCGAGAAGTTGGCTCTTGGTCCATTTGTTTTGTCATTGGGTTTTTTGTCTTGATTAAAGGGTGGTTTTATAGGTATCAGATTTAATAAAAAACCGTGGTAAATAAGGGTTTGAACTGAGCAAAATAGCTGGGTAAAATGTACAGATTATCTGATAAAAGCAGGTCATTTTAATTTAAAAGAGCAAGTTTTATTGTGGATAAACGTTACATGACGCAGTGTATACTTTTGCGGAGCAATTACGGATAAATGCAACAACTAGACTGGTTGGATTGCTTATCGTTTTAGCGTGTAGCCTTCAATTTGTACATTTTGTCACCAGCATGACGACGTACGTATGTTAGTGGTGAATGTCGCAATGTGCGATGGTAATCACCACCTAAGCACATAGTCATGTGCTCTATCTAATGCTTTGCTTTGCGAGCGTAAAGATCTGCTTTTCTGATACCGTATCCTAGAAAGTATGCAAGACACATCACTTTTCATTTGAAGATATGGCTGCCATTGCATCAGCGAATAGTGTAGACGGCCTTGATGGAAATGTACTCTTAGCATATCAAAAGACAGGCATGTTCTGCGATCTTACTAGCCTTTGGTGGTTGGAAAAGAATGGATTCAACATGCCACAGACCCTTCCAGCACGGAAGGAAGCTATGCTAAATATCCTATCTGTCACATCAATCCTACACCCTAGAAAGTCAAGCAATGTGTGCGCTCAGGTTTGCATTGCACACCGATCCTATTGCACTGGCGCTATTCCGTTTGCCAAAGCAATTTGGCTGTCATCCTTTTTCTAACAAACAACCTATCTGGATCAGGTATTGCCATTGATGAACGCTGATGCAGTTTAGCTTGTTGTAATCATTTCACTACTTCATGTGTTAGTTCCACCTTAGTATCCTTCGGGTTTCACGTGCAGCTTAGCACCATTTTGGTAGTCAGTCACCTTGTCTCGTTCTGTGCTCTTGTTAATATACCATGACCGTGATAAGCAACATCATACTAAGCTCGCATATGATTTGTCTGTAGCGTATGCTCTGCGAATGACAATGCGTCATGCTTTCATACTTTGACGGCTATCCAAATAGCATCTTTTGACATTATCAAGTGTTGACACGTCGCAATGGCGGCAGAATTATTTTTTGCGCGTGTGTCGCAGTCATTCTGCAATCTACCAAGTGATAGCGAATTGGTGCAAGAGAGAACGTGATCACGCGGTCACTTTCCGCTCATGAGCCTGCTTTTCGTCTTGATAGTAGTTGTGGTCACTCTAGCCACTAGCCAAGGTGCTATCCCGGCAGCTCGAGACGACACCAAACATTGGCAAGCAAACGCGCAAAACCAGATCGATAGAATTGATGCATCCGAGACCGAGGTCAGAACCAGGCGAATGCTACGTGGTGTTAGCAGTGCGAGAAACGGTGTAAATGACTATCCTGCTCAAAGAAGACTGTTTATCGAGGATGAACTTACGAAATTACTGAACAACCCAAAGAAAAGGAAGTCGCTCTACAAACAATGGTACAAGGACAAGTACAGTATCAAACAAGTTACTCAAGGTCTGAAGAATAGCGGAACTCATGAACTTAGTGATATATACGAAAGTCTTGCAAAAGGCTATGCGGTATACTTTCGTAAGAAAAAGCGTCATAAAGGCTTTGTCACTGACACAAGAGAGCTCCAAGACCAAGCAATGAATAGTAAGTAGTTCATGCAAAAAAGTCGTTCAGTAGTTAAACTAACACTTGGCATTTGATAGCCCAAAATACAATCTGAAAGCCAGAAACTACTCTCAAATCAATTTGATGCAATTTTTGTTACTTACGACGGTGTCTTTGCTCTATATTCAACGCAGTAGAGAGCAGTTATAGGTATCGATTGTCGAAAATCTGGGTATACGTGCCTGCTAAATGAAGCTACTTCTGGATAGAATGCTAAAAATATCTCTCGATCCATGTAATCGCCATATCCGACAACGGTCAAAATGTGACGGTCATGACGATGGCGGATGAACGTTTGCGAGGCGGCGATGATACGGGACGGGGGATCAAAGTAAAGAACGACAAAAGTATAGAGCGTCAAAACTCAATTGCAGCTAATCAAAAACATTGCATAGACCAAGATGAGAGCCACATTTGCTCGGATGCAAAAGCTTTGCAATATGCATGGAAACACTGCCAAGGTGGAGCAGCCGAAAGTAGTAGTACCAGTACCGGCTGGACCGAGAAACAAGAGAAGTTTTATTTGGGTTTCCTCGCGTGATGCAGAGATTTATCCTTTGGTGTTGTGTGTGGCAGTTGGTACCGTGATTGCCGGTTTCAGTGTTGTCCGTCACCTGATGTTCGATCCTGACGTTAACGTAAGCCGCGACCGGCGCGAGACACCAACATGGGAACGCTATGATACCGAGGAAGGAAAGACATTTTCGCGAAACCGCCACCATTTAGCCAATCTCAAACCGAATCCGATCAACACGTTTGAAGAATCTGCTGCACTGAAAGAAGGAACCGATGAACCGTTCTCGAAACACCTGTAATGGAAAATCAAAGGTTTGTGGGATGGACTACAGAAGAAGCGTAGGGAAGGAGGACAGTGTACTCCGTCGCTTCTACCTTTTGGTAATGCTGAAGTACGCGCGCACTTGGGCGTTCGATCATTTGTTGTCATTAACTAGCACCTCAGATCCGTCCCAAACACAAGAATACAATAGGGGTGAAAACTATCATGCTAGGATTAACTACAACCATTGTTCATTACTCTCATTCCGTCGTAGCTGAGTTCAATTTGCCATGCATATTTACCAGCCGACAAAGTTTCTTCGTTGTGAAAAGCATCATTACTCCAGCTACTAAGTTGGTGATACGAAACAATCCTATGAAGCAATCGGTTGTCCATTTGAATATCTCGTAAACGATGCAAATTGTAAAGCCTTCGTAATGATTTAGATACGCATAGGATGCTTGCTGTGGACAATGAACTATTTGTCAATGCAACCTCTGTCATTCGTAATGCTACAAAATTGTTTAGGGTTCTCGTTGTTGGTGCGTGCAATGGTTCATATGCAAGTTACAGCTTGTCGGCTGTAAGGTCGTCCAGATAGGTTGGTAGTGATCTAATCATGGTATCGTAGCTAAGCAACTGAAGCTGTGCGTTCTTTGCTCGTTAGTGGTCGCAACGGTGTCAGTCACAGCGCTACAGTTCAAAAAACGGTGAAACGTGTCAGATACAATGTAACAAAACATATGATGCAATGCACACATGTTCATGCATTTGAGTTAGAGGCATTGAAACGATCCAGTCATGTACTTGGTTCCTTCAGATGTTCCATACGCAGCTGCCATGCTGCAATGAGAAACGTTGACTCTCAACAAGTTTGATCGTCAGGTGAGCACAAAACTTTCCTTCTTTCCCATCTAACACTACACTTGTTATCGGCGTTTATTGTAACCTTTCTTGCTATTGTCGAGTGCTGCCTTTTCAAGCATCTCACGTATACATGCTGCTTAAGTCAACACTTACAATCCATTTTTTCCCATAGAAGCCTCCCATATCTGAACGGATATTATGATACTTGTTGACGTAAATTGTCTCCTATACCAAGTAAAGTCCAGCTTCCAACGACCCATCGCATGATGAAAAAAGAAAGTAGAATATCAAGTCCATTTCAAGAGAATATTTCGAATAAGAGTGTTGTAGCACGCAGGTGTTGTCGTGTGCAATATCATACGAAACACCGTTTACGCTCTTCCTAATGGAGCGCAGCTGCTGATAAATGGACAGAAGAGAATACAAGTCCCAGGCTTCAAACGCTTCTGTGTGCATAAACTATAACGAAACCAGATGATCTCAGTACCACGATAACGAAGGTTTCCGGAATACCAGTGACACAGCGTCCTCTGTGCGACTCCGAAGACTCAAAGCCTGGACTGAGAACTTTTCCACATCTTTCTTGCTGTAAAAAAGGTTTGGTACTTGGTAGTCTGGTACGATTGGGATTGTTCGAACAAGAACACTGTCGAAAAACGAAACACGTCGCTTCTGAACCGCAGTCTTATCATCCACATCCATGGACACACTCTTCATTCGACGCACGTCACTCTTCATTGCCAATTGATAAAAGGCCGACACCCATTCTGCTTGATCAGATCGACTAAAGACACGACCGAGTAGTTCACGGCCGTTCTTGAACGAGAACTCAATGCCCAGTTCGTTCTTCGAGGACACACGACCGCTAACAAGCTCGAATGAATCAATAACATTGCAACACAAGCTAGCGTCCTTTTTGTTATGATACAATCGCAATTCTGTGTTACGAAGTACCAGAAAACGCGTCGTCCAAGTCAATACATTACGGCGTTTAATACGCGCATAACCATCGCAATAAATCGCAGGTGAGACATTGATCTGATCAAGACTTAAACGTCGATTATGAGCATTAGAGGAGACAGTAGTGACCAATGACGTTCGAGGAAATTCACTCGTAGGACGACGTTGACGCATGTGATTACTACTACTTAAAACAGGTCGACGCGTCATTCTTTGTGAATGTTTACGGTCGAGACACGGGATTTTAAACTGAGCGAAGATGGACTTGCTAAGTTTTCTTTTTATTGGAAATAAAGTATAGATATAGAGTGAGGAAGTAATAAATGGTGAAACAGATCTTTCTAATAATTCTGAAAAAAAAACACACACACACACACTTGAAGAACAGCATGGAAACGAGCTGAAGAACAAACTTTTGATTGACAATTTGGCTACACTGATAAGCAAAGTGGACCACATGAATGAAACGAAGGCGACAATAGACTTTTTCCAAACATGTATACAGCTTTTCATACAATATACAAATGTTGTGTGTAATGATTATTAGCAAGACAAAAGTTAGCGCCAATCAAAAATATGAGTTTCATATTCAGTCGAGAGCTTTCGTTACGAATGTTGAAACGGCATTTTGATCCATTTCGACACTTGACTGAAATCATCACTTTATTTTTCCGGTCTTTTTAGACCAAATCAAATGTATACCCATGATATATTCATGTGCATTTTACTAACATGGCTACATGACCAGTCACCTATTTCTTCAACTGATCACATGAGCGAGTAAATCTTGAATAAAGAAATGAGGCACAAACAGCTATTTTATCGATCAGATTAGTATCATCATGAATCATAAATCTCAATGTAACATGTACATTATGATGACAATCATCATACTTCTGATTTGTATTCATTAGTCCGACAGCAATCAATATATCTTGGTCATTGCTATGATTTCTATCGGACCCAAAATGCATGAAGAGATGACTGTGTTTCGTGAGATTTTTATAATCTGTAAATATCTTGATTTACGTATTCATCTGACAAGATCCTGATTCAAAGTCGCACATGATTTGAAAACAGTCCACCGACTGATCTCTTCGTGGCTTCATCACTTTCAGATTCGCACCGTATCAATTAAGAATTGCCTCCACCTTTCTACTTTACTCTTAATACAATGCTGTCCTCCGCTGTCTTCAAAACTGTCATTGTTGCCGTCGTTTGTTTGATCCAGCCCTTAGTCGCTATAGAGCAAACGTCTATTCACCTTCGCGTGTACTTGGAAAAGACTAACAACAATGGCAAGATTTGCTACAAGACATGTAAGAAGGGTGAGTACTGTCCAATCGGAGCGACTGAGTGTCGCAAGCCCCACCCTGACGAGTGCTTCAACCCGGCCAATAGTACCTTCATAAGGAAAGACTGCGACCCTGGTTTCCATTGTATCAATGGCAAGTGTGAGCATAAAACGAGTCCAAGCAAGAAACTAGTCAAATAAATCAATCTCCCACGACACGTTTGATGAGCAAAAGTCCTCTGTTTCGAGCACGATGTGGCTCGATAAGCTGATGAAATTGGTCTGACAATCAAGGTGAATGCTTGTATCAATCGAATCCTTGTATTAATTGAATGCTTGTATCAATCGAATACTTGTATCAATCGAATGCTTGTATCAAGTGAATGCTTGTATCAATTGTTAAATGAATTGATATCGTAAATGCTCAACAGATTTCTGATGTCGATTTGTCGCTTAACACTTTTGTATATGATGATCATGTTTGACGTTTTGGTATGCTTTTCATCCATAGTGAGCGTAAATATAGAGCAAAGCGTAACCCTTTTAGGCTGATGTGGTTACTGGTTGACAATTTGTAACCTTACGATCTCCATCCACTGACAACAATAGCAATTGTAGGTTCTACGTTTCTATGAAAATACGCTCTATCTATGACCAGCTCTATGTCTATTATGTGCACATACCATGTATAATGTCATTACACTTCAGTCGATGTGTTGTGTCATTACTTGTCTCACATAATGTATGTGCGCAAAGCCATCGCGTCCGTTTTCTCTGGTTTTGCACCTGGTTCGGATGCTTATTTTGATTTGCTTGGTCTGCAATTGGAAAGTGAAAATGCTGCGGTGCTGTCACTTGAGGTACGCGCGAGAATGGTTGCGGATGGAGCAGTCGGATAGAGTCAATGGGTATGAGCCCAGTTGAATCACCTCCAGCATTTGCAGCATACGCAACTTCATCATGCTCAATCTCGATGTTCACGGTCGTCATGTCCTTCCACCGAGCGATAAGGTCCATTGAAATGGATGAAACACCTGCGTGTGTATTCATTATGTCTGTGCTTTTCTTGCCATTCTCCTGAGTCTGAGCTTTCGCGCTCGTACTACTATAGCCGTTGAGTAGAGCGGATACGTGGTCACGACCTTGGTCGTTTGTGACCACGCGCCCTTCTTGTCCCATTAGCACGCTAGCGTACAACCAAAAGAGATCGTCCGATAAAAAATCGGTACGACAGCTAAAGATCATGTTTGCATCGTACCAGCGTGCTAAGATTGCCTTCTCCTCAGGCCTGCGCTCACGAGTAACAAATTTTCCCTGGCGACGCATTTCCTTGTAGTGCTTGGTGCGAATACGTACCACAAACTTGTCAGCAAGATAAGCCGCAGGCATCGTGATGCTAACAAGGTGACCCTCCGCCTCAAGTTCTTTCGCCACAGCATCAACCTGGTCCAAACGATACGTCCCGTCTCCAAAATTCTGGTTAATGTATGCAATATTCGGCCCGTCCAGCACATAGTGCAAAAGCTTGCCGTCCTTTTCATCTATACCAAACTTTTGAAGCTGGAAGTTTTCGTGACGAAGCATCAACCAGTCTCGAAATGGCGTCAAAAACTCTTTCACTTCATTTTCTGGTGACACCTTGCTGCGGCGAGATTCAATAGCAGCCAGCATGTGCTCACGTTCAGGCTCCGACATCCCCTGCTTTTTCAATGTGTGTCCACAACACGGGCACTGAAATCGCATCTGTGCATCGCTTTGCACAGTCTCTACAATATAATTTGCATCACGGAACGCATGCGACAACCGCTGAGCGTTCGCTATGGATACCTCTCGACACGTTAGCTGCAGATCATGCAACAAAGATGTCATTTGTGCGTGAAAACACAGTTTGCTTGCCTCAGTCGCCGACACCTCCGGATACTCGCTCAGCTTTTCATCGTTGGTCTTCACACACGCAATCACCATCTGCACCAGCACGTCCTCCATTGCACTTGTCCACTTCACATCATGTCGTTTCAGCTGCTCCCATATTGAGTACGCGCTCAAAAACTGATCGTTTTTACACCCATACTCGAGCAATGGACTTATCGTCCGAAAATGCAGCTTCGGTATTTGATTCACTGCTGCGTCCTTCACGGCACGTCTCAGCTTGTTAATCAGCATCCATGCTGCCTCGGTGTCTCCACCAGCTAAATGTAACTTAATCACTGATCCAAACACTGCTTCATTCAATGATTTTCCAAGCACAAAATGTTTTCCTTTCTCTTCGTCTTTACCGACAAAAAGCTCCTCATCGAAATAGCGCAGCACCTGTCGTCGAAATTCATCTGTAAGTCCCTTCTTCTCCGCCTCTTGAGCACAGTAAAAGTAGAACGAATCAACAGCTTGACGCGCCGCTGGATCCTTGAGCGTCTTGGCCCTCATCTCACTCTGTACCAATGGCAGCACGTCATCCAACGGCGTTTGCTGCTGCACAATGTACCGGTGCACGTTAAACCTGCATTTTCTGACCACTTGCTTCTTATTAGGCAGCGCATCAACCCCCATCTCTTTTGTAGTCTCAACAGCACTAAAAACTTGCCAATTCTTCGCTCGTTGACGTACACAACGACCGAGTTTTGATGACTCTGCGACTGCAGAGGAAGCGCTGAACAATCGGTAGTTTGCGGGACGTAGAGAGGCTGTTGATGCGATAAAAGCTGCAAAATGATGACAAGATATAGACGCACTGATGCGAAGACGTACACGACATTGTAGAACCGTATGCAGCCCGAGAGAGAGCATCTGCATAGTACCGTAGAGAAGAAGTATTCAGGCGATGGTGATTTATGGAGGTCAATTATCCTGGAAAAGTACATTTACCAAGGATATTCGTTTCAGCGGGGTACCAGTATCAGTACCGGTAAATGTACAAACATCACCTATTTCAGCGTGCCTTGCAAAGAGCATATGCTGCTCTAAATTTCTATGACAAAACATTCCTCTTTTATAGCATATCTTCCTTTTAGAGTTGTCCATGTATGAAATAAACTCTCAAATGTTATTAATGACTGGACAAGCCCATAAGTCAACAAAACCGTGAAAGCTGATACTGTCATCTGATTCAATAAAGCTTTCAACATAGAGATTAGATGTTGTCATCTTCGTTGTGTATACAGCAATACATTTAGCATGATTGCACTGCAATCTCGAGACCCGTTTTCGATTTCGTTAAATACCCAGTGTGACAAGGTCTGCGCTTATACCCACACCACTGGAAAGGATGTGGTTTGCATGCAATCCGCTAATGTTGCAGCAAATTCTAATCGTTGGTGTTTCGACCGTAGCGACGGTCTCTTGAGCGCGAGTGTACCAGGATATCTGGAACGACACGGCATTAATTAAACGCTGAAATTGATGTTGCCACTCAATACCTGCTAGTTCTTGATACACAAACTCAAAAGCATGACTGAGGTTGCCCGAACCAACAATGATGAAAGAGTAAGACACCTGTACACATCGAAGAAGCTAGGCCCTCAACTTTATGGGTGCTTTAATTGTCCTCTCCAGCAAACATGGGCTGCTTGAATGCAGTACGTGGTTGATGGTGTTCATTTCTGGAGTGACCGATGACATCTCATACAACCTTTGTACATTATAGTGATGCTCAATACAATAGCAAAAGCTAAAGGTGAACCGTCTACGAAAGCTCAAGCAACAGTCATTCTTTCTACGTAAGTTATTTATTCGACTCAGAAGTACAGCATCAGACATTTTGTATACACTTTGGAAGACCGTATACTCACTCACTCTGTGCAGCAGTCATTTCCAGTCACATCATTAATATCGGGTTGTTTGAATGTCGCATCAAGAGTTTATCATTTGTTTTATATAATTTTAAATTCTAAATCTGCATGAAGCTTCCGTCATTATCGTCGTCGTCACTTCCTACACGACCAAGAGCTATTGGACAGCGTGTAGATGATGGATCTGGATCATTAGGTACAATTCGTTACATCGGTCCAGTTGCAACATCAAAGGATGTATCCGCACTATATTATGGTAAGCCGATTTTTCACTCTGACACTTTCTAATTCGGAAATGACACTAAACATTTTGACATTTCTAATCTGTCGTTCTAAATCAAAATGAAACGTAGGTATTGAATGGGACGAATGGGGTCGTGGAAAGAATGATGGTAGCGTCATGATACCTAATGGTGATCGTATTGTATACTTTCAAGGTCCTTCTGGTCGTTTTCGGACTGAAAACGAGACACAAATGTGCTACAAATGTTCATTTGTAAAGGCTACAGAATTCGATCAATTCACAAGACCAAGTTCTTGTTTGCTCGAGCAATTACAAGCAAAATATGATCATATGGACCACAATATCAACAATTCAAGACCTTGTGCAGTGGATAGAACAGTGACTGGACACGTGAGAACGACCTTAGGCAATGATAAAACCATTGAGCTCATTGGTGCCAAGAAACTTCGGACGCAACAAACGCTGGAAACTATTGAGAAAATTTCACTCTCTGGATGTCAAATTGTTGAGCTTGGATCGATGATGAAAGATGGAAACCGTCTTGGGACGTTAGCTCCAAAACTAACGGAACTTGATTTATCAAGGAATTTATTTCAAACGTGGAGTGATATTCTCGCTATCATTCGTGAACTACCACTGCTCGAGACGCTCATTCTTAGTGGAAATAGGTTTATTTGTGAAGACGATAGTGAGAGTCAAGATAGTTATGACGATATTTTTGAAACAATGAAGGTGCTCGTGTTGAATCAGACACTATTGCATTGGAATCAAGTGGGGAAACTCGTGACACGTCATTTTCCAAAACTCGAGCAGTTGCATTTAGTAGGCAATGAATACGTCGATGACCAGTTGTGTGTGTTTCAGCCATGTGGAAGCTGGACTGAGACGCTGACAGTCCTCGACCTGAGCCTGAATTACCTCACATCATGGGAAAGAGTCCTGCGTACGGTTGGAAGAATGTTTGTAAACTTAAGTCAGCTCATGTTGAATGGAAATCGTATCGTTACGCTTGAAGTCGAGAAAGACAACAGGCCTATCACAGAACTTCAGAAATTATCGACTCTATCGCTGAGCGAGAATTTAGTAGACTCATGGGCCTCCATTGACGAACTAAACGCTTTTCCGCTGTTAGCCACGCTTCGATTTTCAAAAAACCCGCTGACGACACAGATGAGCTTAGGCGAGGCCCGTATGCTGGTTGTTGCACGTACAGACCATATTTCTATCTTCAACGGAAGTGCTGTCCGCGATAAAGAGCGCAGAGAAGCTGAACAATTATATCTGAAGCGCATCCTGCATGAATTGGCTGCCATCGGCGACGATGAGAAGGAGCGCAAACGTGTGCTTGCAGCGCATCCGCGTCATACACGCCTGCGAGAGCTATATCCTGAAATTGTGGTCGATCAAAGCGGCAGCACCACTGGCAGCAAAGCAACTGCCGGCTCACGCAAGCTGGCATCAAGTTTAATCAAGGTGAGCATTATTCCCATGTCAATGCGAGCTATGTCGCTTGAGCCTTTGGTGAAGAAGATACCTCAACAGATGAAGGTATCGCAGCTAAAGCTACTCATTGAGACCAAGTTGGGTATTGACGTACCTAGTCAGTTGCTGTCGTTCCGTACCGATTCCAGGGTAAAGTATTTTGTATTTGCGGTAGATCGTTTTCGAAGTTGCCACGGGTAATCACGAACCCGTTCTTTTTTGTTGTTGCATAGAGTATGCCGGAGCTGCTGGACGACGACAATTCTGAGCTCAGCTACTATGGAATGCAGGTACAAACATTGATTTATCTGAAGCATGATATATATTTGACGCCCCTATTTTACTGTTTGTTTGTATTGTAGAACGGGTCGGAAGTGCTAGTTAATGATAACGAATGATCTGACAACCAAATACGCGCGCGTACCCCAGCGTTATCAAAAGAAGAAGCGACGGAGTACACTGTCCTCCTTATCTGCGCTTTTGCTGTAGTTCATTTCGCAAACCTTCGATTTTCCATTATAGGTGTTTCGAGAACGGTTCACCGGTTCCTTCTTTTAGTGCAGCAGATTCTTCGAACGTGTTAATCGGATTCGGTTTGAGATTGGCGATATGATGGCGGTTTCGCAAGAATGTCTTACCTTCCTCGGGCTCATAGCGTTCCCATGCTGGTGTCTCGCGCCGGTCACGGCTCACGTTAACATCAGGATCGAACATCAGGTGACGGACAGCACTGAAACCGGCAATCGCGGTACCAACTGCCACACATAACATCAAAGGATAAATCTCTGCGTCACGTGAAGATACCCAAGTAAAATGTCGTTTGTCCCTCGGTCCAGTCGGTACAGGCACTACTACTTTCGGCTGCTCCACCGTGGCAGTGTTTCCGCGCATATTGCGAACCTTTTGCATCCGGGCAAAAGTGGCTTTCATCTTGGTCTATGCAATGTTCCCTGGTTAGCTGCAATTGAGTTTTGAGGCTATAAAGTTCTAGCCTTGCCGATATCTCACGTTCCGCGTCGCAACGTTCGTCCGCCATCATCATGATTGTCGCATTTAGACCGTTGTCGACGATGCCAAAAAACCTGGCGATTCCATGGGTTCAAGGATATTAATAGCATTGCGTCCGTGTGTAGCTGTTTCGTACGCATTCAGTGGACACAGTTACACCTTTGAGGCTACCACGCCATGACATGGTTCATGACTTCCATCCCATCAACGTCGCCTGATTCCAAGTGTACCAGAGACTCACGTTTACGAGAATGTCGCTTCAGTCAAAACATCGGTGGTCAGAACTGACAAGTGCAAGCGAGATAAACATGACCACATGAGTAGTTTAGTTGGGCGATGAAGCGAGCAGTTTGATTGAGCGTTAGCACCAAATACTTCCACTTTGGCATTGTCAACAACTTCAAAAGCTTCACTGAATCAAGTTAACGATCGCATCCAAGCTCAAAACCCTCCTTCGGAATGCGACCTATTTTTACTCAGTACACCATGCGCATGCTGGTGATCGAGAAGGTGATGATTGATAACCACAACAAACAGATGCCGCTGGCCCGAAAGGGCTAATTACCGCACAACAAACAGCAGTCAATGCATTTGGGTGGAGCAGATTGCAGGCAAAGCTAACTTAAGAATTCGTCGATCAGTTTGAAAAACATGTATTTACCTCAATGACAATGCACGCAAATGCATAGCAAAAGACAGTTATGCAACACTTGCATTGTCAATGATCTCTTCCGACACACTATCTCCTTATTTGATTTTTGCGACTTCCCCGTTATGATCCAGACAGTTGTGTACCATCTATCTACGAAGCTTTGATCGCCTACATAGACCTTTCACAATGCCGGAATCAATTTGAAGTCATGGTTGAGATCATTGGTGTCTCGACAAGTCTTCCTCCCTTTTGTCGACTTGACCTTTTTGAGCGTCAGGCACGTGTTGACGCCGTCATATTGACGAATCGAAGAGGATCCGATCCATTGCTTCATATGTAGTGCTTCCACGTCTTTTTTTCAGTCCTTATGCACGCATGTTATTGCATACAGACAACTTGATACCTCCAATAGTTTAGCTGGTAATAGGCACACCATCCAGGCATTCCCTATTCTATCTGCTGTAGCGCTTACGCTTTTGTCACAGCCTGGCACTGGAAAGACGCAGATGGAGCAATGGCTGAATGCGGACAGATTCATCACTTGTTAACTAGAGCTCAATCTTGAATGGCTCTGACCCATTCAAGAATTGAGCTTCTAGTTAACAAGTTCAACCTCCCTTACCATGGTCAGCACCTTTATCTTCAAGACCGCCGCTTTAGCAGCGACATTACTTGCATCTGCCAACGCGAGACTGGAAAAGAAACACCCGCACGGTTCCACCGCCGAAATGTTTCTTTTCGGTGCCCAAGTAAAGTCATTCCATGCTGCAATGGACCCGAAACTTGACATTCTGTTCATGTCCAACGAGTCATTTATGGATGGTGTACAGCCCATTCGTGGTGGTATTCCTGTCGTGTTTCCAAACTTTGGCGCTGCCGAGGGCTCTCCTAGCCACGGATTTGCGCGTATTACCAACTGGACATTGACTAGCCATGTGAAGGATGCTAACAAAAAAAGCCCTAGCGTGGCCACATTCACCATGGCGTCGAGTAGTTCGACGCGCGCAATGTGGCCGGTTGACTTTAAGCTTGAGCACGAGGTGAAGCTGTATGCCAACCAGCTGGAAACGGCTCTTCATGTGCATAATAAGTTTACAAAGCCGATCGAGTTCCATGCATTGCTGCACAACTACTTTTGGGTGGACGACGTGACCAACAAGGGTGTTCAAATAAGCGGTCTCAAGGACGTCAAGTACTTTGATAAGGTGGACAAGACAAACAAGACGGAACACCGCGCACACATTGATTTTTCCGCGCAGACTGACAATGTGTGCATGGACGCTCCCGATGTGGTGACTGCCATCTAAGGGCGTTAACACCATGGACCACACTGTAACGATTAAGAAGGCAGGGTTCATCAGCTGCAAATCCTGCCGTACAAATGTCACGACCAAGACTGACGTGGTCGTGTGGAACCCATGGGCTGAACGTGCCAAGGTCATGCAGGACTTTGGTGATATGGAGTACAAGAATATGGTTGCCATTGAGCCCGGCCGCGTGAACGTAAAGCAACCTCTTTCTGCAGGAAAGACCTACACACTCAAGCAGACTATCTCGGTTACCAGTCTGTAAGGTCGATCTATTACAGTACTGTAGTTGCACTGAACAATTGGATAGCGACAGACTTGTGACGTCATGTCTGCAGTAAAAATCAAACGCTTTTCGTAACACATCACTGATTCTTTCAACACGTGCCAACTTCTTTCATCCTATTTCTCAGTCAATGATAAAACCAACCAAGTGCACACAGCTGTCTGTCATCACTGCAAACTTCCGTCAGTATATCTAACAGCTCACAGTCTGATCTTTTGCAGTTGGTTAAGTAATTTTTATACTAATCTTGTTTCAATGCATCTAGTCTTCTGCGGTGTTTGTTCAGCTTACGTAGCGCGTTATTTTATACTTTGTCTTGCCGCTTGACGTTGCGGCATCCATAATTTCTTCTTCGTCTGTCCAGACGTCGCTAATAGTAGAGCGCTTCTGCCGCTAGAGTGATAAGGAGAAACCGCCTGACATCACGACTAGAATTTTAAGCGCCATTTGCAAACTTGTGAATATTATTGTCGTTTATCTTCTGCAGTCGATAACGCACGATGTACATGACTAGATACGAATTTGCGACTACAAAGATGATTTCATCACTGTGCTTTGACTTAGCATCAAAGACATGCTTTAGCTGTGATCACATTTCGTATCGATGAAGCCATCGATCTAATTTGGCTGCATAGCTTCAATTTTTAGCGACGGCAGACAGCACATCGGGAGCGTTGCTGAGCACATTGCCGGGCTGCCCGAATTGTACACATGGGTCTCTCTGTCTTGTAAGCCTTGGCATCTTTATCGTTGTAGTCGGCGCCTTGAGTTCGACTCATCGTTCTAATGGCCATTGCGCACGAAACAGACTGAAATGCAGAACATCACAGCAAGGTATACAAGTGTATGCCTTTGAGACTTCGTGAAAACAAGGTCCACAGAGTAAAATATCGACAACATAACAAAGTAATTGTGGTGCTGCGATACTGGTATGCAAGATAAGATGCAGTCATTGTTCCATGTCCTTTCATAGTCACCGCAGCGCAAGAACGTGAGCACTATCCCTTGACATAGGCCGATAACGTGAATAAGGTCACGATCGCTAAGTTTACCCTAGTCAAGCGTCACCTCCTTTGATGGTTTCGCGGTAATATCTACTTTTACCAAGAATAGGCGGGCGGTAGATAAACTTGACCGTCTAAATTACGGTCAGGCTCGTCGCATTGCAAACGACAAGTTGTGGGGGGTTGCCGAAAAAAGAGAATTGCGTTCACTGAAAGCGAACAATACTTAGAACATCGTAGTCTGTCCAAATAATATCAATCCACTACACAAAATGGGTTTCCAAGACAAAGCGGTTACACGAAGGTGTGTATTTTACATACAGACCTGCCATGAATGTGGTGTGGCTGTACCTTGGGTACAAGAGTAGGCGATGTGATCGTACCTGAAGTACGAAGGGTCAGAGAGCTACGTGGTCACTATACTTATATAAAGTATAGTGACTATTGCATTATAATAACAGGCTATAGAGCCAGTAGATAGCGACTAGCACTAAGTATAGAGTAGGTGCTTCTATATTTAGTGTTAGAAGATAAACATAAATACAAATCAGTTTCAAACCTGCTCTGTAAGCCTTACAGCTTGAGTGTGCTATTCCTCCTGAGGAATTAAGTATCTTGATACTGGTCTCTTTGAGACACGGTTACAACAACCGATAGGCACAAGCTTACGAGCTAGCCTAGGGGGGGGGTTAAGCACTATAAGACGTAGAAGCTCTCTTAGCTTATCTTCCTCTGCACATAGTGCATAAGTAGCTTTGCTACAGTAGCTGCTTTATTTTTTTATTGTTGTATATATACATATTTTTAAATTAAAATATATTGATATTAAAATTAATTATAATTCTTAAAATATGATAAGAACCAACTTCATGTAATAAAATTAAAATTCTTGAAACAATTTTTCAAGCAAAACAATTAATTAATCATAAAAAAGCTAAAATGATTTAGAATCTATTTTTTTATTTAAAAAAAAAACTTGTCGATTAAATTCTTGAGTTCTTATTCGCTAAATTCTGTTAAATTTTTCATAATTGTTCCTAATAAATTATCAATTGATTTAAATAAAATAAAATTTGGTTTTTGTTATGTATTTTGTTTTAATTTAATTAAAATATTTTTAAATATGTTTTCAGAACACTTTTGTTTAAGTTGATTTATTTTTTGAAATGTTAAATTAAAATATATTAATATTAATTTAATTGCTGCATCTTTTTTTCTTATTACTTCACATAGTGCATAAGTAGCGTGGCTATAGTAGCTCGACTGCATACGCGATAATATCTTTTCACGGCGTTTGTGATCATCCAAGATGCAACCAGAATCACGATCAGGATCAAGAGCCGTCAATATTAAAGAAAATTAGCGAAGGTAAGCCTAAGCTTGGTCACATTGAAGCAGCCAGAGAGGATATTTAAATGGCAGACGATCGCCAGAAGGCAACAAGTGAGAGGAAGCGGAATCGCAACGGGAACGTGATCCACATTGCCAAACGTAGAACCTATGATATGAGACGACGAGTAAATAACTTTGTCGTAGAAGTCGAGACCGGCAAGACAACAGTCTAAGCTATTCTTAGAATGGGGGCCCGTGAATACCCGAAGTAAAGGAGTTTCGAGCCACCAAAAATCAACCAAGTCAAGGAAAATCATCCAATCAAACTTCGACCTCCCGAAGTCATGAGAAGTGGCGAAAGGAGATGGGGTGAGACGGTTCAAGAATTAATAGGTCAGAGGACCGGTGGGTCAAGGAGAAGGGGACCAACCAAGGAGGAGCGACCGTTAGGTAAGGGACAGATAGACGGGGCGCTAGAAAAGGGACGGGGGACGACCGTGGGATGAGGAGATTGTACGGTTTAAGCGTGCTCTATTCGGAGGAGTTAACCGCGGTTAATCTGATGGACCGCGGTTCCCCGAGGTAGACCTCAGCCTTTCTGAGGTTGGCCCTGGCCCCTCGTTTGTAGACCCCAGTCCCTCGTTGGTAGACCCTGGTCCCTCGCTGGTGGACCCTGGTCCTTCGTGGTGGCCCCTGGTCCTCGGTCCCTCGACAAGCAGAATCAAGAATCAGGTCTCGGGGGTAAGGACAGAGTAAAGAAGTTAAAAGATAGGACCATATTAAAAATACTACTCAATTTGCGATCTATATAGAACACCTCCGTCGTGCTTCCAAGGTACCTACTAAGTCTACCCAACTGTTCTGGGAAGGGATACATTTTGGCCCCCCGTCGAAGACAGTTGTGTGGTAAGACCCAAGTGCGAATAGAACCCCAGGATATATTTGGTCTGTGGGTTCATCCGAGTAGCACCCCCCCCCACTCAGCCCGCTATCAGGAAGCAATCTCCCTACCCTAGAGGTCCGGGAGCAAGTAAAGGCCAAACGGTTAACACCCCTGAGACATCAAGGAAGAAATAGGCCAGGGTTGAGTATCCCCCCTTGAAGAATTTGACTATAATTCCACCTTCGACCTAGTCGACCGAGTGGCCACCTATCCGCCTAACGAGTGAAGTATACCCACTCGAGGCACCCCAAGATCGACCTCCTTCAAGGCCGACATCACATCTCAGCCAAGTCCTCCGAAGAGTGCAACCCGCCAGCCGACGGGTACACAAGGTGAGATAAGGTCTATAAGCGGCATCGGGGTACCCCTCCGACAGTCGGAGTGGCTTGGGGTCTCATTACGCAGTTTTAAGAACCCACTACACCACAGAGAGACTCGATCAAGTTTAGGGTCCATCGTCATCTTAAAGTCCTCAAAAAACGAGGTGAAGGGTAGAGTCAGCAAAGTCACTGGGAAGTGCGGCAAAGGAAGAAGAGCAACCAGAAGGACAAACAGGTTCATAGACGACGTGAATAATCACGGGGAGGGAGCCCAATGTAGTCGTCAGCAAGATAGTGATTGCAGAGTATTAATGCAGGAGCAAAAAGGAAGGTTCCGCATGTAGAGATTGGAACGGGTGATCGCGACTTAATAGCTGAGCAACACCGTTGCGGGTATTGTAATGGGGCGTGCGCGAGTGGGACCCAAAAACAAGCATGGGCGTCCGCGGCATGTAGAAAGTAGTATTTATCATCAAGGGACTGAGAGCTGGAAAGCTTGGTCTCTTGCAGCCAAGCAACTTCAAATCGTGAGAGAAGATCGCTGTAAAGCGCAAGTGTCGGCTTGTAACCCCGTTAACGTTAAGGGTAACCGCGGAAAAGGAGAAGACTATGATCCATTCGATTCTATGGCACTTCTTGGGAGCGCAGTCGGTTCCTTTGAAGGACTTACTCCTTTTCAATTCCCTTGTGTGGATTTTTTAACGGCTCGCCGTCCACGTCCGTCGACGGCCCCGCCGCTAGTAGCCATTTTCTTTGCTCTTGATATGCTGTTGCAGCTGCAGACGGGAGACTCAATCTTCATAGCGTGGCTACTTCCGTCAAACTTCTTCAGGTTAACCTCATCAGGCAGTTGATTTGCCAAAGTTGCCGCCGTCTTTCTTCGCCTCCTAAATGGTTTATTCCGGCTCAAACTTCTTTTGATGCCGCCTTTCAAGGTCAAGGTGTAGGATTTGATTTTCTTTACATTCCTTTCTCACTTGGCACAGTCTTCTTGCTGGCACTCGATTCCCACAAACTGACGTTCAGCCTTGGCTATTTGGGGCGTCAAGGTTTTTTCTCGCCTTCTCAACGCTAACCCGGTGTTGACCCGTTTTACGTGGCCTCTATGGAACAATCAATTTCTTTACTTTACTTCTGCGCTTCGGTATCTCTCGGCTCTCCACGCCAAAGCGTGTAGCTTTCTGAGTCATTGAGGCATCTTGCGTCTTTTGACCTTTTTCTGCTACTCTAAGGCCACCCTTGATGCCGATTCTCTACGGCTGGCGCTCTCCGGTAATTCTTCCTCCAGCGATCGCTCAACGACGTCTGTTGATTTTAAATTTGTCCACGTTTGGCTGTGCCTACTTACTATGCGCTCTTTTCCATCTAATTTTTGCCGCCGGAATCTATGGTAGGGGTGCTGCATGTTTGGACATTCAAAGGTCACGAAATTATTACGGCTCCCAATTCGTTGTCAAACGCCTTCTCCATCCGACGGCACTTTCCTATCTCCCGCTTGCTTTGCTTGGAGTCCTTACGGATTCTATTCGATCGCCTCACTGGGCTTTAGACCGTACGCTCGCTACCCCGTGATACTATTTCCGTTTTTTCTGACTTTCTTTAACAGCTTTGGCACAACAGTCTTGGTTTTTGGTACAAATATCGTTGGCTTACTTCCGAAATTACCACTATTTATGGCTGCTTGTCCCCTGATACTCCACCGTCTTGTGAATGCTATTTTGCTCAAGGTCTTTGGCGTCTTTTCCTTCGCCCTTACGTCAAATTCATCAGGCTTCTGTCTCTGGGATCAAGTGCTGTTTCTCTACGGTCTTGAGGTCCCTGCGGCTGCAAGTAATACTTGCGGTCGGCTAACGCCTCTGTGGCCTTTCAACATCCTTCGATGCTGCTTCTTACGCACACTTTGAAAACTAATCGTTATGCACTTGACGAGATATGTATTCCGACACATTGATAAATACGAACTATTCTCAAGATGCTAGTGGTGACACAGAAAAGTCTGCTTTGTTACATACATAACTTAAGTTCTACAAAGCATCGCCTCAAGTGCAAAGTCATTCGCACTTACGGTCGACTAACGCCTGGGCCATTTCTATGTGTAACTAAGAACATCTTCGACCTTTTGGATAGCCAAAGGTAAATACTTGCCAAGCTACCTTGATTTTAGGGCCAGAAGGTATTGTGTGGCGTTAGCAGCGCAGAACCCGGAAGCAGTCATTGCGCTTATAAAGACATTTTCAGTGATAGAAATGCTCATAAATAGCACGTCTAGGACACGTTGACGTCGGAAAACCCACAGGAATATCTTCATCAATACTTGGTAAGGTCATCAAAAGCCACTTCCTGTGAGCATATGAAGGTCATGATATCGCATTAAAATTCGATGGAAGAGGACCGTTGGTAAAAATGTCCGAAGTAACGTTTATATGGCTACGATGTCCGATCTTACGGAAAGTTTAATTGAGCAGCAGATCAGCTAGTCAATATAACGGTCAAGATTGCATGACCCCGTTGAAGACAAAACCCAGTGCTGATCGAATAAACGCACCAATCGCGGATGCTTCATTCGTGTAGCCCGTAGAGCATACACGACGATGCTAGATGTAATCTAGAATAACTCTGCATTATGATTGATCAATAATTTGTGCTGATTAAGCGCGAAGGTATGCATGTCATCAACCGTGATTAAAAACCCGTAGCAGACTTCCGCAAAATCTGCATCATTGTCGCAACACATCGGAGCAATCTTTTTGTCGAATCATAGTAAGGCACAATGTTTTCGTGCCAGGTACCTTAAATCCCTCTTAGCCAATATGTCATCGTTCACCATGGTCATATAGGTACATCTTGACGCCTTGTGTACCTTAAAAAGATGTCTGGTCTGGTGCAGCGTGACGTTTATAGTAAGCTTCGAAAAGTGACTAGGAAACTTTATGGTCACCACTATAATTCCTCCAATTACCTGTAACGGTACGATAAACGCATCGATATCATTCCATTCGTCTGTAGTCGGCAGTGTCCCATCTCGATACCCTGCTTCTTGAGCATGTTGGTTCTTGATCAAAACTGGAAGTATTTTTTGTCGGGAATTAGTACGCATGTCCAAAACCGATGAGCTCGTCCCCTTCACCGGTAGCAAAATTAGTTCGTCAAGGAAAACATCTTCATCACTACGATCCGTTTCTGTAAGTATGGTCTGCTTCACTAATGAGCCCGTTTGACGGATTGCATAACGTTTTATTCGCAAGCAAAATATCAGAAGAAGGATTATGAGTCAATCGTTCGATTGTATCATAATTTAAATGTCCTAACCGTATGTGATGTTTCACCGAATTTGCAATGTTTGAACATCATCGGCCACTTGAACGCCTTTCGCGCGATATCTGAAGATACATATACTGATATCTAGCTCGATCGTGACCGAGATTTCCTAGTCAGCCGAGGAGAGCGCAACCGCCCAGCCGATCAGTACACAAGGCGAGAAGGCTATATGCGACACGGAATCGGATACATCCTAAGTTATTCGGCAGTCTGGACATGAGAGTTGATTTAGTATCATCAACCGATATTTGATCATCGCTCTATCAGAGCGTTGCTTAAGCGGAGAAGGTTTCTGAGCGCGGTAGACGCGATCACTGACACGACACCTTCAATTGTCAAAACAATTATTTTTATTGGTTTCCACGTACTTTTTGAATACCTAAAGCTGTACAATGGCGAAGTAACTTGTGTCTTCTATTATGATCTTGAATAAGGAGCTAACCTATTGCGTGACTTGAGCTACTGGCTAGTAGAATTAGCGAGAGAGCTGACTAAAGATGACCGAAGGCACCTACCAATTGAAACCGCTCGAGGTGTCATTTGCGTCGTTTTGGAATGTTATTTGGACCGCACACATGTCTGGAGACTAGAGACAGGCCAGACATATTACGGAATTCATATACATATTCTTTTGCATGCTTTGATTTAGATATAGTACTCTAAGTCATGGATAGCTTACGCAGTAATCAGAAATAGATAGGGAACTGCACCACCGTGGACCCCTAAATAAAGAAAGAGAAAATTTATTAGGTAGCGAAGGCAGTAAGTAAGACAACAGATGCTTTCAAGTGGACACAAACAAATCTCAAGTTTGCGTGTAGAGAGGGGTGGAGTTAATCACTTATTGAATACACTTTCTCAGCAGCAGTGTCTTACGAAGAGCCAATGACACCGCTTGACCTTCAAGGCAGTTGATACATAATAAACAATTTGAATCACAAGTCCAACAGTTGCAAGATGTTTACGACGAAGAAGAGTAATCTGACAGAAAGACAAAGTTCTGTTTATGTTTATTGAAGCTGGGAGGAGTTTCATATTTCGGTGTTAAAGCCAATTTGCCCACAGTTGACGCAAGCAGGGTCTCTAAGGACTTAATCGTATCGTGTGCATGTGAGAATTAGAATGAAACTTCTTTTACCTAGCTTGGATTTTTCCTATTCAATTCTATCGAGCACAGATATTTACAAAACGACGTCCCGCTTCGTCCACAACCTGTAACGAGGTTACATATTATACATAAATACGTGTCACACCATTTTGGTGTGCTGATCTTGAGTAAATTGGGTTTGTATCCTCTTTGGTATGACCGTACCTAAGACACAATGGATTCACATCGTGGTAGGGAGCCACGTAACATAGTACTTGGTTAAGTACCGTGTATATACATTAGGAAGGCTATAGAACCAGTTATTTAGTGACTAGCACTAAGTATAATGTAGGTGCTTCTATATTACTTCTAGAAGATAAAAACAAATAGATTAGCTTAAACCTGCGCTGATAAGCGTTTGTTGCTTGAGCGTATTCGTTGCAAAGAAAATAGTAACTGTGATACTGGTCTCGTAGAGACGTTGGTCGTCTATAACCAAGAAAACATAAGCTTGTGAAGCTATCCTTGAGAGAGTTAAGAGCTCTAAAGACATAGATTGTAGAGCTTGTCTTCCTCTGCACTTAGTACGTATAGTAGCTCCGCCACGGTCGCTCGGCTACACAATGAACTGAGGCGTATAATATCAAATTGTAGTTTTTCCCCTTCTCTCCATACAACGTAGCGGCATTGAGGCAATTTGTATGTGCAGCGAGATTCATTTTTGTTGTAAGAGCATCTATACGAACCACAGACCGCCAGGATTAGTCGAGCGCATATGTAACAAATAACACACGAGATAGACGCCCTTGGAGGATATACTTTTTCTCCGTACAGGCATTTGTAATGCTTTTTTGCCAGCTTAAATGCTGCAGTCTAAACTTTATTTAACATGTTCTGATTTACTCGTCTTCTTTATAACAGATTAATACCAGCAGCTGATAGTTCATACATGTAATTACGAAAAAAGCCCGTCCGATTCAAAGAAATAAAATAGCTCGGGTCTACAACCTTTTCTGTTTTCTGAAGCATTTAGAAATCCATAATTTCTATTTCTAAACTATCGTTCTGTGGACGGCAGACGTCAATTCACCAAAAGGTCATTTAATTGCAGGTATTTTGTTGTGGTGACCCCCCCCTCCGTCCAATTCGTGCGTGTCCTGACGCAAAGCCTTGTAATGTCTCCAGTGACTTCTTCTTCTTTCCCAGAAGTCATGACATGCAACAAAATGCATTCTACAGGCTCGTCTGTCTCCGTGACGCGTCCAACGGCGACTGCCACATCCGCAGTAGCTGCTGCGTCTCCTGCTGTGCGCGCACTGTGCTCAGGTGCCGTGGCGGGTATTGTTGCTGACTCATTGCTACATCCATTAGAAGTCATTAATCTACGTATGAAAATTCAGCAACATCCTAACTCCAAGTACAGTGGTATTATACGCTCGATCAAGACCATTCTCAAAGAGGAGGGCGTGCGTGGCTACTTTGGTGGTATTGGTACCACGTTATTAGCTTCTCCTGTGTGTGCTGCAATGTATTTTGGTACATACGAGACAATTAAGGCTGCAGCTGCTCCGTTACTTCCGGAGGAACATCATGGTTTGGTCTATTTCTTTGCTGGAGCTACAAGTGAAGCAATTATTTCGGCAATCAGTGTACCATCGGAAGTGATAAAGTCACGACTACAACTTGGATGCAATCCTTGTAATGCCAGTGGAGGTGTTGTGAAATATACGCAAAACTATAGAGGTACAGCACATGCAGCCAAGTCAATTTTGACGTCGGAGGGATTGCGTGGACTCTATGCTGGCTACTTGGCATGTTTGAGTGTGGACACATTTTTCTCGGCGTTTTCATTCCTTTTTTATGAAAATTTGAAGCACAGATACCATAAGCACTTGACTGTGAATCATGGTGGCCGATCGTTAAACTCGGTAGAGTCATTGGCTCTAGGGTCTATAGCAGGTGGAGTGGCTGCGTTCCTGACCAATCCGTTGGATGTTATCACGGTGCGACTCATGACACAAGGCAAGAGCAAGCAGTACGTTGGACTGCGTGACTGCTTTATGAAGTCGGTAATTAATGAAGGACCGGGCGTGTTGTGGCGTGGTGCAGCGTGTCGTATTGTGTCGATCATGCCTACCACGGGCATTTGCTTCGGAGTTTACGAGACGATTAAGCACACATTCTTTAATGGCGACCTGGACGAATTTGACTTGGCGTGACACGACTCAAATGCATGCAGATGAGTAATTAGACAGGTGAAGGGAGGAAGTGTATATAATAGAATAATCAAACAGCTTTCTACATGAGAATAAACAAAAATTAAAGACGAGTTAAGGAGATATGCACTACAACTACTGCGCTTTCTACTTTGTAGCAGCTCTACGCTGTGCGCTTCAATCAGGTTTCGTCAATTGTAGAGTACACATAACCCGAGCTGCCATGCAGACTACGGAGTATCAATGATACACTCACACTCTATTCGAGTCTACGTACTTGTCCTGATGCGTTTAGGCACATTGCGTAGCCTTGCTTGGTAAACTTTTCAACGTAATCGGCGAAAGTGTCTTAAACTTAATCGACTTAAGCTCCACAACCTTTGCGATCGCCCGCTAAGTCAACATCGCAATAAGCCGTCAGCTCAATTCCATTACTCTATACATTTCTTTGTAGCCACCTAATGCAGTGCATCTCACCTAATTGCGCAGAAAGCGGCCTAATAGGTAACGCCGAGAGAGTGGTTAGCTCGCTGCCTGTACAAAAGGTGCTGAGACTTGCCGCACGCGATCAGGAAGCGTTACTCTCATTATTGCCATCTTTTGCGGTAAAAGGTTTATCGACCTTGGTCAATAGCGGACACCACCGCTTCGCAATTTCTTGACTTCTTAGTGATCAAGCCAATAGGCAGACGCTAGCAAATGATCAAAATGTCTCGTGCTATACGACATGGACGATCTCTATTCTAGCCGAAAATTCACCGTGATCCCGTCCGTAACAAAGCCATGATGTCTTTGCATTTTGACGCAGCATGACGTCGGCTACACGGAGCAAAATGCACCCTTACTTGCGCTCACCTCGTGTATCGACATTATATGTCAGCATCAGCAAAGTCGAACCTCGTGTTCGCAAGACGTCGTCGAGGCTATCAATTCTTCAAACATGTGACGCTTGGTGAAGGGTTGCTACAAACTTACTGAGTCGTAGATCGATAACTTTGTCTTCGTCTTCAATGTCTGCTGAAATCATGTTTCTGAAAAAGTCCGGTATGTAACTCCATGTCAATCGTTCGTCGCGTTTGCTTTGCTATGCAGAGCTGATAACTTTTGAAAGGTTTGTTTGCGTAACCGCCTCGGTTTTACCGACTTGTGTTGTGACCTAACCACAGTTTTGCATAAACATGCTAACTTTGACAACCAGACGATCTCATGATGAGTGTGTCTGTAATGTATCTATAAATGATCTGTTTCTACGCATGTGATCATAAACGAGACGGAAGCGTTCACTTTTTTCAGAACAGAAGGTATGAAGGTACGAGTTTAACAGATTACCAAGGGTCACCATGATCACCACCATAGTAACACATGTCTCCAGCAACATTACATGTAGATTGAATTCGTCATTAGATCAACAGTATGAAGCGTTTGTAAATTAAATCACCGGAAGTAAAAGGTAAGAACATTATAGCCACCTCGACGACAATGATCGGATAATAATGGTAAAAGAGAACATTACGCGTTCAAACAGCAATTACGACTGTGATAATAAGCGTTGATCAACTATTGACGAGCATAACGTTCATGTACTCACAAACCATGTGAAGCTTTTGTATAGTGCCGTTCGTAAACATAAAAGACTTACGGACTGGTGCAATCGACAAGTGTAGATACCGTAACGGCTGTGCTGCTGCAATTACAGTCTGGACTAGCATGCGTGTTTGGTCGGTAACGTTGCTACTTGCTTACATTCTACCCACGCTGAATCTATCATGGTGGTGCAGCGAAAAAAATCTGTCGCAATACTTTTGGATGACTGAGCATCTGTTGCGGGTATTTGCCGTCCACCTCAGCTCGCTTTGTTGCTTCCTTTTAGTACGCTTCGATACACGCACTGATGTACTTGGCTTCATTGAGTAAGTGTGTTTTCGCTCCTTGAAATGATGACCGTCTTGGCTTGTTTCAGCTTCGATCGCGAACGTGTCATGTTGTTGCTGCGCAGAAAGAGCACGAGACATCGCGATTGTATCCCATTCAGCGCCATCGTCACATTTAAGGGCATTAAAAGGAATCTTGTTCGTTGTTTCATCCAGCGTCTCGATGTCTGAAATATGACGAGTCGTAATCACTGAGCGGTCATTTCGTAGTAATACCTTGTAGCCTTTGTTCTTTCGTCCTTTCCGAGACTAAGCTACCAATATTATGAGCTTTTAGACTCTTCTTGGAAAGGTTGCGCCAGACTTGATACGGCGAACTCAAAAACAAAAATGTCTTGAAGGTTGGAAGCTTTGCCCGTGATAATCGCTATCGGGGATGCTCGGCTGTTGTTGGCACGTGTAGGTCTGCTATTTAATATAAAAGCTGCATATTTGGCAGCATCACTTCAACGGTTGAGTGGACCGTTACATCCGAATAGCATATACCGAACCATAAAAGAGATGATGCGGTTCAATCGCTCAGCCTTTCCGTTAGAGTGGCTTCGCGTGTCTGTCGCGTGATGTCCGATTTTCGGCAAAATAGATCCACCAACGTTGTATTGTACTCGCCACCGCCATCGATTTTGCGGATGCGGCAATAAAACTCAGCTTCGAGCAAGGTAGAAAAATCCAAATACTTTGCGGCCGCCTTGTTCTTACGAATGGACACGAAATTTTGCACGTAGATTAACTTGTGGTCGATGAATGTACCATGTACCTCTTTCCGTGCTTGCCCTGTGGTGATATTGGGCCTTGAGATCACTATAGATGACTCCTCCGATTCTTTCGATTAAAGAGGTTGCACCACAATCTTTCTTTGGATAAGCCGTGCGTGTGCCCTTTCCTTTAGAGAAAGTTACACATTTTAAGCGCTCGTGATTAGTTATCTTGATTCCGAGTTAGGTTCTTTAGCCATGTGCTAGATTGAATCAAAAGAAAGATGACTCAGCCGTGTGTTAAATTGCATCAGTGTAACCCGCATGTGGCTTTCGAGCTTCTTCCATTGCAGAAAAGACCATAAACAAACAAGCAAGTCATTTGTCATCAAGTAATTTTCGCTTCGCATTGTGTCAACCATACATACGTCGTGAACCATCTTGACTCAAATATTACTTTACCGTCCTTTACATTATTTCCTCCATTGCCGGTGGAGTCCACAAACTGGTAACCAATTTTCTTTAGTTGTCCATAAAAGATGAGACGCAAATCTTTAGAAAGCCAAGGCAAGAAGTAACTATCAGAAAGTGTAATCTCGTGCATTTTTTCGCCATCGACTTATGTCTCGAACGTGGCTTTACCACCCTTTCACTTGCAACGTTGTTTCGTTTGGAAGTGCAAGTCCATCGATATCCTTACATGCAATAGCATTATGAAGTAGCGATTCATCGGTCACTAAGTGCCGACTCGCTCCAGTCCATTACCCTGGTACACTGGCTTTCCGAGTCGATAGTAGCGCAAAGCTTTACGGCTTTGTCAAAATTTACTGCAGCCATAGCAAACTTGTTTTTTCTTCGCTAATTTACTTCGGCCTTTTCCGTGTCGAGGTTTACTCGGGTAGTCTCGCTTGCGACGTTCAGTTGTACACAGGCATAAGACTTTTGCGACTCTCCGACCGCTGCGACGACATCGCGAACCATATACTTTGAGCTTTTCTGGTCGTCCACAATTTCGTGAACCCACGCGAGTTAGTTCTTGAGCATGTACAACATAGTCAAGGCGAATTGAATTGAACGTGATAAGCATCATGTGTCTGATCTTGGGGCCGCATGCTTGACAATGTTATCGATGATTCGCCGTTCATTCGACACACTAGCTAGCCCCAACTAGATGTACTAGGTACAAATGGTGTTGAGACCACGTTCTACCTGGCTCCTTCGGTTTCATGAGTAAAGCTGATGCTTGCTCAAGAGTCACAATCACTCTGAAGATCTTGTAATATTCTTCGAGTACAAATTCCAGACGTGAGAAACTAGACCCCTACGCTGCCACATTCTGCCGAAAGTAGTCCGAAGATGTCGAGTTCTTATTCAGGTACTTACCCAACTTGTTTACCTTTCTTTGCCTTTACCCGCTCCGCTCACCTATATCCTGAAGCCATCTTCGCCATTTCAGGAGCTTCCAAGAACGAGTATGCCCACTCGCGGAAGCCACTGCCCGATCCGACACAGAGCTCCTTGCCCGTGATTCCTTGGATCATTAGCTTCGACGTCTTGTTATCGAGGACAGCAATTCAGGCTGCACCAAGCTGCGCAATTTTGCGCTGGTACCGCTCGTCATCAATCCCCTTCTTGATGTGACTGAGACGGTTGCTGGACGTGTTGTCTAGCCGCCGGCGCGTGAAGACTGCCTTGGGCAAATTGATTTGCACCAGCCTGAATGTGCTGTCCTCGATGTAAATCTTAAAGCGTCATTTGAGATGTAACAAGCAATCCACCTTGCCGAGCAACTTCTCAAATACCGCTGGCGCTTGGATGATATGGCGATGATTTCAGAGTAATCTGAACCGGGAGCTTTACTATTGCTTAAACTCATTGTTGGGCTGGTCTATACTTGTCGTTCGAGACTGTCGAGCCTTGCACTCATCTTTTGTAATAGCGCAAGCACGGTGACATCTTCATCGTTCTTGGGCTCCAAGGTTGACTGTTTCGTTCTATTGCTTTACTTTGTGAAAGTAAATAGTTCTTATAAGTTTACGCTTAGTTACACTACGACAAGCTTGCAAAACTTGGGCTCATAACCGGTTGGATTGCAAGGTGCGCTACGCAGTGTTTGAAATGAAAAAAGTGATTGTATGCTAGTGGTGTTAACTATTTACTTAAGATCTAACCTTAGTTTCCTAAGTATTTTTTGAAACTATAAATTTCAGGTTCTTGCAAGGAGGCGCACCAAAAACTTCAAGGAAGGTTACCAATCTCTCTTTCAACAGGACCAGTAAGCAGCTATTGAAGAAGTGATACCTGCCAACGCAAACGGAGTGCGGTCGCCCTTATGCGACGACAGCAACGCCAAAGAAGAAGACCAGGCTGCGCGAATGGAGGCAATAATGATATTTAGCTACCCAATCCTAAGCTCGCGGCAATCGTTTTACCTGTTTTCTACGGATTTTAGATGGTATTTTGTCAAGGTAAAAGAAGCCGAGAAACCTATTCTAGCAGTACATATATGGCCTCTCGGACTTCTGTATACCAGATTTTCTTCTTCCAGTTTTACAGAGCAAGTTTTCTAGATCTTATTCACCCGTGCAGTCGTACATGGTCGGCGTCACTTTGATTATTAACACCAAGACTAAGGTTTCCGCAACGTGCTTTTCAGGCCGGGAACATGGAACATGGATACGTCAAAGTAGCGTCTGCATAGTGTTGGCGTAACATGATCCTCTTTCGTCAAGATTGTGCCTTTCTTGTTTTGTGGAAGCATTTAACTTTCACTTGAAAGTGGGTGATATCATGTAAAATAGGACATTTGGATGAACATTGGTACCGTTGTAAATGACCGTGTTGCCAGGTTAAGGTAAGCTATTCTGGTTACTCTTCCTTATAAGAATTCAGTAACCGTAGATTTGCGGACAGTCTCTGAAATACCTAAATGCCATCATCCCACAGATCTGACGACGGTGTAGAGTTTTGCCACGGCAAATGTCACATTTTCTGAGTAAAGCTTAGTAGTGAGGCAAAGAGAATTGTGCTACTATGCATCGTATAGCGTTGACAGAAGTACCATTTACTCATGCACATGCTATCACAAGATAAACATTGCGTGAGGCTAAGGAAACAGTTGTTTGTAATACAGACCTGCTTTTTACTCTCCAAATCTTGCGACTTATTCAACCTGAACGCATACTGAGTCATGTGTGCATGGATGCTGGACATGCTCGTAAAGCTGAAGCAGCCGGCAGCCGGACTGCATGCAGAAAACACGTGCTGGTTGTCTATACCCAAAGTTTGATACTTTAGCATAGTTTTCTCCATTCTAAACAAAACTTAGCGACTTAGTGATGACGTCAAAACCTTCAGCAGGTACTTGTGTGGCTACCTTTTACTAAAATTGTTTTACCACAGCGCTACCAAATCACCACAGTGCAGCCGTCACACATAAACCAATTCTGCGTCAGTGAAATGAGCAGAAATACGTAGCACATCTTGCAGCACTAAAGGCGTGTTTGTGGCCCAACTGCAAGTAAAAAGTTGAAGATCCTTTTGACTATTCATTAGAAAGCATTCTTGGTCAAGTGTATATGGAGCTGTTGTTTTGGCTGTCTTCTAAGACGTTTGGCGATGTCAGCAACACGTTGGTGTGGCAATAAAGATCACCTTACAATTTGTTCTCATCCATCTGCCAATGCGTTTGACAAGAGAGCGTGTTTATCATAAGCCTGCAAGAAGAGCTGTATGTAAGTCTTACTCCACAAATTTTATCTTCAAATATTTGTAGCAATGTTACTTCAAATAACAAACTGACGAAGTTTGGGAGTCTACGGAGCGCTTGTCGTTGTCTCAGCCATTAGCCAAAGCGTAAATGATTACACAGAAATGACTGGTACCCTCGACGTGACAACGAAATATAAACGAAACAACAAGTACAACACCGGCCGACACTTTTTCCTCGTTCTTATGAGTGAAAGTGCTAGAAGTCGTTTTTATACTATTCCGTTCAAGACATACTCTTTCTGACAAGCATTGTTGACTGCTTTAAGATTAGCAACTTTGATAATGATTGAAACTGAGATATGGCCATGACTGGCGCAAACCTTCTACAAATACAGTAGTGCTGATAGTTGTAACTTGTATTAGGACATGTAAATGTTGTTCGCATGTAAAAACAATGATACGCATTCTTGTTCTTCTAACAACCCTCCGTATGTTTAAAGAAAACAATGATCGTCGTAATAGTGGTTCCACTGCCACTTGCTCTTCAAATCTAACGCTTTAACCATGCACGTATATGCGTACTTCACGCAGGTCACTCAAAATCACTCGTTCGAACAATGAACCACTGCCAGGTATCATACGAACGAGGTAGCCTCGCCATGCTAACCTTAAATCTTGACGATCGTGGCTTTCGTTTGAGCAGGAGAGCTGAATGTGTCAAAAGACCGAGTCATGCAATCGTCAAGCTTTTTGCCCCACTCCTTCTTCTTCTTGGCCGAGAAAATGAACGCGACAACAGCCAAAGCGACACCACAAACAGCGACTAATACCACGAGAACCACGACAATCGTACTGGTTCCAGGCGCGTCATCCCCAGACTTGGTATTTGCACCGTCCGACTTGTCCTGTTCCTGAGTAGTCGGCATCTTCTCAACCTCTTTATCATTCTCCTCTAGAATCGACACATTGGATGAAGAATCAGTGGCTGCCTCCACCATACCGGCCTCATAGGTAGTACCGCTTCTTGCCTTGAGGTTAACAAAGAAACTTTTAGCATCTGCGGGACAGTTGGCAATTTGCCACTTTATGGTGTACGGGGTAGTGTCACTACTACCCGTGACTGTCTTGTACACTGAAGGGGACAAGCCCAAACTTTCAGTCTGGCAATCAGTGCATTTATCCACGATGAAAGCTGTCACGCGAATAGCCGAGTCAGTGCAGCGAGCGTCTTCACACACGATATCCACGCATTTGCCGCAGTTCTGTGTCGAGTTCCACTGGTTACTATTTATAGTTACGTAATTGTCATCAATGTCGGCGCTGCACGCTACGGCAGCAGCCTGTCCTTCAGTGTTTACCGTGCCCATACCAGTGAAGTAAATATCAGTCGGACCGTTAGCACATACGATGACGGGAAATGCAGTCGCTACCAGCCAAATTTGTCGAAACATCTTTTTTCGTTCTATACTTTTGTTCCGACGTGTCGAAGCTGAAATGAGGTCCTTTCAAGTGTAAAGCTGACTGAACAGTTGCGATGACGCGATGAAAGCCAGGTCGGGAAAAAACGCAAATCAACACATCAAGCTTACCCTCTTGCACATTGTGGAGCACAACGTGTTAAACAGCAGTAATGTGCGTCGAATCGTATATATAGCGCGTGTAATACATTCTCCTTGTCGTTATTTTGCAGCCCACAAATATGAAACGAAGCGTAAATCGAAAGAAGAAAAGAACGTATATACTGTAAAAGCTCTTGATCAACTAGCTGTGTAATAGCAACGCTGCTTGTAGGTCATGTTGATTCTACCAAGCGCTTAAGTCAAATCTACATCTTGGCGATAGAGTCACTGAGAATTGCTGGAGAGCTGAGGGTACTGAATGGACTAGTGACTGATTTACGTAGTTCAGTCAATTTCTTCCTCTTCGCCACGTAGGCGAACGCACCCGCGACGATGCTACCCAGTGCAGCCAAAACCACGGGGGCAACTAGAAGCAGGTGTAAGCCTGATGATGATGGCGCGGACATAGTAGAAGCAAGCATCGTGTCGTCCGCTGGACCTACTTGGCCTGCCTTATACTCGCTGCCCGGAATGAGAGTTTCAAAGTTGTTGCTCTTTAATGCCCTGACTTTAAAATTCGAAGTACCAGCGGTACATTTGCCTGGAGTCAGCGACAATTTTTCCGTTATTGTGTCACCCGAGATTGACAAGATTTCAATGTCAACTGCTGACATATCGACGGTTGGTTCACCTTTTAACAGGAAATAGTAGCCCGAGTCCAGCATGGTCACGTCTCGATTAGCAATTTTCATTTTTGCTATTCCAGTAATAGAATTTACTGGTTGTACAGCCAACCACGAGCTGTTACTGAGACTATTCGTACAGTACTCAATATTGCCATGCCCAAGGCAGTCGGTAAACTTCCACTTGATCGTATCTCTGGGCGATTTACCGTTTAACTGCTGTAAAACTATCGGAGACAAGCCAAGACCTCCGATATTGCATTGCGGACATTCGTCCACGATGTAAACCGTAGCCGCAACGGTTATATCACCGCTTATTACTTCGGCGCATCGACCACAGTTAAGTGATGAATTCCACTGTTCACGATTAATCGTAGCGTAGTAGTCACCAACACCTGGATCAAACATGAAGCTACACGTACCAGCTGATAGTGTTCCAAGTGTATACGGCATACTGTGACCAGAATAGAGTGTACTGTCAATTGCAACGACCATTGCAGGCATTGTTGCTATTAATTGAAACCAAACTTGATACAACATGAATTGTTATCGATGCACTGTAACGTTTCTCGATTCTACTGTGGTTTCGTAATCTTGTAGACGACAAGGAAAATAAATTGATTTTGTTTGTTTGTATAAGCAGAAAATGAAAGGTATTCTTAATCACATGGGGTCATTCAGTCAACAATCACGCGACAAAATACTGATTGTAATGTGCCGATCAAGTCTTTGCATACTGAAAATGCTGAAATTTTGAATTTGAATAATTCCTTGAAACAACAAAATAAATCGAGATTTTTAATAAAATAGCAAATATAGATCCTAATTTAACGTAATGTACGGTATACATATGTACTTAACACAATTAAACACAATCCCATCCATTTACACTACCCAAAAATCATCGACAGATTAAAAAACAGATTCTGTCAAAACAATTTGTCATTTAATACAATTTGTCATCTCTTCTTAATTTAGAAACGTTTTAAATCCAAGATCGCTCTATCCTTGAATATCTTTCGACAGCATACGAAAATGAAGTCGTTTGTCGCTCTGATGACCATCTCTCTCTACATTAACCTCTGCCCATGAAGCTTCTCACGTGACAATCCATAGTAGATCAAATACTAATGATTACAATCAAGAAGAACGTATGACGGGTGTACACGAACAAGCGCTTAGGAAGAAACAAGATTTATTCGATCGCATGGCGCATATGAAAAATACACCATGGGACTCAAACCCCGCTGAAGTGGCAGCCAAATGCAAAGATTTATGCAAACTCAAGGGATTTTCGCACCATCAGCATACACGCAATTGTTTCAATCAACCTACGGAACTTTGCTCGATTTACAAGACTGGGCTTTCATCAATCGACGTTGTGATTACTGTGGCTGAGTGCACGTGCAACAATTTGCGACAAGAGTAGAAGGAGTTGTCGAGCACAAGCGGTACTATCAAGTAGTAGATCGATATATGATCAAGTAGTACTTGATTGTTCATCAGATTGTTGATTCAGCAGCCCCTTAAAGGTCATTGCTTGTTATCATCGTTACGACCCTTTTCAGCATTCTACGTGCGTGCATATTGTTCTCAGTATACCTAAAATTCTTGTTCATCTATTTGCTCTCTCTATAGTCTGAACTAACATGAACCCTCAACATTGTCCTATCTTTGATTGCTTCAAAGTATCTCACTCCGAGCGATCTTCACTGCGCTCTCTGCTAGTGCAAACTTCTCGCAATTCCGGCAAATTGTTACTAAACGCTGCTTCAGCTGTTAATTCGACAACGAAATGGTGAGCTGGTGTTGAGTCCTGCAGTCCACACAGATATAATGCATGCAAATTTTGCATCGCCTTGTTTTCTGTAAAATCTTGGAACCGCGGATAACTCGGCTAGCAGCTTGAATAAAGACGGACTGCGTTTTGCCACAACCAGAGCATCACTTGTCGTAGAATGGCCCACAAGACGAGTCGTGAGTGCCTTCGGAGCTTGTTGACGATGCTTTTTCATCGTATCGCTGACGTATAGCCCATGCCCGCTTCTTCATGCGACTGCAGTGAACAATTTTCACAGTAGAAAGCAGCGCTCGAGTGGACAAATGGATCAACATGGTGCGCATTAAGCCGCCAACTGGATCAAAGTAGTTTAATATAATCATCCAACACGTTCTTGGTTCGCTGCCGATGCAAGATACTAATGGAGGTGTTGCCTCGGATGTGAGTCAATAGCGGCGGTGTTTCTGGAAATTGAACCGAGTGGAAGATGTGGTATCCAACACGTTCTCCATTTCGAAGTCTTTCGATGCCTGTAGTATTCATATGAATGAAATCGCGCGGTTTAACAAGAGGGCGTAATGCCGACGGAATTTGAGTCTCTACCCACTTGATAGCAACTGAATGAAACGGATCGTCTACGGTCGGATGAACAAGAGTCGAAAGCGCACATCTACCAGGAATCTCGTCATAGGCATACGATAACTTGACGTACATCTGCTCGCTCGTCGAAGAAACGAAGCCGTACATAATATCATCAAGATTACCGACAACAGTTCCTGTAATCATCACTACGGGTAGTTCCGATACTGACGTTTCTGCTTGGTACACGGGTGTTGACCACATTTGACGGGGTTGCTCAATGTAGGCGCGCAAATCGCCTTTACATGAGACAAGTTTCCAGCGCCTTTTGTTCACGGTGTTATTGTTGTCAAACAAGAAACTTTCATACGCTCCAATGTTGCATCCCACTAGCTTTTGCGCAACAGTTTCTAGTTCCGACACATTTGTCGGAGACAACTGCAAGATGGAAATGGACTCTTGTGGCGTTTGATTGTGGATGAACCCATCTCGACACCAACAGAACCTTCAAATATCGTCGAGTGTACACGATTGAGAGCGAAACAATCAGCAATGATCATTTTTTGACTTGCCGCTGGTGGAGCCAATTGTGTTGTGTGGGTCGGAGTGAGTCGCCCCCAGCATCTTCTTAATGCAGGATGGCCGCCAGATGGGCTAATGGAGCCGGGCCCACGTACGTTGGTCTATCCCATCTTTGCACTTGCTCAGCCACGGCAGGATTTGAAGTCTAGTACTTGTCTAACGTAAAAGCGTTATATTCGCAGTAGAAAGCGAGCTATCAGCACAAGTCTGCTTTGATATTTGAACTGCTTCATTCCGACAATAACGTCACTTGAGTGAATAAATTAATGTCACGAGCTACTCTTTCTTCGACAGCCGCTGTGTGTGATAAATGAATACCGGACCTGTTTGAGATTCTACTCAAACCTCGATCGAATTTGCTGTAGAGCACGTCAAGCGTATAACGATCCTAGTTTTATACAACCGCATCCCTTAACGGTTTATACAGCATTCAATGTAGCGCCTGCCTCACGCTTAGTGCCCTATAAAGACGGAGGAGTGACTTTGTCTCCTTGACAGTCCGTCAAACGATGGTGAATCAACATTACATTAAAAACAGCGATTCAGCTTGAGCCTCTCAGTTAATTTAATCGATCGTAATTTTTCATGCCAGAGTCAATCCAATAATAATACCACGTCTACTACATGTATGTAATGCGTCAAACAAGGACATCTTCGTGTCATTGTCTTACTCCACCATCGGATTACAATCTGAACGTCATACAGTTTATCAGCATTTTCAAAAATGACCTTCCACTTCATTTCGCTTAAACATTCGTTCTGTTCCTTTAAATTCGTTTCTATGGAAGCAAGTTTCAATCAATTACTACAGCTTTAGTCCTTTAATCCATACGTCACTCCATACGTCACTACAGCCACCAAAGTATCACACCGATATAGTTTACATTACATCCATGAGTTAGTAACCAGATGCTAAAAGTGACGTCCTAAACGTTTATGTACTGGTAAAGGCGGCCTTATTCGGTTTTCTGAACTGATTGTATGCTACACTTACAGGTCACTTACTTGTTCATTTCTGTATAAAAGCGATATATAGAAATATTCGTTTTAGTATTTTATATATTAAAAAAGGTTTGTAGAAGCCCTTTGAAAGACATAGACCACGTATCAGAGCGTGTCGTTTGTTTGTTCACTTCATACAAATTCCAAATACATTGTCATGTGTTCGCTATTGTGTCTACTATGTAGGACCAGACGCTAGCAAAGCTCGGCACTTCTCCTCTATGCTTGATTTTCATCCACCCTATTAGCAATTATACATCACGTGATCACACTTTGTCGACGGTGCTAAGGGTTTGTTTGATCGCATTAAGCGTTTTCACACATCAAAGTCAAAAGACGATGTTTCGACAGGTGTTGCTATTGACGGTAATGATGCCTGTAATGGCATTTGCAGGTGGTGACGAGTACTTTACTGGTGATGGCACTTCGTATACTCTTGGAAATGTGTCGGCTGGCAATTGCAATTTCATGTACGATCCAGGGGTTGGTGAAAATTACGCGGCATTGAACGATGAACAATGGGAGTCGACACGAAATTGTGGACGGTGTGCTGAAGTCTCGTGTGATGACTCTCGTTGCAGTGATACGACCAGTACGGTCATAGTCTACATCGTGGATAGGTGTCCAGAGTGCGTCAAAGGTGACTTGGATTTGTCTCCGACAGTGTTTAAACAGCTTACAGGCAGAACCCCAGATCGATACCGTATGAAGTGGAAATTTGCTGAATGTCCCGTGACTGGCAATATCGAGTACTGCACTAAAACTGGTAGCAGTAGCTCGTGGCTTGCTGTTCAGCCTGCTAACTTTGCCAGTGGTGTAGCAAGTATGAAGATCGGCAACCAGGACGTGACCATGGTAGATTCGTGTTACTATTTTCTACTAAACGCCGGAATGAACATCAATATGGCGGCAGTGGACATTGAAATCACGTCGGTCTCGGGTGAGGTCATCACCGAGACCTTGCCGCTTTCAGCCGATAATTGCACTTGTGGAACGTCTAATTTTGGATCAAGCGGCGGCTACAGCTCTTCGTTTCAGATTACTTCGACTATTGAGTCAGCTCCAGCCCCAGCGCTGTTGTCACCTGTACCTGCGCTGCCTTCCGACACAATGGTCACATCTACGGTCACAACTCCTCCCGCGACGTTGCCAGCAACACCGCCGAAAAGTGTGACGGAGCCTTCATACACAATTGGTACGCCTGCGGTCATGGCTCCTCCTGCGACGTTGCCATTAGAAACCCCGACAAGTTCGACGGCGTTTGCTCCACCGTACACTCCTACTGATGCCAGTTCATTACAGTATCAGTATCAGTCTCAAACGCAATTGCAGGGTCAAAGTGAAGTGACCGATTCTTTTACTTCGCTAAAGACGGGTTTACAGAGTAGTGGCGGTAAATACGAGGCAGGAAATGTGATTGCACCCAATGAGTTGGGACGTGATATGAATATCTTGCAGTCCAACGAGACTGGTGTCGAGACGGCGCACAATGTTCAGCAACAGGATGAATCAGACTGTACCAAGAAGCCTGGTAAATTGGATATCGAGCACGCGAACACCAGATCGAGCTCTAGCGACCGAGGCACGAGTCCGGTTGTTGTCGCACTCATCGTATTGGCAGTTGTGGGCGGAATTACTTTGGCCGGCGTTGCCTATGTTGTTCAAAAGAAAAAATTGACCGAGAAGCAGATTGATCAAGATGTGGCCATGATGCGATCGTTTGATAATTTCAGTTCACCAGTGCGTTTTGACGAGACTATCGCCAAGATTTGAGGTTGAATCAAATTTGCGACGATATTCTAAAGTCTGCACGTCGTGCACGTCGATGCGTATATTGTGAGAGGCATGTGCTACAATTTGCTGTGCGTATGAACTTGTTGTTGTTTTGATTATGGTAAGCGGCATTGGAACCGCTACAACCATAGCAAATGTAAATCAAATGTCCACAATGATGGCGCTGTGTTAAGAAAGGATCGGGTGTGCGAAGTCTAAGCTAGAGAGAGTTCCATATTCGGTGGCTTGTTTGATCTAACATGAGTGAGTGTGCTGATCAGCGTGATTGTAACTGACGATGGTATTCTAATAATTGTTGCAGTCCACAGGTATGACCAACATGAAACGCTTGTGATTCTAATCGCAAACGTCTTTGTAAAAGGCAGCTCGCAGTATCCTGCCGATAGATAATTGCTTCTACCTGGAATGCGTGCTGCACTTCTCTTTTTACTCCTGCAGATGGGAACAACGGAAGCTACAACAAGTCCTCACCACAATTAATATCCTACAAGTATGTGACGATGTTGACTAGTGCTTTATGACTGAACCTAATGCCACATATTTTCTCAACTGACTTTTCTACGACTGCCGTGATCAACTTAATTGTCAATGTGACGATTACCTCGACCATTATGAACCCCTTGCCAAGCTTGCACACCCCCCCCATGCCGATCCAGGTAAAAGACTCAACCCCATTTTGAACATGTGAACACCAGACAAAACGATTACCATGAATGTTCTGGCACTGCAGTTACCTTTCGTCATCTAGTTCGTCAAAAACGAGAAGAAACAGCAGACAATTGATCAAACTGAAGCACAAACGACTGCACTCTACCAACAAAGGTCATGAAACAAATACAACACTAATAATGTCACAGATAGTGTGCTCGGCTGCAAGCCGCCACTAACGCGTTGAATTGGCCTCGTTTTACGTTCGTTCTAGACATCTAGATGATCTTTTATTTTCAGCAGCAGCAAGGAATGGTCGCTTTGATTGCTGTTGCTAAAAGTCAAGATAGTATGATGGATCTAAACGTCTCAAACACTGTAAAGACAAGATCCAAATCATTTTGATCAATTGCTCACTTGTGCGCCGGAAGCACGCGAGACTCATAGCGTAGAAAAAATACAAACGCTTCGATCCATTCAAAGTTACAGTTTTAGAAGTGCTGTGTATGTCTTGCACCTACGAAGGCTTTGTACCTCGTGAAGTGCATCGGCCGCAACAATCTCTCCGATAATTCTTTTAGTTCAACGTTCTGTTTTGTGCTAGGGGTACGTCTACTTCAGAAAGTGCAAGCTTCATTCGACCTGGTTTTTTGGATTCTATCGACAAAGAGGCTGCCACGTTTGCCAGCTGTACGGATATGTGTGATGCTTCAGTTTCTGTCTGTATCTATCTAAGTGACAATGAGTGTACCTCAGTTGCTCACATTGACGTCGGCATTCTGTCGAACGTGCAAAGCTCTAACGATCTCACACGACAGTTATAATAATCGGATCGATCGTATTGCATTGTCGCAAGCAGCAGATGGATTCAGAGGAGTTTAGTAAGAATGAAAGATTTAGATGTCCAGTGAAGACATGCACTGAAATCCTCGTTCCGCCTCTACAAGTTCTTTCTTCTTAATAGAATCACAGCCTTAATGCTCCCACCTTTTAAAAAAGGAAGAACCGTCAAGCTAGGTCGACAGATCCTTCCATGGTCTCTAGGAAATGTAAACATTCATTTTGAAAGATGAATGTGCGTTGTAAAGTCGCAAAGTCTAGGATCGTTTGAACGTGCGATCTTGTGTAGAAACTGTGAAAAGATCTTCTGTGGCCTGCTTCTAATAATGCATCGTTCAACTGTAACGCAAGGCCTTCAATGCATTCGTGAAAGTCTCCACTAACGACATGACGTCCTTGCTAGCCCCTACCTCTACTCAGTGAAAGTATGGCGTTGCAATGACGTACTCTTTGCCGTACAAAAGTGCTGTTGGTGATCAAGATCGCGTCCAATAAACTCGCGACAGAGACGATCCCTACGTCAAGCGAAGCATGCTTGCATATCACTCATGAAATGTTTAAAGTGCCACGATAGCACTATTGTGGGACGGATCAGTTCATGCTGATTGCGGGAAACCGCGAGCCACTCGCGCATTGACAAGCTGTCAAAACGAAAGTGCCTGTCCTCATACGCCAGGCAATCTGTTCACGTCGGTCGATCATTCGCCGGACGAACCCATCGTTCGCGGCCACCAGTCCGCAAGTCGGCCAAGCTATGTACCGCTCCGACAAACGTGACGAAACAGAGACGGTCTTTAATTGTGGGAGGAGACCAAGCAGAACGCTGTCTCAAGACGTGACTGGAGTGAGAGATCCGCGATGCAATGATTTAGCGCAGCCATCTAGCTTTCCATCCAGTGAACTCCTTCAGCTCTTGTATGACATCTCAATCGATAGATCGTCCACTGCCAAGCATGCACTCCGATCACTTTTAATTTTGCTACCACCTTCGCACGTACTTGTATCGTCTGAGTACAAATGACTTTGCAGCGACTTGTTACGGTGCTGTTGCTAAATGCATCATATAGTTGCCTAGTGAAGGCCTACGAAGGCTACGGCACAGTCTACTCGCTTAGCTCGCCTTTCGATGGCAACTGCAACTTTATGAGCTGGCCTAAAGATGCCGTCACCAAATACGCCGCTCTAAACGCTGAACAATGGGATGAAACAATGAACTGCGGCCGATGTGCCAAAGTCTCGTGCACCGATGCGTCGTGCACCGGCCAGTCGGAGATCGTGTACATCATGGACCAATGTCCGGGCTGCGCATACGGTGACTTGGATCTGTCTTCAGACGTATTCGAGGGCATCACAGGCCAGTCATATACGAAGCTGAGTATCGAGTGGATGTTTGTGGACTGTCCGATCACAAACAACGTACAATTCTGTTTGAAGACCGGCAGCAGCGAGTCTTGGGTGGCGGTGCAGCCGGCCAATTTCGTATCGGGTGTGGCGAGTTTGTCAATTAATGACCAGAAAACGACAATGGTCGACTCGGCGTACTATTTTCTGATCGACGGCGGCGGTAAAAAGGTCGTGGACTTAACCTCCGTAAAAATTTCGGTGAGAGGCGTGAACGGCGAGGTACTGAAGGAGACGTTGTCATTGACCGCCGATAAATGTACTGACGGAAATGGGCAGTTTGTTTCCAAAGGTGACACATTTCAAACGACCATCACGAAAACTGCCTCGTCGGGACCTACACCACCACCAACTGCACCGCCAGCGCCTAAACTACCAGCACCTACACCGCCACCAACTGCAACGCCAGCGCCTGAACTACCAGCACCTACACCGCCAGCATCTACACCGCCAGCAACTACATTGCCAGCATCTACACCGCCAGCACCTACATTGCCAGCATCTACACCGCCAGCACCTACACCGCCAGCACCTACACCACCGGCAACTGCACCGCCATCACCTACACCAATTGCACCTGAATCACCGGTAGCTACACCGCCAGCATCTACACCAACTGCACCTGAACCACCGGTAGCTACAACGCCAGCACCTAAACCACCGGTATCTACACCGCCAGCACCTAAACCACCGGTACCTACATCGCCAGCACCTGAACCAACGGCACCTACATCGCCAACACCTAAACCAACGGCAGCTACACCGCCAGCACCTGAACCAACGGCAACGCACCGCCAGCACCTACACCGCCAGAACCTGAACCAACGGCAACTGCACCGCCAGCACCTAAACCAGCGGCAGCTACATCGCCAGCACCTGAACCAACAGCAACTGCACCGCCAGCACCACCAGCACCTGAACCACCAGCACCTACACCATATGCACCGGTTACTGGCACAACACTTACAATGAAGAAGCGTCTAGTAACGACGAAAGCTGCAGCAGAATCGTATGGTGCTGACACCCCTATAAGAAAGTCAATAGCATCAAAGTCAGTACGGTCGCCACTTTCGACTCCAAATCTGGCGGTTCAAGCGACACTTTCCAGTTCGAATGGCCCAAACAGTATCTCATCATTTGCCAATCCAAAACCAACTGTTGGCACGAAGCTAAGTAAGGCTGCGATGATATCACCAACCAATTCATTTTTGAAAAGCAACAAAACATCTCAAACGTCATCAGTCTTAACAAATGGTTTTTATCGATCGCCATCGAACACCTGGAGTGCTACAAACGTAAAATCGAAGACGTCGACACCGACGCATGCTTCTAGTCCGACTGCTACTGCAACTTCTGTGCAGACAGAAATGAGCAGCAGCAATAATCATGTCTCGGTAGCTGTCATTGTCGCAGCAGTCTGTGTGGCATTGGGAGTAGTCAGTGGCGTAAGCATACTTGTTCACAAGAAGCGCAAACTGATTAAGGAGAGTAAAAGCACAGACCGCCGTGCCTCTCTGGAGGAATACGTCAGCTTTCGTTCCCCAAGGTCAGAGGTTCCTATAACGTACACTGCGTAGAAGCGTTTTTACAAGAATCAAACAAGTATGTAGGATAATAATGACCATGTTTGCTGGCATTTTCTGTAGTGCTGTAGCGTTCGAGTAACTCGCGCTCTTATGCATTTTGTAGCTTTAGATAACCACAACGTCTCAAGTACTATTATATCTGTCATCAATGGGTGAATTCCATCTGCATCATCTCGATACATGTGAAAACAGGGATCAAAGTACCTTATGCTGCACACCATTACGACATCCGTATCAAACATTCTGCATTGCACTCATAGCTACTTCTTTGTACTCGTGTTGTTTCTTCTTGTAGAAACTTTACATTTATCTTTGAAAATAGAACTCGTCGTATGCTGACGCGTCAAGTCGCTACTTTTTTTGGACTTGTACTCGTATTATAGCCAAACTCGTCACGAACGTGGTAATGAGGTGGATGAAAAGGCAACGCCATAATTGCAGTCACAACTGCCACGAAAGAGGTCATGCCGTCTCTCTTTCGCAGCAAGATAGTGAGGGGTCATTGCACTGCTTCAAGGACAATTGGAAACAGGTTTTTACAAAGGCAAAAGAGTCTAAAGAGCTCAGAAATGTCGAAGCGGTAAGCTTTATAGGTCGCGTCACAATCAACGATGGTGCTGAAGTAGGGTGCAAGATGCTGCCAAAGGTCATGCAGATTTTGCTAAAAAAACACTTGGGTTCGTAGGTCTCATGTTAGCTTTCGCCTACGTAGCTGGAGCAGCTTTGCTTTGAGCTAAGAAAGTGTAATGTCCTCAGACAAAGCTGGCGAGTCAATTGTCAACCATGCTTTGAATTATTCGGCATTTATTAGGTCCTGTTAAAAGCAATCTTTCTCCTTGCATGGTAAATGCCTTCTTCCATTCAGGTCAATGTTATTGTACGGATATTAAAGCCAAGGCAGTAATAGGTCTAACGCATCTCAACATTTAACATGCTTCTTCACCTAGCATAAGGTTTTGTAGATTTTCATATGAATTACTCCTCCGTCACTGAAGTGTGTAGCACAAAAATCTTAGTGGACAAATGCAACCATGCGCTACATCCAGTCCAACTTGACGAGTTCTGGTACACTAAATGCCTTCTCTCAGTATCGCTAGGAGTAACTGCAATTCGTGTATTTGATCGACTCCATACGCGTGAGAGCCTGGGAGACTGCGCCCACCGGATCTCTATGTCATATAAAACTCATATGCGGCGCTTGCTAGCATTATCAACAAGCTGTATCTGTAATCAACCGCAACGAAAGAGGAACCATAAGTTGTGGACAACACTCTTTTCTGACACTGCCTACATTTTACATTTTAGCTTGTTACCAAAAACCTTGACATCAAGGAACCGATCAAGACAAGCAGTTCCATGTCGTGGTGAAGACGATCGAGTGCTCCGAGAGAAACTGGAGTCCTACATGTTGACTAACTTGAGAAAACGAAAACAGCTTCGGGGACTTGGCAGGTACTATTTTGGTGCTCAAAGACTACGCCTTCCACTCTTGAGTTTTGGACGTGGCATACGCTGCTAAGCTTGGTATTCTCGGTTTAGGCTGGTTGGTGACAGACATACTTACACTTGAAGAACAAAGCGATTGTGCCGATGACAGCACACTTTTGATCCGGTGCATTTGCGCCCGTGGATAACCCAGTCTGTGAAGCGACTGAACCAAGATATCTTTTATATGATTAGAGCGATGTCTTATCGAGTACAAGATCAAGTGTCACAACTGTATTTATCAGTCTATTCCATGGTAAGGCACGACCTTATTTATCCACACGACAGCACCGTCAAGACCCAACCAAGCTTGTTGCTCTATTTGACATCACTATGCAAGCTCTGACTTTGAGGGATTGGAGCCTTGCGGAAGGTGCCCGTTCTTACGACATCGACACATGTCATGGAAACTCTTGTAGCGTGGGCTGGACCGCACTGTTGAGATAGAAGCTACTACAATCTTGCCGTCGACAATGGCCTCAAGAATCGGGACGCCCGGATCATCACTGACTGCCAGCACGAGCCTAATCGAGTCAGATCGCAAACGATGCTGCTAGCAATCTACTGTACTACGTACAGTACATCGCGCGGACGACATTGTTGTCACAACTTTCAGCGGTTGGACTCTGAGAGCAACTTGCTGTGCTAGAAGCAAATTGCCGTTCGTTTGCTGCGGTTTTGCACGTCCTGGGTTTTGGCGCATATTCCTCAGCTTAGCCAAGTTTGGAGCTCCAAGTCTCATGGATACCTTCGACCAAAGTGGTGTGTGACTTCAAGCGGTTTGTGGTGTCCGACTGGTCTCCAAAAAAGACGTAGCGATAGTTGTACGTAGTGTAGTACTAGGCAAACGCACACAATTGGGCCAGGTGACAAACGAGTTTGTACATGTGTACCGGAGTGTTACTTCTGAGCGTTTGGACGCTTGCTACGGTGACGCCCTGATTGTCTCTGGACCTCATATATATCGTAGCATAGTGTTCGGGCCTTTACATAATTGAATCTCACCTGAAATTGACCTCAACTCGATGTCTGCTAGAGTCAATTTTGAGCAGCTCGCAATCTACACGAATCGACGATTCAACCTGAACCAACTGGACCCTACGCGTCACCAAGTGATCCAATGCATACGCTCTAGATTGGTGCTCTCACGAGGAAGGTTAGGCTAGACCAACACTATGTATTCATCTTCGCATGACGTACATACTCTGTTTGGACTGGCAACATTCAGACGTTGGTTGTATTAGTCGACACTGAGATTACACTTGATTCTTCGTAGAGAAAAAATGTGCTCACTTCTCATTTAATGCTTCTTACTTGAGTTATTTCTTAAATTCAAGCCTGCCTAGTGTTTGTATTGTCTTGGTGATACTATTCGAGATAAGTGCTCTATTATTGAGTCTAGAAAAACGACAGCACAGCAAGAAGTAAAAGAAATATGCTTGTTTCTTGAGGATAAGCGCAGACATTATGGTCAGTCAATTCATAAGATGCCGGTTCAACAATATCTTTTTTTATCAAAGTACTGTAAGTTACACATAATGATACAAATTATCAATACATGATCAATACTAACTGAAATCAAGACAACAGATATTTTGTTTATCCTTAATTGCAAGGTAACAAATTCCAGAAATAAATTACTGCGAAAAAAAATAAACTACATGTGAGGTTCCAAAACCGTGTGCAATACACAAGCTTTCCAGACACTTAATTTTCATGGAACTAAAGCGTTAGGAACTTTGTAAGTTATTTTCGTTTTTAGTCAATCAAAAGTAACAATAACGTAATATATACACATGTACAATACGAGCTTATTGGACCTAAATGGACCACTTAAGTGGCTGTAATGGAAAGAGCCGTAAGATGCTTTTGGGAAGATAATGATGATAGAGCAGTATGGAGTAATGTATCCTAGTAACTGATTTGGATGCAAATATTGTTCTATAGAAACTGTATACTAGTAGCTGCAGTAAATGTAGCAATTGATGTATGCTGTAGGATCTAGAGCTGCATTTGAATTAATATAAACGTCGGTAGGTGCCAGCCTGATCAAAAAGCATTGCAAAAAGACAGCAACTACATAGCATACAATTGTCAGCACAATACTATTCGTCTTCTTGCTAGCCTAACCTTCCTCGTGAGAGCACCAATCTAGAGCGTATGCATTGGATCACTTGGTGACGCGTAGGGTCCAGTTGGTTCAGGTTGAATCGTCGATTCGTGTAGATTGCGAGCTGCTCAAAATTGACCCTAGCAGACATCGAGTTGAGGTCAATTTCAGGTGAGATTCAATTATGTAAAGGCCCGAACACTATGCTACGATATATATGAGGTCCAGAGACAATCAGGGCGTCACCGTAGCAAGCGTCCAAACGCTCAGAAGTAACACTCCGGTACACATGTACAAACTCGTTTGTCACCTGGCCCAATTGTGTGCGTTTACCTAGTACTACACTACGTACAACTATCGCTACGTCTTTTTTGGAGACCAGTCGGACACCACAAACCGCTTGAAGTCACACACCACTTTGGTCGAAGGTATCCATGAGACTTGGAGCTCCAAACTTGGCTAAGCTGAGGAATATGCGCCAAAACCAGGAGTGCAAAACCGCAGCAAACGAACGGCAATTTGCTTCTAGCACAGCAAGTTGCTCTCAGAGTCCAACCGCTGAAAGTTGTGACAACAATGTCGTCCGCGCGATGTACTGTACGTAGTACAGTAGATTGCTAGCAGCATCGTTTGCGATCTGACTCGATTAGGCTCGTGCTGGCAGTCAGTGATGATCCGGGCGTCCCGATTCTTGAGGCCATTGTCGACGGCAAGATTGTAGTAGCTTCTATCTCAACAGTGCGGTCCAGCCCACGCTACAAGAGTTTCCATGACATGTGTCGATGTCGTAAGAACGGGCACCTTCCGCAAGGCTCCAATCCCTCAAAGTCAGAGCTTGCATAGTGATGTCAAATAGAGCAACAAGCTTGGTTGGGTCTTGACGGTGCTGTCGTGTGAATAAATAAGGTCGTGCCTTACCATGGAATAGACTGATAAATACAGTTGTGACACTTGATCTTGTACTCGATAAGACATCGCTCTAATCATATAAAAGATATCTTGGTTCAGTCGCTTCACAGACTGGGTTATCCACGGGCGCAAATGCACCGGATCAAAAGTGTGCTGTCATCGGCACAATCGCTTTGTTCTTCGAAGTGTAAGTATGTCTGTCACCAACCAGCCTAAACTGAGAATACCAAGCTTAGCAGCGTATGCCACGTCCAAAACTCAAGAGTGGAAGGCGTAGTCTTTGAGCACCAAAATAGTACCTGCCAAGTCCCCGAAGCTGTTTTCGTTTTCTCAAGTTAGTCAACATGTAGGACTCCAGTTTCTCTCGGAGCACTCGATCGTCTTCACCACGACATGGAACTGCTTGTCTTGACCGGTACCTTGATGTCAAAATCCTCGACTTGACGTTAGAATGTAAGTCTTAGCCAGCGTCAGAACAACGAGTTGTCCGGAAAGTTAGTCATTATGTACATTGCTTTCACATTGTTAAAAAATAATACAGGTGGGCCCCAAGAAACAGCCGATTCATAATGTGTTGGTCATGACCGCTTTAATAAGAGCATCTCTGTCTATATGTCTCCACCGTATAAATTAGACTATTTATGAATTTATAGCCAGCCGAATCGCGCATGGTTGCTGTACATAGACAACATCAAGTAAATCGCAATAAACACGAGCAGAGCAACTGCTATACTGTGAGGCTTTTTAAACCAACCTCTCAATACATCACTTTTATTCCCGTTACGAACGGTAAAAATCTCCTTTGCAATAGAATTCGACTTCGTGAGAAGCTGTTCCTCGTTCTTGGGCTTCTTGTGCCATCCAAAGATTCTGCGAACAAGCCTCTTCCACCAAGGTTGTTTAATGTTAACCTCCAAATCACCGTTTGGCAAAAAATGGGGCTCCATATGATTGTTCTGCGCGGCGGTTTGGCAGCGCCGGGGACGAAGTGTTCCGCCGTCTCATCAGCTCTCGCGGCAATACTATCAAGATTTAGGACCACGTTATCACTATTCGTATCGAGTCTGGATTTAACAGTGGCTACGTTTATGTTTTCATCCGCCATAGCATCCACACGAGCTCCGCTCGACGCTCTAGTAACCGCACGGAGGGGCTGTGCTCGAACAACAAAGCAGTCGAGCGATAACGTGACTAATGTCACAACGAAGAACATATTCATATGCATAGTGAGACTTGACCAGGATAAACTTGTTGCTGTGGCAAGCAAATCAAAAATGAAGTGATGACGAGACAAATGTCATGAATGTCGTCGACCAGTTGCATCAATACCGAGCTCAAGATTTAAGAGAGTAGGCTTTCAATGGATAGGCAGCCAGTCATGCACAGCATTGTTGATTGATACTTAGTCTTTGAGAGTACTTGCAGTTCTGTAGTTGTTTTGTTACAGTGGATAGGACTTTGCATCTGTTTTGTTGTACGCAAAAAGAAATAGACATATGGAACGGCAAAGTGAAATTGCTACACAACAAAACGCATATACGGAGTCATTACTTTTACATGGAGTTGTATTAAAGGGTCATTGGTGCTTGTTTGTGTAATTTGCGTCAGAATGTGCGCTTAAACTACAGCAATCATACGAAATTTTGTACCGAAATGTGCAGTCTAGTGGGTTTTGGCAGCTTATTCTGCTTATGACAAAGTCTTGCGTAAGGGCTAGTCTCCACTACACATCCAAGCGATCACAGGCTTTGTTGCAACCCCTCCACAGTACCAGAGACTAGTCATATCAAGCTTCTATAAGAGTGGCACTTTCTGCTGATTATGTCACACAGACAGACTGGCTTTTCACACCGGAAGATAAGAGCGATAGCTATCTTATGTTTATACCCTTTTTGTATCAGGCGACTGGATACTAATTTTATGGGTCGAAGCTTGTGATGGCTCATTTATTGCGGGCTTTTTGAGGAGCACAAACTTCGGTTTCGTGTCTTTCTGCTGTAATAATACCAGCTACTTTGTCAACGACAGGCACTAGATACGAATATTAGTAATCTGAGGTTGAAGGTCTGCGGTCTGCAGTCGATACGAGTTGCTGGATAAAAGCATTGTTGTATCGTAGTAGCTATTGTCCAGCTTTTTTTATACACGATCAAGAGATCTGCTGTGCAGTTCCAAACGAAGGAGCAATTATCATGTCACAGTCTGTGCACAGGTTGTAAATGGAACATTCTTTGCTGCAGATGGAGATATGTGGGTTGACACAATGCGTCTCAAATAAATAGCAAAAACGGCGACCTGGGTGGTTGCAAACAAGTTGTTTCTTATTTTTGAGATGGGTGTATCCATTTGCTGTATTTGGCACCTGGAGTAAAGAAAAGGTCACTTTCGTAGTTTGGTGCAAAATGCAAAGTGATTGATTTAGGTCCTTAGTTCACAAGCTACTTGCTACCTCTAAGCCTCTTGTCCTACCTACTGGATACACTCTACTGGATTCTTTACTGGATACTGAGTTACTTCAGCCAATCAGCGAGTGCCACGTAGATCCCATCATGTACCCACAATCTTGTACCCACGTGTGGCGTAAACATTGTCCCATAATCACAGGAATGATTGCGGTACTGCTGAGTGAAGGTCATACCGGTATCTGCCGGTATTCCGCAGCTGGTCGAGGCGTCTTCTTGACAACACTCCCACTCGACTCGGCAGTCTTCGGCGCTTGAACTCCGAGCTTGTTTCGAAGAACTTCAAACTGCATGGCTGTGATCGGCTTCGTCATGATGTCTGCCAGCATGTCCTTCGTCGAAATGTACTCCAGCACCACTTGACCGTCTTCCACCTTCTCGCGCACGAAGTGGTAGCGAATGTCGATGTGCTTGGTGCGCTTGTGAAACTCGGGATTCTTGGCCAATGCGATGGAGCCTTGGTTGTCCTCGTAGATCTTGACAGCTTCATCGTTTGCCATCTCGCCGAGTTCACGCAGAAACGCTTTGAGCCACACTGCCTCTTGCGTGGCTTCCGACAACGCCATGTACTCTGCTTCCGTAGACGATAGTGCTACAGTTCGTTGCTTCTTGCTGCGCCAACTCACACATCCGCCGTTCATCATGAATGCGTATCCGCTCGTGCTGCGTCGAGATTCCACATCGCCTGCCCAGTCTGCATCCGAATAGCCGCGAAGACCGTCCGTATCACTCGCTTGAAACTCGATGCCGTGTGTCTTTGTGCCTTGGATGTACCGGAATACTCGCTTGAGTGCCTGCCAATGCGTGGGGCATGGATCCGAAGCAAACTGACTGAGAGCTCCCACTGCAGCCGCAAGGTCCGAGCGTGTTCCCACCATCAAGTACATCAGGCAACCGACGGCACTTCGATATGGTACACCTGCCATGGTTTCGTCGTGGTGGCAGCCACCCTCGCACATGTTCTTCGTCAACTTGAGTCCAGGGTCTTGTGGAGTCTTCACAGGTTTGCTGTCCTGCATGCCGAATTTGGTCAGGATGGTCTGCGCGAACTTGGACTGTCGCAGCGATACTTCTCCAGCCGCGAGGTTCTGCTTGATCTCCATCCCGAGGAAGTACTTGAGTTCGCCGAGATCCGTCATCTCAAACCTATCGCTGAGAGCACTCTTGGTCGACTTCATCAGCTCGTCATTACTGCTCGCGATGATCAAGTCGTCCACATAGAGCACCACGAAAATCATGTCGTCGCCTTCCCGCTTGACGTACACGCAGTGATCCGACTCGCACTTGGCGAACTCCATCTTCAGCATGAAATCGTCGATGGTCTGGTTCCACATGCGCGGCGACTGCTTCAGTCCGTACAGCGAACGCTTGAGCTTGCACACGTAGTCCGGATGGTCTTCATCAACGTAGCCGTCTGGCTGCTCCATGTAGATATCTTCATCCAGCTCACCGTTCAGGAACGCAGTCTTCACATCCATCTGGTGCAACTTGAGTCCGTACTTTGCAGCTAAACTGAGCACGATTCGGATCGATGTGAACTTGGCCACTGGTGCAAACGTCTCGTCATAGTCGATGCCGAACTTCTGCGAAAATCCCTTGGCAACCAGACGCGCCTTGAACCGCTCGATCTCGCCATCCTGGTTCTCCTTGACTCGAAACACCCATCTGCAACCGATGGCCTTGCGTCCCTTCGGTAGTGGCACAACGTCCCAGGTTTTGTTCTTGCGTAGCGCGTCACATTCCGAGTCACACGCTTTCTTCCACTTGTCCGCGTCGCTGGATTCCATCGCCGACTTGAACGTGGTCGGCATTTCTCCCACTGAATACACGACGTGGGCCGCCTCGAAGTCCATTCGATCCGTAGCAGTCGCAGACATGTCTTCGAGCGTTGAGTGTTGAGTCGATGGTACTTGACGCTTGGGGTGTGGGATCTCCGACACTTGTTCCAGCGACTGTGTTCGAGGATGCCGCTTGTCACCGGGGTTAAATTCGTTATCGCCATCCGGTGCAATCCACTCTTCTTCTTCTTCAGCATCATCTGAGTCCGTCGTTCCGTCCGTTGATCCTTCATCGTCGTCTTTGTTTTGAGGGACGACGTACATTTTAGACATACGATAGTCGCGTCTTCCACTGTCGAAGATGTCCTCCATAAACTTGGCATCGCGACTCACCACAATTCGGCCACTCGATAGCTCCTCAAATCGATACGCTTTCTCATGCTCCGAGTACCCGAGGAAACGGCACCTCACAGATCGAGCGTCAAACTTGAACCGCTTTTCCTTCGGAACGAGCACATACGCATGGCAACCGAACACCTTCAGGTTCGCCAACAGTGGCTTCTTGCCAGTCCACACTTGGTGCGGCGACTTGTCGAGATTGATGGCGCGTGTCGGACACCGGTTTCGGAGGAACGTAGCAGTCATCACCGCTTCACCCCAATATTCTTTGGACATCCCGGCATGCTCCATCATGCAGCGCGCACACTCCACCAACGTCCGGTTCATCCTTTCCGCGACGCCATTCAGCTGAGGCGTGTATGGCGGTGTGAACTTCTGCTTGATGCCGCGATCCTTGCAGAACTTGGCCATCGCGCCCGAGGTGTACTCGCCTCCGTTGTCACTCCGAAGCACTTTCACACGTTTGCCGGTTTGAGTCTCAGCGAATGCCACAAACTCAGCGAACTTGGCGGCAACCTCCGACTTGTTTCGGAGTAAATACACGACGCAAAAATGCGACTTGTCGTCGATGAACGTGACGAAATAGCGCTTGCCACTGAAAGTCGACGTCTGCATCGGGCCGCATACATCGCTGTGAATCACTTCCAACAGCTCCTTCGCACGGTTCGACGATGACTTCATGTAGCTCACTCGCGTTTGTTTGCCGAGTGAACATCCGTCGCACACCTCCCACTGCTTCACTGACGTCATGTCGAGACCAATACCGTAGCCTTTCTTGACGATGGCGTCTAGACCGCCATGGCCAATGTGACCAAGTCGAAGGTGCCAGAGGTACGACGTGGTGTCCCCTTTGCGATCCTCCGAACTTGCCGCATTGGCCTCGTTAGGCATTACCGGTGTCATGCACAGCTTGAACAATCCTTTGCCAGATCTCGCGCCGAGCTTCCACTTGAGATTCTTCGACTCCGCGAAGCACCCATCGCTTTCAAAAATCACCGGTCCAACATCCTTGGTGAAACGTCCAACGGAGAATAAGTTGCGTGACAGTTTTGGAATGTGCCACACACCGGTGAGCACACCCTTCTTGATCCCGCGCGGAGTCTTCATTGTCATCACAATGTCGCCACTGCCGATCGCCTGTACCACACCGTCGTCCGCGAGATGTACGTTAACTGGGTCGAAGGTTTTGTAGTTCTTCATGAACTTCTTGGAACACGTCATGTGCTGCGTCGCTCCCGAGTCGATCAGCCATACATTACTCGACTTGGCGCTGCTCCCACCACCAACCGAGAAGAGATAGTCACCGGCATCCTCGTCCTCGCGCGCCACATTCGCACGCTGTGACCGCTGTCGGTTGTTGTTGTTGTCTTGGATCCGCGAAGGACACTCTGCGATCCAATGTCCTTGCTTGCCGCAGTAGTTGCATGCTCCGACCTTCTTCTTCTCCGGACGCCCTCTGCGCTTGTTGTTGTCACTAGTCATGAACGCTTGACCTTGCGCAGTTCCTTCGGCACCGCCACCTTGTTCCTTGCGCTTCATGTCTTCATGTAGTAGCCGAGACGTCACGAGTTCCCATGTCAGCGTGTCAGCTCTCGACTCCAACGCCGTGATGAGGAACTGGTACGATTCACTCAGACTTCCAAGAAGCGTGATCACCAAGTCGTCCTCACTGACCGGAGCGCCGACCGCGTCGAGCTGCTCCGCCAGAGTCTTGAGCTTGTTAATGTGCTCCAGCACATCATCACCTTCGTCCATCATCGTCGTGAAGAAACGTCGACGAAGGAAGAGCTTGTTGGCCAGGCTCCTCTTCTCGAAGTGTCCTTCCAGTCTTGACCATGCATCATGCGCGCCACTAGCTGACCGGACCAATGGTAGCTGCGAGTCTTCCATTGCGAGACAGATGATTGCGAGCGCTTTGCGCGACTTCCTCTTGAACCCCGTTTGTTCCAAAACGGTTGCGCAGTGCTCCAGCTTCACCTCTCCACTCACGATCTCCCACAAATCGCGCTCCTCGAGCACCATCTGCATCTTGAACTTCCACGTGTGGAAGTTGGTTCCGTCGAACTTGTTGATTCGGGTCGGAGCGGAGGTGTCCATGGCGTAGGCGAAGTCGGAGTTGAAGGCGGGGGCAGAGTCTGCGGGGCTTGGGCTCATAACCTAAAGAAAAGGTCACTTTCGTAGTTTGGTGCAAAATGCAAAGTGATTGATTTAGGTCCTTAGTTCACAAGCTACTTGCTACCTCTAAGCCTCTTGTCCTACCTACTGGATACACTCTACTGGATTCTTTACTGGATACTGAGTTACTTCAGCCAATCAGCGAGTGCCACGTAGATCCCATCATGTACCCACAATCTTGTACCCACGTGTGGCGTAAACATTGTCCCATAATCACAGGAATGATTGCGGTACTGCTGAGTGAAGGTCATACCGGTATCTGCCGGTATTCCGCAGCTGGTCGAGGCGTCTTCTTGACAACATGGAGTGCGATGTTGACGGTGTGAAGTTAGGGACCAACAGTCGACATTGACTGTATGAATCAGCAACATGAGGCATATATATATTGTATACTAGAAAGTTGTTCCTGTGGCTTGATTCGATATTGTATGGCTGCATGTGCAATGGATGAACTGTACACGTTGCTTATTGATGGGTGACGCATCCTACACGAGCATTAATCGGAAGGATGATCTGTGTACCGTCAACAATAAGTTGCTCGGAATGATCACCTCAACATCGCAAATTGGCCGTATCAAATGCGTGCTGTAGATTGTGACGTGTCTTCAAGGAAAAACAGTACTAGAAGGGCGACTAAAGTATACAATGACAATGCTTGTGTCCAACTTTATCGTTCATTGGTATCTTTTGCCGTACACAAGGGGCTTCACTTCCTTGGAAGATGTTATTGTTTTCCATCCGTTCAACATTGCGAGTAACAGTTTAACTTTCACCGAAACTAATACCAGGAAGTCATCTACCGTCTATAAACGACGTGGACGATGGTCTAGAATATGTGGTTGAGATACGTTGAAGGAACGTTGAAATTACTCGTTTTGCAATGGACATAATACGATATCAAAAACTTTGGCATGTCAAACTTATACATTTGTTCAATATGACCTCCTTATATTGATAAAAAGAGACTAGTAATACAGATGCTTGTTGAAGAAACTTGACATTCAAGCGTAGGTGATAACGCTACATTCGCCACCTACAGTCATTTGCCACGCTTCGTCTCGCACTTTCAAATGCTCCTGGAGCTGCAGGTCGGTGGTGGACACATATTGTTGCACCATGGTAGCGACAACGTAACATTCGTAGCACTCGCAGCAATCAGCAAGCAGATTGTGGAAACCAACCATCGTTTTGAGTCGCCTGCACTGCACATGATCTTGTAATAATATCTGATGCTATTGGTCCCTAATCTCTTTTGACCACGACCATGATTCCTTGCAGCAAGAGTGTGCTGGAACATATTTTCGGTTACATTGAAGCTTTCGTCCTGCAGTCCTCGCATAACTTGAATCTGAACACGTACATACATTCAGCTTGGCACCCGTGGCAAAACGTCCCACAAAAGGAACGAGTGCGCATCCAAGCTCACAACGCAGTATGGTCCGGCCCACGCTGCAAGAGTTTCCATGACATGTGTCGATGTCGTAAGAACGGGCACCTTCCGCAAGGCTCCAATCCCTCAAAGTCAGAGCTTGCATAGTGATGTCAAATAGAGCAACAAGCTTGGTTGGATCTTGACGGTGCTGTCGTGTGGATAAATAAGGTCGTGCCTTACCATGGAATAGACTGATAAATACAGTTGTGACACTTGATCTTGTACTCGATAAGACATCGCTCTAATCATATAAAAGATATCTTGGTTCAGTCGCTTCGCAGACTGGGTTATCCACGGGCGCAAATGCACCGGATCAAAAGTGTGCTGTCATCGGCACAATCGCTTTGTTCTTCAAGTGTAAGTATGTCTGTCATCAACCAGCCCAAACCGAGGTTACCAAGCTTAGCAGTGTCTGCGGAGTCATGATGCCGCTGGCTGTGTCTGCCACGTCCAATACTCAAAAGTGCAAGGCGTAGTCTTTATGTGCCAAGACGTACTTGCCCAAGCTCACGAGGCTTTTTTTTCTTCTTCAATAAGTTAGTCAACATGTAGGACTCCAGTTCTCTTGGAGCACTCGACCACGGCCTGGACTTATGAATGCAAGGACAATCGACACTCGGGGAAGAAGATTAAGACTGTGGCTGGTTGCCTACAGATAATACATGCATGGAGACTGTCGCTTCCTGATTTCTCGGAGCGGCTCAGGCCGTGATCTGGACATTCATTTCTTGAGGTTTCTAGGTTCACTTGGGATTCAAAAATTGGCGTCCTGTGTACGATAATTGACCCTTAGCAGTGCGCTCCTTTCTTGTGTGATCGCGCATGCACCGCGAGGTCACGATGTACACGAGAAGGGTTTGCTTTTGTTCAGTGAGCAGAGCGTCACGATGGTCGACCTTATTGTCGATAAAATAATGCTAGTCTTGGGTCAAACAAGTTGATCTCAACATCGTGATTCGCCGTTACAATAAAGTGTTTACTTGGCGTCAGAGACAGACGTTGTATTTGGTAAACAGATTGTTGTGTTCAATCGATTGTTGTGTTCATTTACAATCTATAACAATAGCCTTGTCTCTATACTGTGGTTGACTAGAGTATGACTTAGTTTAACAAGTCCTTACTTTTGTCCCAAGCATGGGTTTCTCTTGAGGCGTAGAGAGAGAAAGACCTGTTAAAAGCTCATACATAAAGAGTTGATTGCATGTCCAAACTAAAGCAACTTTCAACAAAAGTTAAGAAGGATGAAGGGAACAAGTCAATTTCGACTGAATTTGGCGCAAGGTGGATGATAATTTTTTGAATATGTTGAATTAAGAAGTACGATATTCTAACACTGTTGCTGACATGGCTCTGTTTACTTATAATAACATTATTACATGAATGGAAAAAAGGCGTTTACAATGAAATAGAACGATAATGTATTACAGGAGCTAAAAAGGCATCTTGTACCCATCTAGATAACCCATTGACTTCAAACCGTAAAAAATAAGAGCACCAGTGATTCCACCGACGAGATAGGACAGGACCATCCAAAAAATAGTCCATTTTGATTTACTCTTAAACATATCCATATGCGGAGCTGCCTCAACAAGTTGCATCGTTTTCTGTACGTCAACGCCTTGCTTTTCTGCGTTTTTCACGGCGGCCGCAAGTGGGGGATAGTTTTTGTCAACATGTTCAAGGATGTGTGTACCATCCTTCAGACCGTTTGCGGCATCATCTCCATGCGCAGCGGTAATTTTAGCCCCAGTTGTGGCTGTTTCATCCCCCGTCTCTTCCTTTTTCAGAGCGGCAGCGGCTTTACCTTCGGCACCCAACGTCTCATCGTTCTTCAGAGTCTCATCGTTCTTCAGAGTCTCATCGTTCTTCGTCTCTTCCTTTTTCAGAGCGGCAGCGGCTTTACCTTCGGCACCCAACGTCTCATCATTCTTCAGAGCGGTAGCGGTATTGACTCCAACCTCGACTGCGGCAGCTTCTGGTACTGCGTGATCCGGCGTCTTAACATGACTTGCGGCAAAACTTTCTACATTATTGTCTCTATGCAAAGACTCGAGCTTCTGGAGTGAATCTTGTCTTGAAATGATAGCCTCTGTATTTATCTCACCAATATTATCCGCACCCTTCAACGATGCAATCTTTGTGAGCTTCGGCTGCGCTCTGACATGATCAAAGCACCAGAGAAGGGAAACAGCCAATATTGCCATTAGGAACGTATTAAGACGCATCGTGCGAGTGGACAAGGCAAAAAGGTGTTTAGCCTTGGCAAGTACTACAAAAAATAAAATTATGAAGAAATATATGGAATGAAGGTTGTCGATCAGTTGAATCGAGACAGAGTGTATAGTCAGTCACTCGTGCACAGCATCTTTGATTTCTACTAAATATCTAAGAGTAAATGCACAAAGTGTCGCACTTTCGTCTGGTGGCACGGGAAGAAACAAGTGGAAAATAAGAAAGAGACAAGTTAATCTTTAGCTCTTTTCTAATAAGTTCAGCGATTAGATTGGGACGTACGCTTGTGCAAGCAAATCTCTCGTCCAGCAGGCTCTATAGGGTGAAGATGAGAGCCAGTGCAGCTTCATCAGCCTTAAATTTTTGGATGCCATGGTCAAACAAAGCTTTGTATGCTTAGTCTTTGTTACCATGGAGTGGTGGCATCTGCTGGACAAAATGGCCGGGGCTGATCCGCGCCAAGATTTTTGTCATAGCAGTGCGACCGGACCAGCCATCCTGAACTGCATATTCCGGTACAAGTAGATTTGATCGCGGTAGACAAATCGCCCTGCGACTTCGACCACATGAAAGGAATCACGTAATTTGCATCACAAGAAGTAACTTTGCCGTTGGAAGTAATAGTCCGTATCATATGTACGTCATGTTGTTATCGATCCTATTTCACGTTATTAAAAGCTCAGCGGGCATTTGTAGGGGCTATCTTTTATTCAGTTTATAGCATTTTTCACCGATAAATTAACACTATCTACGAACTAAGCACGTGGTAGCTTATCTGTAGCGCCTCCAGGCTCTCGAAGAAGCAACGTGTTGCACAAAGTTTGCTTTCATGCATTTCAGCTGTAACAGTATCAACTCTTGTCAGAAGACGCGCAGGTAGGAAAAGTCAGTGGTCTGAGGTCCATAGGAATTGTACGATAAGGCAACTTATGGCATTAGTAACTATAGTCGAGCGTTTATACACGATCAAGAGGATCTGTCGTGCAGCTCCAAACGAAGGAGCAATTATCATGTCACAGTCTGTGCACAGGTTGTAAATGGGACATTCTTTGCTGCAGATGGAGATATGGGAGTTGACACAATGCGTCTCAAATAAATAGCAAAAACGGCGACCTGGGTGGTTGCAAACGAGTTGTTTCTTATTTTGAGATGGGCGTATCCATTTGCTGTATCTGACACCTGGTGTGCTCATGTTGAGCGTGGTGAGACGGTGTGAAGTTACGGACCGAAGACGCCATTGACTGCAACATGAGGCATATATATATTGACTACAAAAAGTTGTTCCTGTGGCTTGATTCGATATTGTGTGAATGCATCTTTCTTTCGTAATCTAAATGCACAGCCATAACAATGACAATGCATAATCAAAGTTAAGGTGCAAAAAGAAGTTAAGGGTTTGAAATCTCTTCTTCAATATCTCAACACAATACCTGGGCAATCAATATCTTTAGAAACTGTTGCTTCAAATGTAGCACCTGGTCGGAGACATGAAACTGTTACTGTGGGCGAGACCAAGAGTCCGTTATATCTGGGATAGGATGAAACGGTCAGGAACAAACAGTACGTTGCATCTGGATGTAATTGCATTTATTCATAAACAATAGGCAGTAATCAGACAAGTAATGCTTTTCGTTTACTTCTATCTACTGTGCGAGAACGAACCATTTGCTTCTATCAGTTTAATGCTGAGCCGAGCGGCCAGATCACACATGACAAAGCTTTTTGTACGTTGCACCTCGGCTTCCATCTCACCGTGAGCGATTAAACGCTTCCTTGGTTCCACCAAGGACCAAAACACTGCTATGTGTGAAGACGCACGAGACTTTTTAGCCGGTAATGATACCGTTTATGACCTTCATTATGACTTCTTCATTTCCTTAATAGTATTCTATACCAACATGTAGGACCCATTACAGTCGCTGGCGATAAAATGGATGGAGCTCGATATTCCGTTTAACTCGACGAGTCTCGTCAAGAATCGTGACTATGTTTACCTCGAGGGAACAGGCTACGTGACCAACTCAAATGGCGAGCGTATGGGCTATCACCTCTTGCACTCGGTGAACTTTCCACAAACTCACAGACTACCGAACCGTGTTCGCGGCAACCTCTCCATCATTGGCTTTTGGCGGCAGATTGGAAACGATACGATGGAAATGTATGCTACTGGGGTTATGGATCCTGTTGCTTCTGACCTCATCCGCAAGCTCGTGGTTCCGAACATGGCCAACGTGTTGCTATCGACTCTTAAGTACGTCTATTGCGGACACATGAAGAAGCTGTCGTTTATGCTCGAGAAAGCATATGCGGACTCCAAGTTGCACGGCGCACCAAACAGGAAGATCATTTGTGTCACGTGCTCGTCACCGATCTTTGGCCGAAAGCTGGGCAATTTCGGCAAGAGCAACAGTACGTGCAAGCTTTGCTTTGGGTTTGTGTGTCACGCATGCAAAGTCGTTCGTAAGCTGAGCTTTGTAGATCCGGATCTTCTTCTATCGCAGCGCAGGGTGACTTTCTGTACGGCATGCATGAGCTTAGTCGCGAACTTTAGCTCCGTACACTGTGCTCGTGCGCGGATGCTCAAGCACCGAACGGTAAACCGCTCAAGTGCGGATCAAACATTGCCATTTGCAGATAGCATTTGGGAATAGTCATACGCAAGGATAAAGTACGTGAAGATTATAGCATAGTTTGAATACAGTAGTAATGAGTACATGTAGCTGACTACAGAAGCTTAATGCGTTCACTGAAATTCAGTTACAGTGATGACGACTAGAAGACAGTTTTCAGTAAGTTTACAGTGATGACGACTAGAAGACAGTTTTCAGTAAGCTTATTGGGCTTGCTTGATTCATTGAGAATATGAAGCACCGAGTATTTTATTCGTGCTTGAAACGGCTGAGGACGCATTGAGGATAGAAGATGCGTCGTTTCTTATCCACCATTTTTACACTTCTATCAGAAGTGAAGAAGACTTTGTCCTATCCCGGCTAGCTTGGGTCTGATAATGCATAACCCGGAGCTTCAGTTCTCAACTCATTTCTTCTTACACAAGTAGATTCACAGCAATGGTAAAAGGGCGCTTTATTATGAACCCATTCACGGAGTTGGCTCTCTCGGGAAATGATCACTCGCAACTTGAGACATTAGCAAAGACTTTGATCATGTCGAACCTTGAGAAATACTTGGCATATCAGGACGAAAAGATAAAAGGAGTGGTGGATCCACTCCGGTGGAAGCTGTATAAACAGCATCAAGGAGTTACGATATACGTTGAGCGACCAGGCTGTACTTCATGTAGTGAGCATGTTTCTGGCAATGACTTGCCGTTGATTCGGGGCATTGGTAACGTGGAAGGTAAACTTGACGATCTTATGTACGGTCTCGTAAGTCCAACGCTCGAGATGATGCGTGTCAAGGCCTCGTATGTTGAAGACTTTAGCGGTGCTGCAGTGCTCGATAGCATTGTCGAGCCTTCCCTGGAGGATCCTTTCCAAGCTTTAGTTGTCAAGTGGATGGAGATTGACATTCCGTTTGCTTCAACAAGTCTCGTCAAGAATCGCGACTATGTGTACATTGATGCAACGGGCTTTGTGCGTACCAAGAACGGTGAGCGGTTGGCATATCACCTTATGCACTCGGTGAATTTCCCCAAGACGCCAGACCTACCGAACCGAATCCGTGGCAAACTATCATCGGTGGCATTCTGGCGGCAGACCGGACCTAACGCTATAGAATTCTTTGGTACTGCCGTCATGGACCCAGTTGGTGCTATGACGAAACTGATTGCTGTTCCTACCATAGGTGGTCTCTTTTTCTCTACTTTAAAGTATGCTTTTTGCGGTCAAATGAAGAAATTGACGTTCATGCTTGACAAGAAATATGCTGAATCCAAGCTGCAAGGTATACCCCAGAGGAAGAACGTGTGTGTCACGTGCTCGAGTCCAATGACTGGTAGACGACTTGGCAACTTTGGCAAGAGCAATCATACGTGTAAACTCTGTTGTGGGTTTGTATGTCACGGCTGCAAGATCATTCATAAGCTTAGCTTTATTGATTCTGATTTGCTTTTGTCGCAGCGAAAGGTGACATTTTGTGCCTCGTGCATTAGTGAATCAACGAGGATGAGTTCGAGTACTACAGCTCGTACTCAATTGGTAGCTAGTGGTACAAATATTCAAGGACAGACAAACTCGAGAATGCATTTGTTTGATTTATCAGACAGCATTCATTCGAATAGTATTGTCTATGAATATTAGAGGTAGTAAGTAGTATAGACTATAGATGAGTAACAAGATATTATTGTTAATACTGTTCAGTATGTAGCAATCATTACGACTAGTTGACTTTTTGGCTTATTATGTGTAGCAATATTAAGACGGTTATTACTACTTTTCATGATATTATTTTATTGTTTAGAGTGATATTTTATGACACTCGACTACGTCGTCGAGATTCAGATCGGTCATAGCAATCTGCAATTTTCTAGGCACTTCCGAGAATGACGTATAATACACAATATTTACAGTTACATGTTTCTATTGTAGCCGTATGTCTAGCCCCGTTTACTATAACGCAGTATTCTTTTTAGTGGGTAAAAGTGCGAGTAATCGTCTCGGTTAACACCGCTGGTACGTAAGTCAAACCTGAAGAAACACCACAATCTCACATCCTTTACAATACCTTATTAAATATATATATACTAGTGATAGTGGTTTTTGAAAGTCACTATCACTATGCTAAGCTTTGAGCTCCATGTGTTGAATGTTATTACATGTGATACAAGAAGGTGTCTTTTATGACACGGGCTATAGTCAGTTTTGGTATATCATTCATTCGTCTGATAAGGTTTGAACCACCAACTGATCATGCAAGACTATGGGACTATGGAACTGAAAGAGCAAGTTTCTAACTAGCAAAAGACCATTCAATTTGTAGCAAGCAACGGTGCTACCAAAGGGTTGGTAGCGAAATATCATGAGACATGGCGCTGTTTACTTAGTGCGTATATGATCGGGTTGTGCTCTACTGGACTTAATCATGAGTAAAGGTGCAAAGATTGATACTGTCGATCATGTATGACACTCTGCTTGCCACGTTGGATTGGGCTACGTATTGAAATTTCACCGTCTGAACAAAGCGTCAAGTATAAAGGTTTGATCTGACCGTGATGGAGATACCTACGTCGTCCAAACGACAGGTGAATGGTTGCATAGACGACATTGTTGAGATGGACGCTGCAGTAGCTACGAATTTGCTGCTGAGGAGGTGGCCGGCTATTTGTCGAGATAACGTTGGAAATCGACTTGAGCTCTACCAACCTTTTACAAAGACATGCTGGTCAGCAACGAGATTTACGTATTTATGTGACGACATTGGCTTTTTCGTGGCGTGGCACTCGTTGATATCAGGAAGCTGCCGTTTATGCGATGACCAAGATAGCCCACAAGACGATACAAAGATAAGTAGCACTGCAGCTGAATGTGTGACTTGTGGTAAAACAGGTGGATACAAATGCTCTTTGTTGAGTGCGTAATGACGCCGTGATGCGAAGGAAAGGAGCCGTCCTGCAATCTTGTTGTGTTTTGTCAAGTTTGTTAAGGAAAGCATGGATATTTGAGTCGTATTGTGTCTGAATCATGTTGGCATGGTCACAAATACATGTCTGGAAATCAAACACGTCTAGTGTTGTTTTGTTGATGATAACTCTGAACTCGATGTAAGTATATGGAACGATAAGTTGGTTGATAAGGATGAAACGGAATGACGAGTAGTTGTTCATTCTGTAGACGCTGCTAATTGTGCTGTAGGAGTGTTATGGTATTGGAATCGTTTGTGTCCGCCTCTGTGTTATTACCAGATATGAGGTCCTCGTGACAAGGTTTGAAAACGTGTTCAATGTGCAGACACAAGAAGACATTAATTCAATTGCAGCCAAGAACGCGCACCAGAGTTTTTGCCAAACGGCCGATATTGCTACTTGTCTGGTGTAATATAGTGCATCTTCACATCCATGGCTTTGCATGGTCTCACGTGTAACTTGATTGTCAATACGAAAAAGCCATGCATTTTACAGAGAGGACTAGATGGATTGACAAATACCGCGATGATAAGCTTTGATGCTGCATGATACTGGATGTTCGTTTATTCCACATGCATGTTTACACTAACGTCATGGTGCCATGTAGTTGCAGAGACTATCGATGCGAAATTAAGCAGCCACTCCTACAACCTCGTCAGCTGGAGAGATTTTTTGCACGCGCATCATGAGTGGGTACTTCATACCGATTGTGAGTCCTATGGAGCAGGCGACATTTTGACCAGGCACTTCGTCCAGGCGGAATCGACTTACTACACAGGCGACTACCATTTTCATTTCCATCATGGCAAGTTTGCGCCCAACGCAGACACGCGGACCCGTGTTAAATGCACTAAACTTGCCAGACGACACTTTGAGCATTTTGCCCGTGCGAGGATCGATGAATCGTTCTGGTACGAACGATGCAGCGTCGGCACCCCAAACATGCGGCATACGAGCCATTGCATGGTAAATGAGTGCGATGTTTGACCCTTTTGGAATAAACGTGCTGTCCGGGAAAACAGTGTCACGGACGCACAGTTTCTGTGCCATGCCCACAGGTGAATACAAACGCAGCCCCTCGCAGATCGTCGCCTCCAGATACACTAAGTCGTGCACTTCGTGTACGTCCGGGATGTAGTCCGGGTCCGTGCCAAGCTGTGGCAAGTGTTTGATTAGTTCAGCACGTAGCTTACTTTCAACGCGCGGGTTGAGCGTGAGCAAATGGAACAGCCATGCTAATCCATCTGCTGCCGTATCACGGCCAGCTATTAATGCCATGAGCACGATGTTGCGAACCAAGATGGGGTTCACAGGTTTGCCGTCCACCGTTTCGTTGGCAAGTATAAGAGAAACGATGTCACGATTGGGACTCGTGCCTTTATCGTTGTCGTCATTGCGCTTCTCCATTGTTCTTGAAATGACATTGATGACGAAGTTGTTGACGGTTGCCAACGCCTCACGGAGGTGTTTTTCGCTTCCTACGTTCAACCAGCGCTTTAGTTTCCAGTACCAAATGGGAACTATCAGTCGAGCTGCGACGATGTGTTGCGCTTTTACGAAAGCTTTTTCGAATGGGTGCTCGTTCGTTAGCGTGAGTGTGCTCATGTTGAAGCCGAAAGCGATCTCTCCAAATGCATCGAGTGTAAACCGACCTGAGTACGTAAGTATGTCGATTGTGTCTTGTGATTTAGCGGCATCTGTAAGCACATGCTGCAGTACACGAATATGTTTCCGAATGATAGGAGCCATATGCTCCCGCAGCGCGCGAGAACTGAAGAGATTGACGAATACTCGACGATGAAACTTCCACTCGTCACCTTCAACGATCAAGATGCTGTCACCTAGTAAGTCCACAAGCAAGTCGTAGATGTGGTCGCCTTTGACAAAGTTGTCGTACTGCGTCTTCATGACGTGTTCGTAGTGCTGTGGATTAGCAGTGAGGATCATGTCACGTTGAAACGGCAGACTCAGTGTGAACGGTGCTCCATTGCGAGATAGAAAGACGTCCGTGACCCAGTCTAAGAACCTATTGGCGTGATAGGCCATGAAGACAGCGTGCCCAACAAAGGGAATTGCTGACGGTAAGAAGGGGACTCGAACGGGTCCTCGTGCTCCCGGTGTGACGTTCTGTCGCTGCTTAGCGAGTTTCTTATCGGTGTTGTCTTTTGGCAGACATTGTGAGGTGACTGCGGCACCGACAAAGATTCCGAGCATCAGCAGTCCGAACTTTTTGAACGGATCATCGCTATTGAGAAACCAAGCAAGCATGGGACAAGTAGTTCAAGGTGACTTTGTCAACTTATTGATGTGGAGGTGCGATTGATTGTGATGCTCATGAGTTTGACAGAGCGGCACCTTGTAGCACCACATCAAGTACCTTTCCACTGATTTCGTGAGCATGTTCCCCGAATCGAGTACACGTATAGAAAATGCACAAATAGCACTGGGTTTAACAGGGATGATAGCAAAGGCGTGTTGGGAAGCGATAGTCTGCAGCGGAGGCTCACATAAGACAGATGGTACAGAGATTAGGAGCTCATCCTCTAGACTCGAGTCATCAATTGGATGACCCTAGCCCAAAGTTTAACGAACAAGAAGATGGGCTGACGCTTGCACGGACAAATCCAACCGGATAGTGGAACTAAAGTCGAGGATTTCAGTGTAGGTGAGTGTTTGTATGACCAATGCCTGATGGTCTCATGGTATCGCGTCAGACATGGTAGTCGGTAGGAGACACTCATGATCGAGGAGAGGTCCAGAGGTCCTAAAGCATGTATTCAGGCTTAGTATCGTTGTCATCCCGCAAACCAGATCTGTAGCCCCTACAGAATACTGTCAAGGACGGTGAGGAATGCACATCGTGCCACTGTGCGGAGGACAAATCTTTTTGTAGAAGTCAGCGCCATCATGTCTCGTACTCCAGACTAAAGCTCTGTCTCCCCCCCACAGACGGACCAAGGCAACCGTGGTGGTCTATTGGAAGGACAACACGGCTGCGATGAATGTACGAGGTTCGGTCACCGTCTTGCCTATCTTCGCCATCATGCTACGTCAAGCACGGTAAATAGGGCACTGAGCTGATCGTACTGGTACGACAGCGAACAGATCGATAGTGAGAGAGGCTCAGATGCTGCCTTTTGTTTTACATATAAAGTGTTTCTCATTTCCGTCTGCCAGTCGTGAAGACACATTTGGAAGTACACAGAGTGTTGTAAACTGCCTTGTCCACCACGACACAACGCGCTTTACTGCGGTTTGGATAATGCCGAAAGACTGTTTCAACAGAAGTCCTTATCATCCTCTACAACTAACACTCAAAGATGAACGCACGCTCTTAGAGCTCGAGAAAGACCTGGTCGAGGACACTTTCCGTAAGTATGAAGAGTTTGTTACGAGCAGCTCACAGGTAAATACTGCCCGCTGGAATCATGTCAAATCCAAGGACGACCTCCACATCTACGTCAAGCGCACCAAGACGACAACGGAAAATAGACGACCTTATCGATGCAACCAACAAACAGAAAAAGAATGCAGGAAAAAGCCCATAGTGCTCAGCGTTGGGACGTTCAAAGGACAGCTAGATGACCTCATGTTCGGCACTGTGAATCCAACGGATGACATTATGCATGTCAAAGCCTCATACGTCCATGATTATAGTGATGGGGCTGTGCTGGCTACGCTTGTGAAACCTACAGCAACCGATCCATTTCGTTCTGTGACGGTCAAGTGGCTACGAATCAATTTGCCTCTGAGCAACACAAAGCTTACCAAAGACCGGGATTTCCTCTGTCTTGAGGCCTCGGGCATCTTGCATTTTGCAAACGGTGAACGAGTTGGCTATCTGATGCTGCACTCGATTGACTCACCGCTAGTGCAGCCATTACCAAATATCGTACGTGCTAAGCACACTATTACAGGGTTCTTCCGGCAGATCGCTCCAAATGTTATCGATACGTTTGCCTTTGACTCAGTTGATCCCGGCGGTAATATCATGGAATCACTGCTGTTGTCTGTGTGTGCCAATGCGCTGCTGTCGGCTACAAACTACGTCGAGTGCGGGCTGATGAAAAAACTGACGTGGATGCTGCAAAAGCGCCAGGAATCACTGCGTGAGTGTAACTTGGCTCCGGTGCTGCGCCATGAAGACATCTGTATCACGTGCAACCGTGATCTTCAACCATGTTGTGTCAGGAATTGGTGGAAGGATAAATGCATGATGTGTTTGGGTGGGTTATGCTTTGGATGCAAGAAAGTGAAGACTATTAGCTTTCTTTCGCCAGGTCGAAAACTAGTACGACAAAAGATCATCTTTTGTGGTGCGTGTGTTACAATGGGCACTCGAGTGAGCGCTTTGGACGCAGCACGCGACCAAGCTAATGGTTATCAGCCCTACACTTCTACGATTTAGGTTTGTTTCGATCAACCGTATGTTGATCATATAGTTTAGTGTCGTATCAATTACATTCAATCTTGTTTATTGCCTGGTCGATAGCATATTGAAATGAATCCATTGAAACATGGATAAAGCCTTTGGTGTCACAAACAGAGACTGAGGTACCCCGTCTCATACGAAATGTTACCTCCCTGACGGTTATTGCTATCGATAAAAAGAATCTGTAAAAAAAAATAAAAGTTACTGCTATCGTTGAGAGCTGTTTGGATTGTAAACTATGTAACATGTTTGCAGGAAGGTTTATCACGAAGTTCGCGCCGCATTGGGAGTCGACAATACATTTAAGTTACCTTTTAAATGAAATCACGATAGCGCTGCCTTATGGAAAGATGTTAGAATAAGTTGTGCATGCCTGATCAAGCTAAACGGTCTAGTGATGAACGCTAACAGACATCATTTTAATCACACGTCGCTCGGGATCAGTGAGGAACCTCATTGGTCCGATCGGTGACGTCGAGAGCCGCAGCTTGATCGCGACCTATTACCGGTTTGTGCTGATACCAAGTTCTGCCTTCAGCAAAATGGGCTCAACGTTCGGGAAAAATTGTTCTCAGACCGCCGAAGTATTGAAGCCGCTGTAACCAGCAGCAGACCCGGCTGGACCAACAAAGAAGCCACAGTCAAACGTCAAGATTGCCGAATACCAACACCAGACCATGCGAAACTACACATCAAGACAAGATGACGCTTAACAAGATGACGCAGCCAAAGGAGACGCGGGAAGAGCAACGGATGGGGTGCGTTCCATAAAACGCCGGATGCATCGCGAGGGAGAAAATCAGGGACGACGACAACGAGAGAACAGATTAGCCGCTAGGGTTCAAACGCGACGCTGTGGAACCGATACATCCACCTCGAGAAGCCACAGTAAGGATAAACTAAACAGGAAGCATCACCGAGAAAGAGGAACAACGTAGTTAGAGGAAGCACCAGAAACGTAAGGTAGAAAATAGAGCAATGAATTATCAACGGCGGCCAACTGTGAAGTAGAACCATAGGAGTAAATACAGCAAAGAAGGTCGACTAGAAAGAAGCCAGCAAACCGATGCAAAGGCAAAGCTGAATCCAACTGGGGCCCCAGGCAATGACAAGGCGTACCAGAATCGCCAAGTCAACTTCGGGTGTCTTGGGTGATTATACTTTCGCCCTTTCTTCGTCAGGGCTGCGATTTCTGTTGCTTGATCGGTGTCACTTTGCAGCTCGACTTGCTGGCTGGACTGCGTTTCTGTCGGTTTTCTTTTTCTTATAAGCTTGTCGCTCACGGTTCTTGTAACACGTTTACACAGAGGTGTGTATTGTACATACACACCTGCCCACACCATTGTAATTTGGTTGTACCTTGGGTACAGTAGTAGGTTGATGTGACCGTACCGCAGGTACGAAGGGTCACATCGTAGCAGAGAGCCACGTTTGGTTAATATACTTAGTTAAGTACAGTGACTATACATGTTTACATATTAATAGGCTACAGAGCCGGATGAATAGTGACAGCACTATTTATAGCGTAGGTGCTTCTATATTTAATGCTAAGAGGTAAACATTATTATATCAGTTTTAAACCTGCTATGAATAGCACAAGTGCAAGAGCGTTCTATTCCTTCAAAAGGAATTGTATCTTTGATACTGTTCTCTTGGAGACGTGGTTGCTTGCAACCAAAGGCATAATCTTTTGAAGCTAGCCTTGGGAGGGTTAAGAGCCCTAAGACACACAGCTCTTGGAGCTAGTCTTCCTCTGCACTTAGTGCATAAGTAGCCTTGCTACAGTAGCTCTGTGATACCTGATAGAACTTGTAGTCAATCCCCCTCCTAGTTCTGTGACTACTTCTTTGTGTAAGAACGGACATCGAAGGGATGTCCGCGGGCGGCCTGTCACAGGCACAACAGGAAGGGTTGCAAAAGCTGCTCCCTATTCCTTGGCCCTAAGGGCGTGGAATACCTCATCGCCTAAGGCAAAGAAGAGGTTAATAAGCGTATTCATATGCTTGAAGAGTATAATAAAGCTCTAGTCGAGCATGTAAAGGCACAGATGCCTCCTCTGCGCCTTCGCCCATGGCGACTATGGCGCAGGAAGTTGTCCGCAGACCAAAACCCATACAAACGGAAGTCGATAAGCTCGACGGCAAGGAATGTGACAACCTTAAGCTTTGTTCCGACAGGTATAGTCGGCTATGTTTATAGCTGACATCACCTATGAACCGTACCGTGTTGGTTTTGCCACGGGTAAGTTGGGTGGCTTCTCCAAACAGTGGGCGTTCACACGCGGTGCATCACCGCAAGATTCATTCCCAACATTGGCCGATCTGAAAGTTCAGATGACCCGGCAGTATGCACCGCCAAACCAAGCACACCGTAACCGGTCGCGGGTTTTGACGTGTCGCCAAGGCAAGCGTGAGCTTGCGGCATATGTGGAAGAGTTGAGATTTCTCATTGCTGCCATGGTCATAGACCCTATGTCTGAGGCAGTGACCGTCAAGGACTTTATGGAGGGCCTCCGAGTTGGCGTTATCAGAACGGGAGCCTTCTGAATAAGGCTGTCCTCATTAGAGGAAGCTGTTGGAGTGGCATGGAATGCCGAGACCAACTTGAAGGCCGTTAGGCTTACCACTTATAACTACTCGTCTGATGGATCTGTTCTGATGGACTGTAGTCATGTGAAAGCTGAAGAAGCAGAGCTTCATCCTGCGGAGTTGGAAATTGTGCGTAGATGTTATATCTTCCGGAGCACAGACCATTTGATGCCAAAATGCCCTGCAAGAAAGGCATGTTTGGCCTCGAACGGTTGACGCCCTATGAATAAACCCTCTGGTTTGCCGCAGTGCGCCCTACTGGGGAGGAACTGAGTTCTGTTGAACCTCTAGGAGGTAGAAGTAAGCAGGTACCAGCCCTAAAAGAGACCCGAACGCTCAAAAAAAGGAACGAGAATGCAAGCCAGGCTTGCTGGTCGTCGAGGGAACGGTCAAGGGCTTTGATAAGCCATGGACAATTTTTAACGATTAGGGGGTATCGGACAATTATGGGCGCCGTGCCACCGTAGAAGGTAGTCAGCAGTATGCTGAAGCGCTTAGATCGCGTGAGAGTGACACAGTAACGGTTCGCTTAGCGACGGGTACGCGTGTTACGGTACCAAAGTCCCGATGAACTTAAATGTAAGGTTCGTGGACTTTAACAGCATGGAACGCTGTTTGGTCTTGGACCTGGATGCGAGGTATGATCTCATCCTAGGCATGGAATGGCTAGAACGTCAAGAGCCATGGATTGATTAAAGGTAGAGTCCCTTAGGCGCAACGCGAAATGCTCCTAGTGGGGCTCTGAAGAGTCATGAACCCACCTCTGCTTGGAAGCAAAGAAATTTTGGCGTGGAATTTGAACCGAGACGGTCGATATGTTGGATGTCGGGTTATCCGAGTTAGTAGACACTGTAAGTGGCGAGGACAATAGTCCTGGGCGAGGTCCAAGGACTGTCAGTAGTGTGTCTGACAATCCACTAGATGACACATATGATATGTGTCATGAGAATGATAATATATTAGTACACGCCATGGGTGGTGTTGGTGGCTGCAAGCGAAGATGTCAGGACACGAGCCCGAGTGACATAGATGACAAGTTACTGACCCTAGAGGGTCGGGTGAAGTCACAAATGGATGTTGTATTTGAGTACAACAAGGCGCATGCTCCTAACGACGAGGCAGGGTCGGGTAAAGTCAAGAATGACGGTTGTTCATAAAAACCGAGGTGCAACATAGGTGGAGCGTTTCAAGAAATATGTGACCCCAAAACCTAGCGAACCGGAGAGAAAGAGAGCCGCAGAAGAAGCAACATTTAGACGATGGACCAATGGGAAAAGCTACCAAGAAGGGAAGCGACCGTTGGATGAGCAAAATACCGGTCAAGACCACTGCCGAGGTACCAGTTCGCCGGCACTGATTGTAGTGGACCGCGGTTTCACATCAGCAGAACGCGATCGTCATGGTGGACCTCGGTCCTCTAAGGTGGACCCTGGTCCTTATTCAGTCAACCTAGGTCCCTCAAGGTAGACCTCGGTGTCTCAAGATGGACCGTGTCCCTTGAGGTCGATCCTGGACCCTCGTCGGTCGACCTCGGTCCCTCAAGGTCAAGCTAGACCAGCCAATCAGCATCAGGATTTGGGTTCATAGCAAGGACAAAGATTGGACTATATTACAAACTACTTAATTTGCAATCTACGTGGCACGACTTCGTCACGCTTATAAGCAACTTGGTAAGTCCACCCACCTGTGAAGGAAGAGATATATTCTGACCCCACGTCGACGACAGTCTTGTAGTAAGCCTCAAGTGTGAAGAGAGCCCCAACAAGATATTTGGCCTGTGGTTTCGTCAGAGTAGCACCTCTCCCCCAATCGACTATCGGAAGCGGCCATCTTACCTTAGTGGTTTGGGAGCAAGTAAAGACCAGGCGGTTTATGCTCCTGAGATAATAAAGGTAAAGGCCAGGTAGAGAAGCTTCCGTAAAGATTTGATTATGAGTTCACTATCGACCAAGTCGACCGAGTGGCCACCTACTAGCCTACCGAGTAAAATGTATCCACTCGAGTCACCCCAAGGTCGACCTATATCAAGACCAACATCTACATCTTCACTAAGTCTTCTGAAGAGTGCAATCCACCAGCCGTCGGGTACACAAGGTGAGAGAAGTTCTATACGCTGAATCGGGGTAAAGTCACCAGGTCCCGGCGGAGCAGTCGTCACGAGAGTCATCTGCTACTAGTGATCGCGGCCAGTGTGGTCCACACACAATCGATATTCCACGCCAGTGGTCTCATTTTTTCGACTTCGCCACAATCTTACCATGTACCGCTGGCTGACATACAATGTTAGTCCAGCTGTGCATCCAATTGTCGTTACCACACCCAGTCACTTCCACACAAAGTATCTCCGCTTCGTCATCATGGTCGTCTCCTCGCTTCCTGTCATTTCTT